GTCTAAGAGGTAAGTAAAGTTTTTTGATATCGTTTTGAAAAGTGGGTAAAAAAACTTTAAACTTTTTGTACTTTTACTCAAATTCAGGGTTAAAAGAAAAGATTTAAAGTATAAGGTACAGGTCTAATAGAACATCAAAAGTTCTATACAACAAGAGGTAAAACATTGTCCTAGTTTATTTAGTTTCTGAGCTATAGATGATCAAATATGTAAAAATTTTCAAAGATTACCTCTAAGAGCAAACTACCGCGATTTTAGTGATTTGCTCTTCTGGGGTGCTTCTGCTACCTATTACCAATATTTTAGTGTATTTTGAATGAAAAATTTTGACAAAATTTTTTTTTTTTGAAATTTTTTTTTTCTCAAAATTTTGACTTTTTTTTCTTTTTTCTGATACAGCTGGACGAACTGATTATAATCACAAGCATTTACAGCAGTTGACACTCGTTTTCACCTTAAAAATTGTCAACAAGTTTTTCTTTAACATTATGAAACCGTGTAGTAGCCGTACTAAATGAACGATATCATCAAAACTACTGATATTTTTTAACGCAAATATATTGGTGATATGTTCAGAATTGATTGGAGCATCTTTTAAGCAATTTTCAAAAAATTCAGTTTTTTTGAAAAATTTTGAGTTTTATACAAGATAGATTTTTAAAAACCAGATTTTCTGAAAGAGGACAAAAAGTTACATAAGGAACATCACCAAGAAGAATGAATTGACTTTGTTTAGGACGTCTTTACAGTGGTTACATTTGTAGCTTTATTTGAAATGAAATGTTAAGTGTAATACACCGAATTTTTGCAATTTCTAGCTACAATATATCAAAAATCGCTGATAGCAGTTTTGTAGAGACACTTAGAAGCAATTTTTGGTAAAAATAAAAATGCAGATTGTTTAAAAAATGTACATGCTACAGGCGGCTAAAATAAAAAATAAAGATTTTTCTGGAAACTCGGTTTTTTGACATTTGTGGGAAAACTACTTAAGATATCGATTCAGGAATTACTTTTTTGAGCTCAGCGTGTCAAATAACATCGGAATGGTAGGTTTTTATTTAAAAATATACTTTATTTTTTCCCTCGATTTTGGGGCAAAAATTAGATAACGTATAACTTCAACAATTTTTATCCGACTTAAAACTTTCTTGCATTTTTGGAGTCAGCAGGACATGATTCATCATTCCGCACCCAAAAATTTGTAAAAAATCGATGCGCTCAATTTTGCTTGCCATTATCGGGAATTTCATTGAACTTTGAAGGACTATTACGTGAACAGTTTTTATCCGACTTAAAATTTTCCTGTATTTTTGGAATCAGAATGACGTCACGCATCGTCTCAGATCAAAAATTTATCAAAAAAACACTTAAGGTCGTCGAGCTTGCCATTTTCGGGAATTCCATTGAACTTGCCAAAATCGGGACGATCTTGCCATTTTCGGGAGTATCTCTTGCAGGTTTTCATTTTCACCCGGTTTTCGACCAACTTTGACCTATCCTAAAATCTGTACTATAAGAGGTACAAAATTGGGCAAAGTACTGATCGATAGGGTCATCCTTCCTCTTTAAGATTACCAAGACTCATTCCGATATCTTAAGCGTGTCCAGAGATATGCAGGTTTAAGTAGAGCCATGTTTTGGGTTTTGCTTGCCATTTTCGGGAATATGGGTAAATCCTTGCCAAAATCGGGAGAATGGGTAACCTAACCTAACCTAACCTAACCTAACCTAACCTAACCTAACCTAACCTAACCTAACCTAACCTAACCTAACCTAACCTAACCTAACCTAACCTAACCTAACCTAACCTAACCTAACCTAACCTAACCTAACCTAACCTAACCTAACCTAACCTAACCTAACCTAACCTAACCTAACCTAACCTAACCTAACCTAACCTAACCTAACCTAACCTAACCTAACCTAACCTAACCTAACCTAACCTAACCTAACCTAACCTAACCTAACCTAACCTAACCTAACCTAACCTAACCTAACCTAACCTAACCTAACCTAACCTAACCTAACCTAACCTAACCTAACCTAACCTAACCTAACCTAACCTAACCTAACCTAACCTAACCTAACCTAACCTAACCTAACCTAACCTAACCTAACCTAACCTAACCTAACCTAACCTAACCTAACCTAACCTAACCTAACCTAACCTAACCTAACCTAACCTAACCTAACCTAACCTAACCTAACCTAACCTAACCTAACCTAACCTAACCTAACCTAACCTAACCTAACCTAACCTAACCTAACCTAACCTAACCTAACCTAACCTCTACAAAAGCCTACCCTACCCTACCCCTACCCCCAACCCTACCTTACAATACCCTACCCTACAATACCCTACCCTACTTTTCCCTTCCCTACCCTACCCTACCCTACCCTACCCTACAATACCCTACCCTACCTTTCCCTTCCCTACCCTACCCTACCCTACCCTACCCTACTGTGGTATCGCGAATTGTCCCCCTCCGCCCGGGAGCTGGCGACGCCACTGGCGGCGCCGGCACGCAGACGCGGCGGCTCAAGAGAGTCGGTCTGGCGCGCGTGTCGGGTGCGGTCGTGCGCCGTGTGTGCCGTGTGCGGTGGTCGTCGCGTCGCGGTCAGCACAGACTAGTGTTCGTGTATGAGCCCAGATTGCCTCAGCAATAAACTTGTCTCCACGAGCCAGCCTGTGTGAGGCAGTGCGGAGTAGAGACGTTATACCTGGCGACAAGGAATTCGAACTCGTTGCGGAGGCCGTGGCTGGGCCGTGGGCGACTTCGAACGCTGTGCTGTGCAGTTGTGGACCGCGTTTAGACTGCGACGGAGCCGCGGAGACTGGTAAGCGGCAGTAAACTGCGTGTCCTGCGACTGACGGGGGCGTGGGCTTGTGTTGAGTCCCCCCTGTGTTCAGCGCTGTCCGAGTTTTTGGGCCTCGGCGGCCATTTTCGGACGGGTGCGCTGGTCGAGTTCGCAGGCGCGTGGTCACGTGTCTCGGTGACGTCGCGGTCACGTGACTCCCCCGGAGTGGAAAGCGCGGGAAACGCAGCGGCGGTGCCAGGGATGGGCGGCAGGGAGCCCGAGTCAGCTGTGTGCTGACTGCTGAGTGACCTTGGCCGGCGCCAGCTGACGCTTCAGTCGCGCGGCGGCGGCCGCGGCGTGAGGAGGCTTGAGGGGACCACGAGTGGACGTCAACGGCGGACGGGATGGCGGCGGCTTGACTGAGTCTGCCGGCGGTGGGGCCGTACCAGCCGGGGACGGATTTTCCTCGATGGCTCAACAGCGTGGAGCTGTACATGGCGGCCCTGGACGTCACTGGGGACGAGAGGAAGACGGCGATCCTGTTGCACCTGCTCGGACCCGAAGTGCAGGAGGTGTACGGCACGCTCCCGGAGCCGACAACTGGAGTGACCGGCTGCTATGCGACGTGTGTAGCTAAACTCCGAAGCTACCTGGCGCCGCAGCGCAACGTCATCGCTGATCGACTCGCGTTTCAGCGGTTGCGCATGGTGGAAGGCGAGCTGTTTGACGCGTTCCTGTCCCGTCTGCGCCTCGCGGCAGCTCGGTGCCAGTTCCCGCCCGAGCAGGCCAGCGCGGCCCTGCGGGACCAGGCCATCGCGGGCTGCACGCCTCGCCTGCAAGAGCGAGTGCTGCAGCGGGCCGTGGAGGCGCAGGAGCCGCTCAGCCTCCAAGACGTCGTCAACATATTCCACAATGTGGAGCGGACCGACCGCCTGCTCCGTGAGGTGCGGCAGGACGGCCAGCTGGCCGTACCTCAGGAGGAGCAGCAGGTGCAGGCGCTCGGACAACCCAGCCGAGGGGAGCAGCGCTGTTTCCAGTGTGGCGAGCTGGGCCACTGGAGGGACCACTGTCCCAGCGCGCAGTCGCAGCAGGCCGGCGCGCGGCCCCGGCGGGCCGGTGCGCCGCGCTGCTACCGGTGTGGAGAGCGCGGACACCTGCAACGGGACTGCAGCAAACGACGGGCTGTCAAGTTGATCCAGGACAGCGACCAGGCCGACTGGCAGGTCTGCGCCGTGCATCTGGCGGCAGGAGCGGCGCAGAAGAGCGGATTCTTCCGACAGCCCGGCTCAGCAAACGGCGGTCGGCTGGACAGCCGACGCGGCGGACCGCGCCGGAGGGGCGGAACGCGCCGGTGCTTCAGGTGCGGCGACTCAGGGCACTTGAAGCGTGACTGCCCCGGATGCGGTCAGGTGACGTCTGTGGACACCGTGACGTCCGTGGCGCAGCGGAGGACACAGCGTCAGGACCGGCTGCCACTGGTCACGGTGACAGTCAACGGCCGGCCAACAGAGATGATGGCAGACACCGGGTCGCCAGTCTCGATCGTGGCGGACGGCAGCATCCCGGGGCTGAAGCTGCGACCATCAACGGTGCAGCTGCGCTCGTTTACGGGCCAGACGGTGCCGGTCCGCGGCGAGGCGACCGTAGAGGCGGAGTTCGGCGGCCAGCGGAGGCGGCTGAATGTCGTAGTCAGCGACCGACTCGGACACCACCCGCTGATAGGACGGGACTGGTTGCGCGACATACGCCTCGACTGGCGGTCGCTGCTTCAGGGCAGCGAGGACCGTGGAGTGAGAGACGCCGACAGTCAGAGGGCGCCGTGACACTAAAGGAGCCGGTGGGCGCCGGGATGCTGATGCTGCAGGATCCGGCGGGCGCCAGGACGCCGATGGAGCCGGCGGACACCGGGACGCCGATGGAGCCGGCGGGCGCCGGGATGCCGATGGAGCCGGTGGGCGCCGGGGCGCCGGCGGAGGGAGCGGACACCGGTACGCCGGCGGGAGCAGCGGGCGCCGGGACGTCGGCGGAGGCGGCGGCGACCGGCGGCCCGTCGGAGACGCTCGTGCCAGAAGCTTCGGTGGCGGAGGCCGGATCGGCAGTGTCAGAGCGGCGACCGGCGGCGACGTCCGACGAGCAGGGTTCATCGACGGCTTCACCAGCGGCGGCGTCGGACGGCCCGTCGGCGATGATCGCGCCGATGGCCGCGGTGACGGCGGCCGCGCCGGCAGTGCCAGCGACCTCATCGGAGGGAGTATCAGTGGCGTTGACCTCAGTGGAGGTCGTGTCGGTGCCGGTGACAGCGGAGGTGACCTCAGTGGTGCACTCGGTGACGGCGGCAACGGCGGCGTCAGCCACGCCGATAACCTCGGCGACGGTCGTGCCGGTTATCCCAGCGGAGGCGACGGTCAGGTGGGTGACCTCAGTGATGCCGTGGGTGACCGCGGTGGCGGCGGCGCTAGCGACGCCGGTGACCCCGGCGGCGGCGGCGGCGGCTGCGCCGGTGAGGTCAGTGTGGTCAGTGTGGTGGGACCTCTTGAGCGTGAGCGCGGCGCGCACACTGAGGGCGACCCGCAGCGCCGTTTCGCTCGGCGGCGGAGGCGCCCGAGGCGGCTTACCGGCGTCTGATCGCCGATATTTGAAATGTGATTGGATCTGTGATTGTGATTGTGATTGTGATTGAAAGGTGATTGTTTCACGTAAAGGGGTGAGGTAACCCTGAAGGCGCGCGCCTAAACAAATGATGCTTTGTGCTCATGCCATTGTTTCGTGCGCCTGGGAATATGTTCGTTTAAAGGGCGGCAGGGTGTGGTATCGCGAATTGTCCCCCTCCGCCCGGGAGCTGGCGACGCCACTGGCGGCGCCGGCACGCAGACGCGGCGGCTCGAGAGAGTCGGTCTGGCGCGCGTGTCGGGTGCGGTCGTGCGCCGTGTGTGCCGTGTGCGGTGGTCGTCGCGTCGCGGTCAGCACAGACTAGTGTTCGTGTATGAGCCCAGATTGCCTCAGCAATAAACTTGTCTCCACGAGCCAGCCTGTGAGGCAGTGCGGAGTAGAGACGTAATACCTACAATACCCTACCCTACCTTTCCCTACCCTACCCTACCCTACCCTACAATACCCTACCCTCCCTTTCCCTACCCTACTTTACCCTACCCTACAATACCCTACCCTACCTTTCCCTACCCTACCCTACCCTACCCTACAATACCCTACCCTACCTTTCCCTACCCTACCCTACCCTACCCTACAATACCCTACCCTACCTTTCCCTACCCTACCCTACCCTACCCAACCCGGTATTAGTATATATTAGGTCCGAGTGGACACTTGTGACGCTGTTGATACAAATATGTAACAGCAAAAAAATTTAGGTTTTAGGTAAGGTTAGGTTGTAGGTTTGTAGGGTTTAGGTTTTAGGTTGGTAGGTTTGTAGGTTAGGTTAGGTTAGGTTGTAGGTTTCTATGTTGTAGGATGGTAGCTTGTAGGTAAATAGGTAAGGTTTGGTCAGGTTTGATTATTTATGTTTTTTCTTTTATTTCTAGGACATAAAAGTATCATTTTTGGATTCAGGATGTCAAACAATGTAAGAATATGAAAACTTTATCTTTTAACAGTCACTTGGACTCAATGTATACTTTTACCCCCAACCCTACCCAACCCTACCCTACAATCCCCTACCCTACCCTAACCCTATTCTACCCTCCCCTTTCCTACAATCCCCTACCCTACCCTACCCTACAATCCCCTACCCTACCCTACCCTACAATCCCCTACCCTACCCTTCACTTTCACCAACAGTCCAAGTTTTAGCTAAGTCGGCCCAGAAACGACTGAGATGTTGCAAAAACAAATAAATTGTATTTAATGGCGATTCCCCTTGGCGAGCGGTGCCTTGTGTCGGCCTTCGTTGTCAAAGGTCAATGACCTACCGGCTCAGATGATTTCCACTCAGTTTTTAAGCGAACAACGGAGCCTAAAGCACGTGCCCTCTGCTCGGTGCAGGTCGCGCCCCACCACTTGCACACCGCTGAACCCACACCCTCGAAAACATAAAACGACAATTGAGTGCACGTCGGCTCGACGTCGGCTGGACTTCGGCTGGACGTCGGAACATGCGGGCATATCCGACGTCCAGCCGATGTCGAGCCGAGGTTGAACCAACGTTGGGCCGACGGCGGACCGAGCCTCGGCCCCACGTCGGGCCGACGTCGGCATGTTTACTGGGTAAGGTCACCGATACCATATTTCTGGGATGAATGCTTGATGCTTCCATGCATATGTACTGTTACTTTTATCAATTGGTGACAGTTTCAAGTGATCATTCCATCGGTGTAGCTATGGCGACCAGCATTATTTTCCCGTGAAAGGGTCATCTGACGTGGCCAAGTGACCTGACCTTGAGCGATCGGATCTGAAATCTATAACAAAATGTGCAGAAGAAAAATTCAATTAGATATGCCAAAAGCAGTCCCTATCCGGCGTGGGTTATACGACAGTCAACACAACCAGTCATCAGAAGACAAATGATGACGTCGATCCAGTGTTTCTCAAGGGCGCCTACGGACATGTTTTCTCATTTGAAAGCTCATTTTGATAACAAGCTATGCCGTTTAACCCACCAGCCGCTGGGGGGGCATAAAGTTGCCCCCCCTTTACGTTTTGTGAAATATCTCCGAAACCTGATGAGCTACGAACGTGAAACTTGGCATAGCTTCAAATGAATACCTAGGCAATGTTTGAGGAAAGTTTGGTGGTTGTAGCACCTAAGATGACGTCACAGTGACGTCATAAAGTTTTGTCGTTTTCCGATATGGACCGTTTCTGATGACGCTGAGCATGAAACTCGACTGTAAATGAACTAGACAGCACCTGCTGTCATCCTAAAACATCTTACTACACTTCCATCTAGTTTCTGACCAATAATCGGCCCTTTATATTCGGTCCCATATATGATGTATCGTGAGGAATATGAGAGTCGCAAATCTATAATTTCACTTATGACGTCACTGTGACGTCATTTCAAATGGGATCGACACCAAATTTGGACACAACCTCGGCTAGGTATTCAGGAAGATGTGTGCAAAGTTTCGCTTCTCTATCTCTTCGCGTTGCGACGATATCGTCGCAGAAGTAAAGGGGGGGGGGGGGCAACTTTATGCCCCCCCCCCCAGCGGCCGGCGGGTGGCGCGGAGGCCCAGCGGCCGCCGGGTTAAATTTGAAATACTTTTAAATTTGATTTCCTGTAGGGTACAACAAGCAAAACACAAGACGTTTCGACTTTCGGTGCCATGTAGATTGTAGATATCAATAACGTTGATATGGAGTAAACACCTTTGACGAGTGTGTTGGCCGACGGAATGTGTCCGTACAAGTTTGAGGACCGTGGCGACGCCCCTGAAAACAATTATCGTTGTTTTATCGTTAAACGTTTCGTTATCGCAGTTAAGAAACCATTATCGTTATCGTTTTATCGTTTTATCGCTTTCGCTGTTAAATTTTTGAATATTTTAATCGTTTATCGTTTAACGTTTTCGCTAACATTTCTTATCGTTGTATCGTTATCGCAGGTCCGAAAATTAGTTATCGCGTAAAGCACTGCTTACCAGGGGCACCACCACAGGCCTGTCAGGCACCACCGACCTCGTAAGGGCACCATGGGCCTGTCAGGACCAGCCTCTCTTTGGCAATTCAGGCTTGTCAGGAACTCTAAGGGCCTGCCAGGACTCATGTGAAAAAAATGAAAATAGGGCAACACCTAAATGAAGTGGTCGAAACCAAGATTAGAGATCCGTTGAGTTTTTTTTTTATTTTGGGCTTACGACGGCCACTTGCTATGCGAACACAGACATTGATAAGCTTTGTAGCTGAAGTTGGGCTGCACCATGTGAATACCATATTTTAACTGTACGATCTTTATCTCATACGATTATTTGATGTACGATCATTTTCCTCGACGATCTTTTGCGAATACGATGTTTCGTCCATACGAACATTATGCTGTAGGTACCAGGGCTGCGGAGTCGATGGATTTTCGGCGACTCCGACTCCGACTCCGACTCCGGCTTTCAAAAACCAGCTCCGACTCCGACTCCGACTCCGGGCAGAATTGTCGACTCCGACCGACTCCAACTCCCGACTCCGACTCCGCAGACCTAGCAGGGCTGCGGAGTCGACAGATTTTCGGTGACTCCGACTCCAACTTCGGCTCGGGTTTCTAAAATCGACTCCGACTCCGACTACTCTCGACTCCGACCGACTCCGACTCCGACTCCGACTCCGACTCTGCAGCCCTGACTGTACCTACAATCTTTTTCCCATACGATCATTTGACATACGATCATTTTCCTTGATGATCTTTTGCGAACACGATCTTTTGTCCATACGAGCATTATGTTGTCGTACGATCTTTATCCATTACGAGTTTTTGGCATACGATCATTTTCCTTGACGATCTTTAGCGAATACGATCTTTTGTCCATACGAGCATTATGTCGTACGATCTTTATCCATTACCATCTTTTGCTTACGATCAACTTCCTACGATCTTCTGCATAAGACCTGCTTTACGATCCTTTGTCCGGTAACCCAAATTTTGTTTGATTCAAATCGATTCAATCAAGGGCGAATCAAACACCAGTCTAGCCCGGTCCGAGGTTGGGGGGAGGGGCAAGCTGCTCCGCTTGCCCCCCGTGGTGACGCTTATTAACCCGCGCCCCGCTGGGGCAGAATCTGCCCCCTCCCATTTTTCTGCCAACAACTTCTAAACGCGTTACGCCAGCGACGTCAAACTTTCAGTACCATATCATACATCAATTTGACACGTTCCCTAAAAATTTGAGCGAAATCCGTCGGATTTTTTTTTTTTTAGAAAATGACGTTTTAGTGACGTCATGTTCGCCATTTTCGCCTCAAAAACGGCAAAATTTCAAACGCCGCTAACATCTTCATTTTGAAAGGAATCAAGACGTAACAAGAAAGATAAGGACGTTATTTTACTTTGTCTATCAAATGGCTATCTCGGTTTTTAACTTTGGATTTTCGCCCAAATTTTTTTCTTCAAAAAACTGTTTTTTTTTAAATAATAAAATCCAAAATTTTGAGTGTATAAGAAAACGGGAATATATGTCAGAGTAGTGGTCTGTGCAACTACATACCAATTTTTAGAAGAATCGGCTAAAAAATGTGGGTGTTATTCATAATTTTATGACGTCATGACATACAATTTTTTTGAATTTTTTTTGAAGTTCTAGACCTCGTACGTAAAAAACACCATTCGATTCGCCGTGACAAACTGCATCAGATAGACACCTTTTAGGCCTTCACAACCATCTTCAAAATTTGACCTCACTTGACCTGACCTTGACCTGACCTCGACCTGACCTCGACCTGAAATTCATCCAGATGTGGTCCATATCACTTATTGAGTGTGCCTATTGAAATCTATGAATAAAATGACACATAAAACATGTGTCGCACATTCCCTTTTCTATATTTTTTGTTTTTGGTGACCTGACCTGACCTGACCTTGACCTTGACCTTTGAATGATATTGTATGCAACGAATATTGCCTTTGTAGCATAAGAACACGTTTTGGGCAATCAGTCTCAGTCCATTCTTCGGCAACTACGGTGCAAGCCCCATACTGTAGAAACTTGCATTTTGTACCCTTGACCTGACCTTGACCTGACCTCTGACCAACTTAAGCAAAAAAATGGGCTCATAAGATCTGCCTTGTTGAGAGCTTTCGATTGCAGTTTTCCCCGTCTTTCTACGACCATCGGTTTGGAAGTTCGACAGCTGTCGAACAGCTGTCGAATTCTGCCCCCCCCCCCCCAGCAGGGCGCGTATGGCTGAATAGCCCAGCGGGGCGCGGGTTAATGCCCCCACAACTCTACCCCTCCGAAATTTTATCCTGACTGCGCCTCTGCACATGCACAGTAAGGAACGTGCGGGTCCTTGCAGTTGAACACTAACGCCTCTGCATCAAATGCTTCACAGCTTTAGTTACATGAATTCGCCGACAGATGGCCGTTGATGTCAAGTGCTTGATACACTAGCGCCTCTAGAGCTATCATGGCCCAAATGGAGTTAAGGATATTCTCACTAGATGGCACTGTCAACATGTCGCGCCGTTTTTGTCACAGTTTTTCAAGAAATGTCTACAATATTGCGAACTACGCTAATGTTAGGAATAGCAGGCTGTATGTAAAACGACGTCATAAGTATTAAAAATAAGAGTGTTCAGAATTCCTTCAAATTGAGTAAAATGTTGACAATAATAGCAAAGATGCTCATAAGATCAGCCAAAATTGCGTGAACGAAATTCAAAAGGTCAGAAAATTCTTAGTTACCATTTTATCACCGAAGGTATCGTTCGTTGTATCGATTACCAATGACATCATTTAATACTAGTCTGCAAAAAGAACTTACTTTACAGCACCTATTGTGCACCGTTTGTATTCGTGTATTTTCTTCTTATCTTGATCTGTTGGTTTAGGTGGTTATCTAGACCTAAAGTATTTGCTTTGGGGTCAATATCTGAAATATCCAGTGTAAATAAATTATATCCTGCTAAAATTTAACTGTTGGACAACTGTAGTCTGTCATACCGATATGCATTCGGTTTTATGTTGAAATTTAAGAGAAATCACACCAGTAGGCAGTAAGGCCTGGGCCCTGGGATCAAATGGAAGATGGGCTAAAATAGCCAGGTTAAAGGGACTATCCCACCTTTAACATGGGGTTTGAGTTGAGATAGCCAAGTTTGCAGCGAGGTTCAGAAACCACTATCTATCTAGGTTGCAACCCCCGCTGCCTCTTGGTGTTGAAGAAATTTGTTCCCTTCATTTGAAAATGGGCCTTGTACAAGGCCCTATCTTCAACATGGAGCGACCGTTAGTGTGACGTCACCTCGTTTAGTCATCCTGATTTAAAGGGGTTTGTTCGTTGAAAAATCGCTTAAAACTTGGTCTGAACTTTGTTGTGGTGCCTACAGAGTAAAAAGAATCAGCTTTATGACAGTAATGTGGCCTGGGGAAGGAGGTAATTTTGGGCTGTGACGTCACACCCGACTGGAAAAAATGCCTCCACTACGCTGAAGTTCTCGGCGGAGGTGATGCGCCGAAATTTCGGCGCAAGGGTTTATGCGCCGAAATTATTTTACCAAGCCATGCTTCATGTGCCGAAAATTTTCAAGGCTTACTGATGGCTGCAGGCTGTAGCCACGCACTTTTCGTCGAGGGGGGGGGGGGCTAGCGTGTGTGTGTGACTGTCTTCCAGTGACTACTGTCTACAGACGGTTGTTGGCACGGTCGACGGGATCGGGCAGACAAAAGACATCAGCAGGCCATGCGGGACCGAGCACCAGGGTTCGCTATCACAAAATCTCCTGACTCACAAACTCACTGGCATGTTCCGTAACGTAACCTTTATTTTGTTGCCCGGCTCTGATCAGCAGTAGTGCCCAGCCGGTGACGGACGCCTGACGGGGCCTTCTACAGGCGTGGTGCAAGCACGGCCGATGGGATCGGGCAGATACCAGGCCACGCGGGACCGATTGCCAGCGTCCGCTCACAAACCACACGCCGGAAATACAGGAATCACAACGGTCAATACGCACACGATAGCATACGTTATCTGAACTAGGGGATCCGACAATCCATAACCTCGCTCTGGATCGGTTAACTGTTCCCGCCGTGGGAGAGTCGCAATCAGGTTCACTGAACATGACTTAAATACCCTGAGACGAACACGAGACAAGATAAGTGATATTTAAGATGTTTAACTCCCGAAGACATTTAACCCTCGCCGGCCGAGGGGGGGTTGGTGCCACCCCCGGACGTTTTTTTAGTTAGGTTTCCGACGTATTTTGACCTTTATTTGTTTAACAATTGTTTATCCCATCACTTCCGGCCGATCGTAGCCAGTCCAGGTCAGGCCAAGACAGGTCTGATCTGGGCTGTTTTACCCATGTCAGGCCTGTTTTGGCCTGCGACCGGTGCCTTATCACAGTGGAGGTCATATCCTCTGAATAGTGTGAGGAGTGACCGGTCTCTCCTGTTCCAAAGGGAGGACGAGCCCCACGGTTCTATCGGTTCTTGAGACATGCTCCTTTTCTGTCAAAGAGAATGTTAAGAAGTTGGAGTCAGTCTATCGCCGGCGGGCGAAAGCAGAGGCGAGAGTGTGCATTGAGCTGCACTGGTTTATTGTGCTTTCGGGATGTTCTTCCGTGGGCGCTTCTTCCGACTCTAGTGCCAGTGCCAGCAACAGACTTACCTGGCCGCTGCGGCGCGCACACGGAGGGAACGTCTTTGACGATGGCGACCATGAGAGAAACGTCGTCTCACACTCCCAAGCGCATGTGGGCGAGCGGACGTCCCCAACAGTGAACTGGCCTCGACCGGGCCAAACTGCCCAACCGTAATGTGTGAAGAACACGTGAGCCTGTTATCAACTGCGGCATGGAACTTAGGATACGACTCCGGCTGAACCGCGAATCCTGAATCGCGAGAGAAGGATCGTCGACCGATTCTAGGTCCTGGTGATGGGGAGGGGGGAGGGATTGGGGTGGCCAAGCTCCTGGCCGTTCCCAACCTCCCCTCCATCCAAGCACAGGAGGCCATGCTCACAGCGCTGGGGGCACATGGAACAGCAATCGATAGCTTTTGAACTCTTCTTTTGCTAAGGTCATTATCAAAATTCACCTCAGGTCAACGGTTTAGCCTCTAGAGGTCAAAAACTCCAAAAATAGCTGTTTTTACGAAGTGTTTTTCGACAATAACTTTCGACTACAAAAAGCCACGACATTTCTATTGCCAGAATCGTGTTCCTCTCGACGAGACGCGTCGAATGAACGATAATTTGACCTTGAAAGGTCAACTTGTAAATTTGACCTCTGGTCAAGGTCATGACCTGACCGAAAAAGGTCATGTTGCATATCAGTCGATGCGTCTCAACAAGAGATGCGTCTCAACAAGACAAACACAATGAGACCATCCCCAGCGTTCTATCTCTTTCCAATCGCGAGTTATTGGCAAAAATCTGTTTGTAGCCTCAAATGACCTCGGATGACCTTTCTAGAGGCTATCAACAAAAATGACACCTAGGTCATCACGGGTGGTCCAAATCATTGTGATTCTGAAATATTTGGACTGTTCCTATGCGTACACACGGATCTAGAGGCTTTTTCATTTTTCTCCATTGACTTGTAATGGAAAGGTCACGCCACTGACCTGACCTTAGGTCACGGATATAAAAAATCCGAGATATACAAATTGTAGGCGCCCATAACAGCATGCAATCCACCAAGTTAAAACCTTTCTGACAAACATGCAGGCTGGACATGATTGCAAACTTTTTTAGGCTTGGTCAGTTAACTTGACCGGGTGACCTGACCTGACATGACCTGGGGTCAAAAATTTCACACATTGTCCAAAATTGATGTACCAAAAGCTACCCCAATCGGCGCGGCGCTACGCGCCGCGGTTTTTAATTCACACGCAAAAAACGCGACAGGGTGGTAACATATGCCCCCCCCCCCCCCCACTGGGGCGAAGGTTAAACTTTGGACATTAAATTCTGCCACAGAACCGGAATCGCGCAATCGGAGGTTAGAGGGCATGGTCAGCACAACAAGCTTCGCTTAGCGGGGGCTCTGTCCTTGTGAATCCTTCCAATCCGAAGGTTCGGACTAAATTTATTATAAAAAAAAACGGTGCCCCTCTGCGCCGTGTGCCGAGAAGAGCCTGATGTGCCGGAGCACGTGTTGCTCCACTTGCCGTCCCTCGGTGGCTCCCTCCAGCCTCGAACACACCGCTCCGACGATTTTTGTGGCTCCGGAACTGCCGCCCCCGGCATTGTTTCACGGCACTATGCAAGTGCGCGATGCAAGTGCGCTAAGCGTATTGAGGTATCGGGTTTCCGTGGAAATGAACGACTGATTCGGATGCTGAAACATGGGAGAGCGTCCAAAGCGCCGCAATGCTCTGTTTGGTTGATTTAGCCTTGATCAGCGATCGGTAGACGTGCACATGTGCTTTATTTAGAAGTGGCTTAGTTTTGGCACAAATAGGCGCCCAATTTTTGGCAAAAATCATGCAGAAATTTCAGCTCAAAATAGCTTGCGCCGAATTTCGGCGCAAGAGGGTCTCACGGACGTCTGGCGTAATGTAGGTATGGATGTTTTCCAGTCTGGCCACGAAGTTCCAACTGCCATGGATGATGTTTTAACTCCCATGATTATCACAAATGTCTTTCCTCAGTTGATATAGAACAAAGCTCAACAAGCTATGTTAGGGTGGGCTCCGGGCCGGAGCCTCCGGCTCTGTCAATCCATCCATTCAAACATTTAGCGAAATTGATCACTTTTTAAAGTTCAACTGTGTTATATGTTCCACAGCTCTGAATTGAGTGCGCGGTTCACCGGGTACTCCGACGGCCATCGTTGGATGACGGACAGGCGGACTGGCTGTGCAGCATAGTATTGGAATCCTGCAGCCATGAATGTGGAGCCGACTACTCCTGACGCTGACCAGCTGACTGCCAACACGGCCTTTGTGGCCATTGATAAAGGTTCGTATAAAAAACATCTGTGACATGCAAGATGCTGGAGTTACGCGGCAGCACTCGACCTTCACCCTGAACTATGGGCACAGCTACATTCACCTATCATATGTACTTTGCCTACTACTTAATATATACTTACCAAACAGTTCAATCTTTGATACAGTGCGATAATTCCTTATTCCAGTCAAAAATTAGCTTAAAATTAAAGAATAAGTTAATTATTCATGAACAAGTTAAATGCGCCGTAGTGTGCATTTTCATTTTCATTACGAGCGAGCGAGCGCAGCGAGCGAAGCGAAGTCTTTTCAATATAACGGAAAAATCTCAGTATGAGCGGCCCGGCCCGGCCCGGCCCGGCCCGGCCCGGCCCGGCCTGTAACGCTTTTGAGAGGCTTATATCTCAGCAACCGCTGGACCGAATGGCCTGCGGTCTTTTTTGCTGGGTAGCCCCATCCCTTCTACCCCGTAATTGACTACTTTTGATACATCTCAGTGACCGCCGTGGCACGTGCCACGTGAAAAGTCAAGGGTGTTCAAGCAGTTTTGCAAAAGTAATGATTTTGAGAGGCCCATATCTCAGCAGCGGCTTGAGCGATTGTCTTGCGGTCATTTTTATAGGGTAGCTGCATCCCTTCTACCAAAGGTCGGATACTCTTCATCTATGTGAGTGACCCCCAGTGCACGTGCAAAATACAACAATAAGAGGTGCCAAATTGGTTCCCATTTCAGTAACTCGGTAATTACTGGGGCGATTTCGCTGAAACTTGGCATACAGGTAGGCACCCACCAGGCAATGCATTCCCATGTGTTGCGGTTAGGGTGCTACTGCACGTGCGCACGTGCAGGGGGCGTTTCCAGATCTCGAGAACGGCTGGGCCGATTGCGCTCAAATTTGGTACACGGTTGGGGACCGGTTAGTAGGGTGCCGTGCAAAAGTCATTTTGGACCCCGTTTGCACGTGCGCACGTGCAGAATGGCGCTTCCAGATCTCAGGAACGGCTGGGCCGATTGCGTTCAAATTTGGCACACCGCTAGCGACCGGTTAGAAGGGTGCTTTAAGCCCGTTGGAAGTACCCTATCGCCCTTCCGCACGTGCAGGGCTCACTATCTCGCTCGCTCGTTCTTCGCCCAAAAGGCGTTTTACTGGTGTTATCCTTTCTGAATCAATGGATGGATAATATATATCCATTGATTACCATTGATCCATTGATAATTGATTATCCATTGATTGACAAATGTTATTTGTATACCTAGCTATATGGACGTTTAGTGCACACTGTCCTGACGCCAGTTTTTCCCGTGGCGCAGGACTGCTGTCGGGGAAAGTCAGTGAGCAGGTGGAGGCCATCGTCAAATTTCCATCGCTGTTCGACAGACACCCGTTCCCGCTGCTCATCAACTCGTCCATGCTCAAGCTAGCCGATGTGTTCCGTGTTGGGTGAGTTCTCGCGGCACATGTATATTGTGTATCTACTATCTAGTCTCTCTCTGTCTCTGAAAGAGTCGGTGCACTGAGCACCACCGTTCCAGTCGCGGCTGGGCCGGTAAGTTGAGTCACTGAAAGTTCACTGACCGGATGACCGACTTGCGGCCGGGCGGCTGAACTCAGTATCGACTCACTCCTTTGCAAAGGTCTTTAACCCGCGCCCCGTGGGGGCTCCTGGATTTCCACGCCCTGCTGGGGGGGGGGGGGAACGGGGTGTTTGAACACCCTTTCCAACTAGGCTCTTGGGTCATGTAGCGCTACGGAGAAGGCGGCGTTCGAAAGAACGTTAAAATAATGATTAAGTTACTCCGGTCACAATTTTGGTCAGGTTAAGGTCAGTTACGAGAGGTCATTAAAGGCCAAATTTCGCCGATTTTCAGGTCAAATATCGACAGTTTTCAACAAGCCGACGCATAACTCGGAAACTAATAGAATAACAGCGCCTCGGAAAAGCGCATTTGATACCCCTTTTACCCCTCTTTCTGACTATTTCTCTCAGAGTTAACCAAACATCAACGGTTTTCCCTGCATGAGGCAAAAAATGCCCAAACGGACGATTTTTCTCTTCTTTTTTTGCAATAACTTGACTCAAACCTTGCACGAGCTTACTTTTACCGGCATCGTGTTCCTCTCGTCAAGACGCATCGAATGAACTATAATTTGACATTCAAAGGTCAATTTCAAAATTTTACCTCAGGTCACGGTTATGACTTGGCCGGAAAGAGTCGTGTTGCATATCAGTCGATCCTATCTTCGAGCTGAACACATCTAAGAAATTTTCATCGCTCTAGCATGCCCCTATCAAAAGTTATTCGCGAAAGTCTGTTAGATACCATTTGTGAGTCCGTGACCTGAGATGACCTCAGGAGCATAAGCAGGTGACACTGATCCATTTTCATGTTCATTGCGTGCTAGTTACTTGTAATTCAGTGTTTGAGAGTGATTAGAATGACGTTCGTCCAAAACAGACGGCTTTCAATTTTCTCCTGTTGGCTTATAATGGGAAAATTGACCTGACCCTAGGTCACGGATGTTAAAAATCCGAGAAAATTATTCGGTGCATAATGCTGCTCTGATCAGTCGATGAAAGTTTCAAAGCGATCGGTCACTCGGTGTGGCTATGGTAGACTTGAGGTGAGGTCACTTGAAGTGACCTGGTGACCCGACCTTGAGTGATCTTGGCCTGTTTTTTACAACATGTGCAAAAAAGATGTATGATATGAACGCCGCCATTTTTGAGACATTCGCGAGAAAACCACGGGGGGGGGGGGTTCAAACACCCCACACTCCACAGCATCGCGCGGGTTAACCCCACCGGCACATGGGGGGTGGTTGCCACCCCCCCTCCAGGTAGTTTTTCTGCTCTGCACTGAACATTTGTATTTGGATGTCGTATCCCACCCAAACGACAAATTTTGAGACACCGTGCCAAATCAAACTAAGTTTTATTGTTGAGAATGTGTTGATATTATGGATGTATTGGCCAGGCCTAACAAAATGAACAGTTTTCCACCCGCAGAGCATTGCTGAAGGGTAAGAAGGTCCTCTCTCGACCACGTCCCTGAGTCTGTGGGTGATGGTGAATGTGTTGCCTGGCTCGAAGGACCGGCCGAACCATGCGGCCAGCACCAGCTGCTCTACCCTGGTCGGGCTGGTCTCCGGCTCGAGCGGCGCGCTGACCCACCTTTCCCTCTTTGACCCACACTGCCGGCAGGTCCAACTTCACCCGGCTCTGTATACTGCGGGTCTGCCAGCAGAGCGAGCGGCACCTGGACAAAATCCTCAACGTAGACGAGGTGGTGCGCCGCATCTTCTCGGTCATCCACTCCAACGACCCGGTGGGTGCGCGCGCCGCCCGCGGCCGCCGCGCGCTGCGACTGGGGCACTGGCAGCTGCCGGGTCCGGATCCGCGCTCTGTGACTGAGGGCACTGGCAGGGGCCGGGTCCGCGCTCTGTGGGAGGTCAGACGTATGAGAGCGGTGATACGCGCCCCCGGGACGCCCTCCCGGTCCGTGCATCAGCTGCCCCTCTGTGTTGATGCCGTTCAGCGTGATGGACGGTGGGTCGCCGGCTGCCCATACCTGGCCTGTTGTACCTACCTGTTGCGGGCGGCTGCCCAGTGCTGACCTACTCTCGGGGACGGTGTCCGGCAGGTGGCGCGCGGTCTGGCGCTCAGCACGCTCGGCAGTCTGAGCGCCATCATCCCGCAGAGGAAGCAGGTGCACCACAGCATCCGCCAGTCGCTGGACGCCCGAGACCCGGCCGAGCTGGAGGCGGGCATCCTGGCGGCCGGCCGGTTCGCGGCCGTCTCCAAGACGTTCGCCACTAATATTTCGGAGCGTGTCTCGGAGATGGTGCAGAGCGTCACCACGCCGGTGGACACCAAGCTGAAGCTGCTCAACATCCTGCAGCACATGCACCACGACACGCAGACGGCGGCCACGGTCAGTGCGGGCCCACCGGCGCCTCCCCAACGGACCATCAACAAATCCAACTTAGAATGGCCGCTGTTTTCCTGGACCTTTTCAAAATCATCTTGTTGCTACTGTGGCCTAGCCTCCTAATAAGCACTCGAAATTTGGACAAGAAAATCACTGCATCAGTAACTTCAAGCTCTCAGCGCTCGTTTAACGTCGGGCCAGGTCAGTAGGTACCGGACAGGGCAGCACGCACATGATGTACGCGTCCCTTATCAGCCGCTGAGGCCTGTGCGCGACGGCCCCTCCGACCTCTGACCGATCTGACCGCCTTTCTGATCAGTCTGCCCGTCCTTCTGACCGGTCTGCCGGACCCGCTGACCGGTCTGCCGGACCCGCTGACCGGTGTGCCGGACCCGCTGACCGGTGTGCCCGCCCCTGTGACTGATCCGCCGGCCCCCTGTGCCCGGTCTGATGGCCCCCGTGCCCGGTCCGCCGGCAGGTGCGTCAGCTGTGCGTTCGCCTGCTGCCCAGCTTTCCTTCGGAGCAGTTCGTCACCACCACGCTGCGGGTACTGACCAAGCTGGCGGCCGAGACTCTGGTCGACATCCCCGAGCAGGTCGGTGCTGCGCAGCCGCTGCAGCTCGAGGCTGTAGCGACTATTGCGAATCGACAACAGCCATTAACAACTGCTGGCTGGCATTCATGTATATTTTGAGCCATATGCTCTTCGGGCTCATAACACTCGGCGGGACTGTGATGAGTCAGCTGGCGTGCGGCCCGCTGCGCGTCCGCCGCTGCCCGTGACGCCGAGCTGACCGTGCTGCAGGTGGAGCTGCTGCTGGGCTACCTGACGGGCGACGTGCGGCGCGCCGTCAAGGCGGCCGTGCTCTCCGAGCTGCTGCAGCTGTCGCGCCGCGCCGCGCCGCTCTGGTCGCCGGCCAACCACGGCGCGCTGATCCGGTTCGCGGCCGAGACGCGGCGCACGGCCGAGAAGGCGGCCGCGCTGGCCGTGCTCGTGGAGCTGGCGCGCTCAGTGTCCGTGCGCCAGTTCGACCTGGCGCCGGACGGGCCGCTGATGCGGCTCTGCCAGGCGGAGGCGTACCACGAGGAGGCGGCGGTGGCCGGCAGCGCCGTGCAGCTGCTCACCGCGCTGGCCGTCCACTGGTGAGTGGCCGCGCGCTCCCGGCTCCCGGCGGCGGTGGGATGGCTCCCGGTGGTGGAGGGCTGGTTCCCGGTGGTGGAGGGCGGGGCGGTGGGCTCGGTCAACTCCCTGTTCGGGCGACACTCGGGGCTGTGGGGTGGCCGCCGCAGTACTGTCGACGCTGACGGCCGTGTTGGTGTTGCCGCCTCTCAGCCAGGAGCGCGGCGTGCGGCCGGACGTGACCGGGTCGGCGGTGGCCGCCTGCGACTCGCTGCTGCTGCTGCTGACCTCAGCCGGCGGCGCCGAGGGCGGCCGCCGGCTGCGCGCGCCGCTCCGCTGCGCCGTCTCGCTGGCCAGTGACGACGCCACGGCCGCCCTGCTGCTGGAGTCTGTGGGCGGCCTGGCGCGCGCGGCGCCGGCCGGCCCGGCGCGGCGCGCCCTGCTGGAGGCTCTCTGCGCCGTCGGCAGCCAGCGGCCGCACGTGCTGGCGCCGCTGGCCTCTGACGTGCTGGCCCTGCTGGAGGCGCCCGACACAGACGGCGACACCACGGTGGGTGCGGGCGGCGGCGGCCGACCGGGCATAGTGGACCTTACAGTAGTGCAGTGCATTTCGGCCATTTTGCTGTTTGCACCAAATTCAGTCAATATTGACTTCTATACAAAAAAGGCACGGCATAGGTTGTCTTAACAGCCAGTTTGTTGAAGCCCTGCCGTGTGTTTACAGGGTGGAAAGTAATTAAACGTACATACTTTTTATTCTAGCAATGAAAAAACGGCGGCGACATGACAATTTCATGTGCTCACATATTCTTATTTGTGTGTGATACGATCCATTTTGCCAGTTTTTTTTTTTTTTGGTCGACTGGCGCCGTTTTGCTGCTAACATGGTGACCACCCGTTCGGCAACAGAGTGTTTTTTTTTTGTCGCAATCGGAATTATTTTTTAAAGTCCTCTCCAGTCTTATCGTGTTTCAGCCAAACGTATAACTGAGTAAGGCTGTTGCCAAGACCGGTGCGAGGCCTTTCCGCTACAGTCTAGTCAAAATCATCACAAACGCTCTCTCTGACAACTCCAAATTGCGCTCTTTGCCCATTTCTTGTCTTGTGCAGCGCATGGCGTGTGCACCATTCGAAGTCGAGATGTGTTGAGACCTTCCAGGCCATCATCCAAAGTCAGGTCACTTTTGGCAGATGAGGCGACAACAAACACAACTAATCATGGTCAATGACATCCCGCATTAATACGAAATCGACGGGCGACATTGTAGGACACTACATGTTCGTGTAATTACCTACTTTCCATCGTGTAGTTCCCTGTGGTGTGGCCGCGCTCCGGGCCGGAGGCGGCACTCTGCATTGGGTGCCGGCCGCGCCGTCAGCTGACGGCTGGTCTGTGCGCGCGCAGGTACAGCTGTGCACGCTGCTGCTGCAGTTGCGCGGCGGCAGCGCCGTCTGGCCCGACTCGGAGCAGCGTGCGCTGGCCGCTGCCGCCGTCCGAGTCTCGCACTGGCAGGCCTATAAAATCGCCCGCCAGGCCATGAGGTGAGGTGGGGTGTCCGGATCCCCGCAGAGAGGGATAGGAGGCCAATGGGAGCTGACAGTGGTAGAGTCAGGGGCCGATGCTACACTTGTTTTGTGCCGGTTTTTGTGCTACTTGTTAACTCCAGTACGATTGTTTTTGCCGTTTCTTGTGGCACCTACATTTGAAAACAGGCTGGCCGGAATAGTCGTGTCACTTGCCTCGGACCAGGCCGTGTGCTGAACGGAGTGGTTGTGTCGCCGTTGGGACGGTGCCGGCGCCGTTGGTGATCTGACGCCCGGCCTGTCCCAGGTACGGCCACCACGGCGCGGCCTCCCGGCTGCTGGGGCCGCTGCTGGCGCACGTCTCCACCGAACAGATGCAGTTCTGGCTGAGCGCGCTGCTCGAGATCAGCGAGGCCGAGGCGCTGCTGGCGGCGCCGCCGGCCGACCGAGACATGAGCGTGCTCTCAGAGGCCTCCCAGAGATACGCCCGAGGGCTGGCCACGCTCAGGGTGAGAGGCGGGGCGTCCAGCTGACCCCGCGACCAGCGGGTGACAGAAGGGGCCACTTACTAGCCGCTGCGGGTGACAGAAGGGACTATTACCCGCGGGTGACAGAAGGGCATATCAGCCGCGGGCGACGGGAATTACTACTATAAGCAGCAGATAACGGGAGGGACTGTGATCCGTGGGTGACGGGAGGGACCTTTGTTGCATGTCATGGTGCGGTGAGATCAGAGATGGTCAGTTTTAGTAATCTGCATCAGTAATATGTAAAGTTATCTAATCATTCGCTGTTAGATATTTCTTTGCTTGAACCTAAAATAGCATGAGTGACGCCTCGTTTCGCCGTCAGCCGGTCAGCTCTGTTATTTTGTGCCCTGACCGCAGTCTGGCGCCAGGGTACTGTCGGAGTCGGCTGCCCGGCCGGTGTCCAGTCTGTCTGGGACTGACTACCACCTGTACTGACCTACCCGCGTCGGCCGTCTCCAGGCCTCCACCTCGCCGACGGAGCAGCTCGAGTTTCCCGTCGAGTTCTGCCGCCTGCGGTGGCGCAGCCTGCAGGCTCACATCCGCCTGTGGTCCGCGTGCCGCACACTGCAGACCTCGCCTCCGCCGGCGTGCGTGGCCAACGCTGGCGCGGCCGGCGCGCGCGACGACTCGCAGCGGAGCGGCCGCGTCACTGCTCAGGTGGGGCCGCGGGCGGCGCTCGGCTGGAGCATCGTACTCGGCAGCTGACCGGCCCAAAGTTCTCGTGCCCACCCGACTTTATTTATACATAAACCTTTGTAAGGGACTGAACTGCGTTTAGCCGTCTATAAATCTCGACCCGATCGGCGCACAGCTGCAGTGTTTGTTTTGTTTTGTTTTGTTGGGTTAGGCCCTTTCGGTCCATTAAGACCATTTCAGAGCCGGGAGGATGATAGGATGTAGGGGGAGACATTGGTCTGGGCAGGCACCCTAGTGAGTCACCGGGGCTGAGCCCGTCCAGAGGACAGGCCACTCAGCCCCAAGGTACTCACTGCACCCGGCTACGGGGTGCGCTCCCTCGGGAGCAGCGGTGCCGCTCCAAGGGAACAGCCCGCATGAGATAAAGTTGCCTGTCCAGCCCGGAGGGGGGTTGCGGCGTGGAGGAGAAGGATTTCAGTTTCCTGAGGATAGAAGCATGGAACGATGAGCTGCAGTGTGATGTGTTGGACAGGTCGTGCCCGCAGCTGCAGGGCTGCAGGGCTGTGTATGGCCAGTCGGTGCCCTTTTCCCGTCAGCTGCGGGGATGTCGGCACTCCGTGACCCATCCCCACCCGTTTCTCAGCTGCAGAAGTCGGGCGCCGAGTTCTCCAGCCTGGCCGACGACTACGGCCGGCTGCACCGCGCCTCGTTCGACGCCGACCCCGACTCGCTGGCGGGGGTGGAGCGGCTGCAGCGCTGCTGCCACCTGGTGGCACAGGCCGTCGGCTGGGCCGTGCGGCGCACCAGCCCCGAGACGGTCAGGTGAGCTGCGGGCGGTCCGCGCGGCGCGGCAGCGCACCGACACTGGACGGCCACGGCGCCTCCGTCCCCAGAGCCCAGGCTGATCCGGTCCCCTCTGGGAACTACTCTCGTGGCATGCAGTCTCTTATTGTTCACTATTGTGCGCATCTCAATGGGAGACATAACGAGCAGTGGTCCTCGGGTTTGGAAATACAGCCTCACGGTGCCTTGCATTGTTTTGTTATCTGTTGTTGTGGGATAATGTGTAAGCCTTCCAGAAGCAGAGTTACAATTATACCCTTGCTTACCTAGCCCATCATAATGCATCAACCACGTCCTACTTCCTGGCTATGTCTTGCCACTTGGAACTTAGCGCCTTTGGCGACTTGCTTAGTATTCACAACAATGCCCTCCCGTGAGTCGCATGGGCTGCAGTGCAGCGTCCCCTGGCCGTCAGTCCTCCGGCTGCCGCTCGCCCTGACACCGTGCTCCGTTCCGCTCCCGCGCAGTGCCGCCGCCTGCCCGGCCGGACCGGCGGCCGCCGCTCACCCCGCCGAGGAGGCGTGCGCGCGCGCGGCGGCCGTGGTGGCGCGCGCGCACCAGCTGAGCGGCGCGGCGCGCGGCGTCGACCACCGGCACACGGCGGCGCTGCTGGCCGTCAGCCGACTGCTGACGGCCGCGCCGCTCCGGCTGCCGCGCCGCTTCTTCCAGACGCTGCAGAGGACGGTCATCTCGGTAAGACCGGAGCCGGCCGATACACACGCTGGGGGCTGGCAATGAAGGGCTTGGTGGCGAGTCTCTCTAAATGACGTTCGGGCGTTTTTTTTTGTTGTTGGTTTGTTTGTTTTGTTTTTGTCAATGCTAGCCGGGCGAGCGTGAGAGTGAGCCCTGTACAAACAGAAGTGGGAGGGGATGCTTCCGACTGGGTACCTACTTACCCTCTGAGTTCTGACCGCTTCTGTGCTCTCTGAGTACCGCTGTTCCCTCTCCCTCCGAGTGCCGCTCTTCCCTCTGAGTACCCTCTGAGTACCGCTCCCGTCCCTCTGAGTACGGCTCCTCAGACGGCCCCGGCTCGCCGTGTTGCAGCTGTCGGTGCAGCCTCAGCCGCGCTCGGCCTCTGAGCCGGTGATCGCGCACCCCATCACCAGCCAGCTGGTGGTGAAGATTGACGGCGTAGTGGGCCACGGCCGGCGCGGCGCCGTCTTCCGCTCCATCGCCCAGGTGCAGCTGCGGGTGACGGCCGCGCTGCAGGGCAAGCCGCCGGCCGACTCCAAGGTAGGCGGCTCTGACCACCGCTCGGCGGCGCTACCCTCGGCGGACACGGCGTTTGTTGTTGTATAGGGAGGCAGCGAGTGAGAGGTGGTATTTTGCTGAGTGTCGTGTGAATGTATGTGTGCTTCATTGGGCTCGTCGCAGAATATGTTTTAGTGAACGGATTGCGATTGAAAGAAAGTACGACTGTTGCTCATCCTCTGCAGTATTCTGCAGAACGTGCCAGCATGATAAACGGTCACAGAGGGTTTGACAGTGAGGGCGTTTGATCTCGCCGTCGTGGCGACCCTATCCGCCATTAACTCTGCTGATTGTGCGGTTCGGTCGGCAGGCCCAGGACACGACCATCGCCATGAGCCGGACAGTGGAGCCGCACAACGACTACTTCCACGGCCAGTTCCTGCTCGACCTGCGCCTGCCCGGTGAGCGACGGCATGGCCCGAAACGGACCGACTCGGGAGGACACGGACCGACACGGGAGGACACGGAACGACACGGGAGGACACGGAACGACACGGGAGGACACGGACTGACACTGACCGTACCCAAAGTTAAAACTTTTCGTACCTTGCAGACTCGAATTGGCCCAGTGTCCCCTACTATCCCCAGTGCCAGGGCCTCCGCCTGATGACGTCTACCCCTGTCCACAGGGATCCACGTGGTGACGGTGGACGCCCACATTGTGGATGCGGACGGGATCCAGTGGTTGACGTCATCGACCGAGCAGCTGACGGTTCGCGCCATCGACGAGACGCAGCAGTCGCGACCGTCACGCGCCAACTCGACGCAGCCGCACTGAGCGCCGAGCCGGCCGGAGAACGTCCGGCGCGCGACACCCGCCTCCCAACGGTCCGGCCACGCACACGTGCGAGCGTCGATTGCATTGTTCCTCGGCGGTCGCTCTCCCTGATGGGAGTGCCGTCAGTGGGCCACAGCGACGACTCGGAACGGTATTTCGCGGCTAGTTGACGGCGAATAGACGCCCCGCTTACAAAACATATGTATTTCATGTGGCATCGAGTTCGTTTGCGTTGCGCTGTCTCACGTGCCCGAACAATACATAGCGCTAGAAGCGACAAAAGCTGTTACGTGGGGCTTGCAGTTATTGGCGCAGCGGAACTGGTACAGACAGGTGGCGGAAAAAAGCGGTCAAAGATCCACGCAGCGACAATACAGCGACAAAAACACGCGGAGGCGGCAGCTACCAGAGCCGGTGCCGCAATCGCCGGCGGGAATGGGCCACGGTGAAGCTGGGTCACTGCTGCGATGAAGCGTTTGAAGATGATAATTACGGACAGAAATCAGTAGCGGACTGCGCTAGGCCAATGTGACGCCATGGCCCGACGGCCCACGAAGCACCCTCCCCGCGAGCATGACGCAAAAGATGAATGCGCAGATGATTTGTGGAGATCATTCGCCGCCGGAGCGATGGGCGAGCGTCTCAGTCATACAGGTACCAGCAAATCCAGTCCAATCGTACACGTGACGCCGTCACTCGAGCCATTCTAAAACGAGTCCGCATACACCTAATCGACCGAACACTAGTGTTTTACATCACCAATCTTTCGAAGAGCTAATAGCGCACATCTGACGCGCATCAGCCCCATATTCATTGGCGCAGGATACCCCTGGTCGCCTTCGGGGCGCTTGGCACGGTCCAGCGAATCTGCGCGCCAGAGACTGCCTGAACACAAAATGAAGATGAACGGCACGCGGGGCGCGGCGGCTCCGCTCGTGCCGCTGTCCGATTATTGCGAACGAATTGAGGTTGAATCGGACCCAAGTGTCCGGGTCGGGCCGGCCACGCCACACCACACCACACCACATTCAAACAACCATCGACACAAGGAACAGCGCACTCCGACTGCAACCGAACGCACCGCGCCTGCCTTCCGCCACCACCACCGGACTCGCCATCCACTGTCACCGCGAGCAATCCTCGCCGCCCGCACGGAGCACACTGCTCGGCGGCAGACGGCGCTGGGCCGCGCGCGCCACCGGCCCGAGTTCAGGTCCCACAGAGACGGGCTAGCGGCTAGTCGGCGCCGTCGCCGTCGCCCAGCTCCCGTTCCAGCTCGGCGCCCATCATGCTCCAGTCCTCCTCCAGGTCCGGGCCGTTGCCGTCGCTGTCGTTGCCGTCGCCGCCCAGCTCGTCGTCACTGGGCAGCGGCTCGCCGCGCCGGAACTTGACGCTGGGCGACTCGTCCTCGCTCGAGTCGCCGCCGTCACTGGCGCGCCGTTTGGCGCCGCGCCCGGTGGCCGCCGGGTGCGACTCGTCGCCGCTCGAGCCGTCCTCGCTGGGCGCGCGGTGCGCGGCTGAAGACGCGCCGGCGCCGTCATCGTCGCTGCGCTCGCTGTCCGAGTCGTCGGGCGGCGGCGGCGCCGGCGCCTCCGGCCGCGGCGGCGGCGTCTCTCGCCGCGCCTCGTCGTCGTCGGCGTCGTCGTCCTGGTCCGAGCCGCTCTGCAGGATGTCCTCCACCTCCTCGTCCATGCGCGCGATGTCGTCCGGCGAGAACGTCAGCAGCGGGTTGAGCGTCTCCTGAAAGCTCTGTCGGCGCGTGCGCTCGCCCTGCGGGTCGGGGCTGGAGCAGTGAGCCGGCGGCGCCCGGCTGACGGCCGTGTCGGCGCGCAGCGGGAAAAGCCGCTCGTCCACGCGCTCCCAGCGCTCTGCGCACGACCACAGCCAGTCGAGCGTCACCAGCTGGATGCGTTTGGAGCGCAGCGCCTCGTTAACCTTGGCGGTGCCGAGCCGGGCGGCCACCAGGTGGGTGGTGAGCTCGTCCCGGGGCCCCTTCCTCACCAGCCTGTCCTGCACCACGGCGCCCAGGTTAGTGGCCACCTGGTAGGGCCGGCTGCTGCTCAGCTCCTGGTTGTTGGGCACCACGCCGCTAAACACCAGCCGCACACCCTTGAGCACCTTCTTCCTTACGTAGGGGATCAGCAGGCGCAGGTCGGGCGGCTCGCCGGCGTCGCTTTTCTTCAGCATCGAGTAGAAGGCGCGGTGGATGAGCAGCAGGATGTCCTCCAGGTGGCTCAGGTAGTCGTCCGTGTCCTCCACCTCGAGCTCGCGCGTCTCGGAGGCGGCGGCGCCGTCCCTGACGTCGGACGGGAAGCGCTGCTCGCCGGCGGCGTCTGCCTGGCTGCCGCCGGCCGCCTCCGCCTCGCGGGCGGCCGCAGGCGACGAGCCGGCCGCCGCCGCGTCGCCGGCGGCCGGAGACTCGGGCGCCACGCCCGGCTTTGGGCTGCCGGACACGCCGCCGCCACCAGGCTCGCCCGCGCCGCCCGAATCGCAGCCGTCCTGGTCCGGAGCCGAGCGGGAGTCGACACCGTCTGGCTCACGGCTCTGCTCTGCGGTCGGCTCCGGCAGTGATGTTATCTCCGCGGTGTCTTTCTGTCTCGAGTTGTCCGCCGCTGGCTCACTGCCGTCGGGCGATTTGGCATTTGGCGACAGGTCCGCGGTCCGCTTATCGTCCTCGGCGGGAAGGGCAGCGGGATCCTGTGGGGATGACCCTGCCTCATCATCGTCATCGTCAGAGATGTTGAGATCATCACTAAGTTCCTCTGCTACTGCTGGAGTAGCCTGTTCAACGGACGAAGGATCTGGCTTATCATTGGACCCCTCATCCTCATCATCGGAGAGGTTGGGCATTGAGTCTCGTCTTTGGACTGCACCAGCTGGTGGTCTTCCATCTTCCTCTGGTGGTTCTTCTTTTGTAGTCTCCAGCTTTGAAAAGTCAAAGCCTTCCTTGTCATCCTGTTCAGCCTTCTCCAGGCCAGGTGGCGCATTGATGTCACCTGTGTGCTTGAAGAAATGGTATGGCTTGACATGGATCAGATTTGGAGCATAATTCCAAACATCTTCCCTGTCATCAATGATGCAGACCATTTTGTCCCCACAGGGGAAGAGAGCTCTTAGATTAGCCGTCTTGCTCTGCTGGTTGAAACACTCATCTCGTGAGAGAATCCTGTTCGAAAAGTACACACCATCTGGATCCAGGAACTTGGCAATGGTATGGGCATACAGACGTGCACCAAATGTGCAGATGTGAAGCTCATAGTACTTTGAGATGTTTTTCAGGAATTCCTGCGTACCTGGCCGAAATCTGGTGTGATACCAGGGAGAGTTGCTTCCATACAGCTGGAAATGATACACATCCTTGATATTTGCAGGTATTTCATCATTGGTTGTATGGATCAGTGTTTGATCCAGATCTACCAGCAAAACCAGTTTCTTGTGCTGCAATAGAAGTTCCGTATCCCTTTTCCCAATTGTTTCAGCTTGCTCTTTGCTCACACGAAGCTCAGGTATGCTGTGAAGCATTGCCACAGACGCGGACCCTTGGCTATCTTCCGTTCTCAGGTCAGCTCCACACTCTGCACACATGTCCTTCATAACAACAGGATGGGGACAGGCTCCCATTTGTGCCACCTCAATGCCGGGCTGAACTGTCTCACCAGCCCTAGCAGCAATCTTTTCCAGATTTCCATATGCATCACTTTTGAACTTCAGTTCAGTTGAGGCATTGGAGCCAGACCCAGCATCTCCAATTGGTGCATATGTAAACAGAATGGCACCAACAGACACAAAATCGCCCTCTTTGGCTTTCCATCGCTTGATGGTTATAGGCTGATTTCCTGAGTACCTTATCACCTTGCTGGTACTCATTTTAATGAGTGACTGGCAACCTTGAAAATGGCCAAACGACGCCTTTCTTGGCCTTTATAAGACGTCAAATGATATCAACCAAAGTGGAAATTGCAAAAAACAGTTGAAGTTGGAAATTCAAAGATTTGAACAGCTTCTGCAGCTTTAAACAGACCTCATGCTTGTGCAGTTCCAGTTACACCTGTAGCCAGCGCATTCTTCAATCAAACAAGCAAAAAAGGTGGGTTATAGCTTGGCAGGTGATAATTTACGAAAATATCCAACCATTGCACTGAAGCCCTCTTCTATCCTCCTCTTTGCGTCAATCGTAAAATAAAACAGACGACGCAGGCAAACACCACAATCGACAGAACTGCGGCATATATGTATGCCTTGTACTACTACCGCTTTCCCATCGTAAAATTTGGTAGCAAAAGGCGTGACGTCATGTGGGTGTAAGGCTCGCCGTCCATCATAGGTGTCGTGTCCAAATATATAGATGGCCTTGCCAAATTCGCAAAAAGGCAGTTCAAATATCAATTAGTCCTGTAATTACATCCATATTAAATCCATCAATTTCTATGCCTGCTTTTGTGTGTTATTGTTCCGATCTGACTGAATCAAGATATAAATATGCAATATTCAGGAAGTGATTGACTAGATCATATTTACACAAGCTAGCCATGCTTTATTGGTGGGATTTATCACATCACATTCCGAAGGTATGGCTACTCTGAATCGCATGCAGTCACGAAGTGGAGGAATGCGTCCAGCGGCTAAACAACCCAGATACAAAATCTCGTGAAAAAAAAAACGATATCTGCGCATCAAGGGCATGAAATCTTAGGAGGGAGACACAGGATACATATACAGAGATCAATTATGCAGACAAAATATAATACAATACAGGTACCACGTTGATATCAATTACCTCACGACCGACACATGAAAGCATTGTACATATGAGTCTACAAAACATCCAGCACAGCACGCATAACACGAGTCACAGCGGCATTGGACGGTCGCTGGCGTAACCTCAGTTTGCACAGCCTGCTGAGTGCTGATCAACGACATCAGCCTGACGCCGGCCGGCCGCTGGCGGCGCAGGTCGGCGTCCACGAGATCGGCGCTGTCATGATGTTGACAGAGAGCAGCAGCGGGTAGGCTACCTCGGGCGGCACGGTCAGCACGTGCACCTGCTGGCCGCGCGCCAGCTGAACCGACCGCAGCTCGGTGGCGAGTTCGAAGCGCACGGCGCGGCGCTCGTCCAGACCGACAACGCGCACTCGGTACAGCACGGTGCGCCGGTCGGCCTGGCTGATGAGCAGCGGCAGCTCCTGGCGCGAGTTGCGGCGCAGCGCGATCTGGCGCCGACTGTGCGACATCACCAAGTCGAGCCCGAAGTTGAAGCCGGTCCAGCGCCAGGTGCAGCGGCGGTCGTCCAGGGTGCGGCCGCAGCGCAGCGCGCACGCCTCGAACTGCTGCTGGGAGACGGCTCGGCACCAGTCGGGCTGCACCAGACCCTGGTCGAGCCGCAGCAGCGTCAGCCAGTGGCACCGGAAGAGGCCGCCCAGCCAGCCGGTCGGCACCACACGGTCAGAGAAGAGCACCTCCATGTCGAACGGGTGGAGCACCAGGTGCTGCAGGCGCATCCGGCCGAACGGCCCCGCCAGCGGCGCGCCCTGGGCCGTCTCTAGCAGCGTTGGGCCGCTGACGGAGGCCGCGCGCTGCTGCACGAACCGGTGCGCCTCGGTGACCGCCTCCCGGCCGGCTCCGCGCCACTCGGGGTGCAGGCGCAGGAACAGCCACGTCTTGAGCAGCACGTACAGCGAGAACTCGGTCTGGTGCACGAGCAACTCCGGACTGGCCACCAACCGCGCCAGCTCTGGCGCCGGCAGCTGGCGCAGCACCTCCGGCAGATCGTTGACGTGCGTCATCAGGTTGAGCTGCAGCCAGCGGCGGCAGCAGCGCTGCACGGAGTCCAGGCCGTAGGCGGCCGCCGCCTCCAGGAACGGCACCACGGTCCGGGCGGCCACACAGGCGCACATTACCTCGGCACACTGCGCCAGCAGTCCGTCCATCTGCAGCAGCGCCGCGGCCGCCACCACGCTCACCACGTCGGCCGGCGGCAGGCACACCTCGTCACTGTACAGCGAGCCCAGCGCCAGCTCCAGGCCAGCCAGCGTGATGTTCGGGTCCACCATCTCGATCGTCACCTCAGCCGCGCGGGACTCGAGCCAATTGCTTGAGAACATGCTCTTAAAGTAGGCACTCTGTGACAGATAGAGACGATGCAGGTGCCACTTACGGCCGAGCGCATGCAGAGTCACGTCGCTGCCCGCACCTCCTTTGAACATTGTTTCGTACACATAAGCCATAGTGGAGGCCATCCTCCTCCGCTTTGGTGTTCGCATGAGTCGTTCAAAGTCGCTATCTGCATCAGTGTCTTCACCACGCCCCTCTTCATCAGATAACTCTTCCAGAGGCCTCTTTAGACCACGACCAGCCAGAGAGCCGGCAGACTGAGCCAGGCGGCCAAATGCAGCACCCATTGCTGGGGCAGGTCACAACTCTCTGAAAATTTTTGGTCTGTAGTCTGTGGGCATAGTCATAGCGGGGAGGCGTTGATCAGGGATTTTATCTAGTACAGTCTATCTTAAAAATACCGCGCAAAGTAACGGTGGATCCATCAAGCCTGACCGAGGAAGGGCCTGAAATAATTTGAAAGTCACCGAACCAATTGACCTGGGGAATGGACAAAGATGTCAATTGCGTCGGTGACTCAAATTTAGCAGGCCCTTCATCCAAGGCTCAAGCTTGATGGATCCACCGTTACTTTGCGCAGCACTTTTAAGACAGACTGTACATCTCATAGGTAGTAGGTACATGTATTTAGAATTGACATATTTTGTGCCTTAACCCTCGCCGGCACAGGTTTTTTTTTCGGTTGTAAGGTCTTTCGCGAATAACTCGCGTAAAAAGCGGCCGATCGCGACGAAACTTTCAGTACCCTCGCATTGATCGATTTTACACCTACCCTGAAAATTTCATGACCCTGAGCCCAATGACCTTTGACCTGTGAGTGTGACCTCTTTTCCGTGACCATGTTTGGCCGAAATCGCGATTCGGCGTATGTCGGCTCGCATTAGCCGCGCGTTTGCAAGCTTTTCGTGGTTTCAAACGTTCAAACATGTGATTTGATGCTGCTCCCATACATTAGGGTGGGTGTCAAGGTCACCTGAAGGTCAGGTCAGGTCATTGACCTTCGGTGACCTCGGTTCACTTTTTCGAGTTTTACATGTTTCTAGGCTAGTTTCTGGAGCTGAATTCGAATTTAGCAACCATTTGTGCATTTACGAAGTAGTCTTGGTGCCTTCGTAACATGTTACGAAGCTGTCAGAGGCGGTTGACACGTATTACGAATACCCGTCACAACCCCTACCGGTTGACCTGACCTGACCTGACCCGAACTGGTCTAAATGCTTAAATACATCATCTCTGATCAAAACTAACACGATATTCGTGATCAGCACCCCGAAAAACCACATAGCAGCCACACTTTACGACTTTCTAACCGGTCCCGATTTTCCCAGTTTTCGGGTCATTGACCTGACCTGGAAGGTCACCCGATGACCTGGGACCTTAAAAATGGGTATCATCGGCTTCCTCTCGTGACGGGCAGCACGCTCGTTTTTCCGCGAAGCTCTAGCTCGATCAGGGGCCAAACGCGAGGGGGGGGGGGGTCGTACCAACCCCTCCCTTGTGCCGTCGAAGGACGCAAAATGGCCTGTGCCGGCGAGGGTTAATTCTGGCGTCAGTTAACCCGCGCCGGGCCGGGGGGGGGGGGGGTGTTTGAACACCCCCCAGTAGCGGCGGAACACCTTCAATTAAGGGGGGGGGGGGCACTGCCGACTTTTGGTCCCATTCTTTCCATGCAACGCCCATAGGGCTAATGTTAAAATGCCAAAATCAAAGGGGGCATGGTGCCCCGGTGCCCTCCCCGTTCCGCCGCCTATGCCCGATATCTCAAAAACGGTGGCGCGGAGCGCCGCCGTTTTTGGCACACCTGTTCGTGCATGTTTTCCGCACATGTTGTGAAAATTTCAGACCCAGGTCGCCTTAGGTCAGGTCACCAGGTCACGCCAAGTGACCTCACCTCAGAAAAAATAAGAATGCTCGTCATAGCTACACCGATTGATCGATTGCCTTGAAACTTTCAGCGATTGATTAGAGCAACATTATCTATAAAATGTATATCTCGGAATTTTGATATCGGTGACCTAAGGTCAGGACAATTTTGCGGCCTCTCCATTATAAGTCAATGGGAGAACATTGAAAAGCGTCTGTTTTGCACGAACGCTATTCTAGACACTCTCAAACATCGAGATGTTGGTAAAATTGACACACTGAACCGGAAAATGGTAACTGTGACCCCTCGTCATGTCCCCGAGGTTATCTCAGGTCACGAACAGAATCTAACAGTTTTTCGCTAATAACTTCTGATAGAGGCGTGCCAGAGCGCTGAAAACGCCTTAGATGTGTTCGGCTCGACGTTGCGGATAGACAGATATGCAACATGGCCTTTTTCGGTCAGGTCATGACCTTGACCTGAGGTCAATTTTTCAAGTTGCCTTTCAAGGTCAAATTATAGTTCATTCGACGCGTCTCGACGACAGGAACACGATGCTGGCAAAAGTAATGTCACGGCTCTTTTGAGTCAAAGTTATTGCCGAAACAACACTTTTCGTAAAAACGGCTATTTTTTGAGTTTTTGCCCTCTGGAGGCTAAACCGTTGACCTGAGGTCAAATCTGAGAACATTACTCAGAAAGGTCTGTAAAAGGGCCATCGAATGCGCTTTTCCGCGGCGCTGTAGCTCTATCGGTTCCCGTGATAGCCGATGGCAGTTTCCAAAATGTTGAAATAGTCAACATTTTACCTTTGGTGACCTCCATGGTGACCTGACCTTTGACCTGACCCAAAAAATGACCGAAGTGTTTTCGTCCTTATTTTGGACGTTCTTTCGATTGCCGCTTACCGCGTGTCGCTACGTGGCCCAGGAGCCGAGTTAGAAGGGAGGGGGGGGGGGGGTCGTCAGACTCCCCCCCCCCCGGCCCGGCGCGGAATCTCAGAGCACCGGCCCGGCGCAGGTTAATATGTGTTAATCATAAACATAACATCCAGGCTATCTTGAGCGCAAGTAATGCACTTTGCAAGTCCCCAGTGTCACTCAGTACATAGGGTCTTGCCTCAGCCCAAGTCCCAACCACACAATTAGATTAGGTGCCAGGTGGGGCAGTTGGGGTTAATTAGCCTATAACTAACACGGCTGGCAAAGTTGCCATTGATTGGTGTCCTCATAGACCAAGAGAGGTTTACCTGGGTTATACAACTTACATGAGCAAGTCAAGGTAATGGTAGGTCAGGTTCGTCAGGCCAAAAGCCCTAAATACACCAACAGCCTTCTATTGTAAACGCTCAAGGTTTGATGCATTGTTGGGGCCCATGGCATTTGTGTGAGATTACCCACAGGCCACAATGCTTACCCCACGCTCAGAGTCTCTAAGACAACAAAGATTTGCGTCGTCCGGCTCCGGCAAATCCCGTTCAGTCCGGGGGGCTTGGTTGCGGTTCTGGAACGAGATTGGCCGGACCGGCCGGACGACGTAGAATCTCCATCGTACGAGACTCTGAGCGCGGGGTTACACACATGACGTCACTGGTGTTTCAGGCCCTGAAACAGGGCTCTGGGCTCTGGGCCCTGTTTCACCGGTGATAGCAGCACGCTGCTTTTACACGTGTCAAATTGGGTTTCCATGGAAACATCAACAGGCCCATTGCTCCAACACTACCACAAGTGTGACGTCAGCTCACGCAATTTGATAGCAGCGTGTTAGCAGCGTCCCGTGAAACACCGCCCAGATGTGTGCAGCGTATCCCTTATCTGAGGCCAGTTTTACCAGAGTGCTGTTCACGGGCACCTGCAGTGACTGCGGTAGCTGCGGTAGATCGCAGGCTGAAAGCCCCGCCCACTTGTGTATACGTCATCACGCGTTCATCTGCGGTGGCTGTGTCAATTTTGCGCCCAAGTAACACGAATGCGCAACTGCCGCGCCACTTTGTATGACAAATGGTTCCTGCAGCCGCTGCGGTCGGATCGTTTCGACAGCATGAGACGCAGGCGACCGCAGCCGTATGACGTCACACCACCCGCCCCATCCCCACTTTCTGTGACGTCATTACCCGGCTGACCGCCTAGCCGCAGCTACCGCAGCTACTGCAGGTGCCCGTGAACAGCACTCTGTAAACCATCATATTACCTATGGACTAAAACAATGGGGAAGTGGGAAAATCTGAGGCCAGTTTTACCAACATAAAAATAGCTGCCTGCCTGAATTTTTTGCCTTAAGACCGCTTCACATACAGAGCATAAACGCGATGGGCACATTAGCGGATAGGGCTTTACCGTTTACGCTTCGTACCTATGTGAAGTGGTCTTCAGGCCAAAAATTCTGACAGGCGGCTATTTTTCTGTTGGTAAAGATGGCCTCAGAATATATTTTCCCACTCCCTCCTTGTTTAAGTCCGTAGGTAATATGCATTTACTCTGCTAATGTCATGTAACACCCCAGCCCAGTATAGTCAGAGTTCAGATTCTAGGTACTTCTCCATGCTAAATAACACGTAGACCATCATGAAAATGCTGAAATGGACAATTATCTTCAGTTTATCATAATAATACTACGAACCAAGGCAGTAAGTATATATAGGTATCCTACCAACCAAGGCTATATAAACAATAAACCCAACCAAGGCCCTAACCCTACCAACCGAACGTTCCGAACAATGAATTACACAACCGACGCCATTTCTCGATGTTTACCCGCGCGCCATGTGTGCGAAGTGCGGCAGAATCGTAATTCGTAACGTACAAAGCGTTCTAGACTTTCATAAAAAGAATACAGAATAAATTGATTGAAAATGAAATATGAACTGATAAAGACCAACGTATATATATAATTATTAAAAATAAAAAACCTCATCTTAGCTATGATTTCTGCCTACCCGGGGTTTTAAGGAAATGAAACATATGCTCGCATAAATAGATTGCAAGCGATGCTAGTTTAGTCAAATATTTAGGGGTAAAAGGTTCTTTTTTTTTGCCCAAATTAAGCCAGATATACAACCACTCAACTTAAAAATAAAAGTGGGTGCTACCTACTTCATATCTATGCCTACTACTTACGCCCCGAGGGGCAACAAGTTTGTGCAGCATTTTAGTACACTTTCGGGTGAGACTAAATGCTTACTTCGAAATCTAAGCTGCGTTGCGGCATTGGCGGTTATGTGCGGCGTGTATGCCGCATGATTAGTAAGCGGCGACCACTAAATTAAAAACTCAATAGCTTTAACCTGTTTTCAATGGATAACACTGCATACCAAAAATGTCCATCGCTCTCGTCATAGGATATTTAGATTTAAATAACTAACTTATCTACATCATCGTTTTGAACCAAATTAATGCTTCCAACTTGACCCTTGCCCGTATTGGTGTTTTTCCAGCCGCGAACGTATAAGGTACCAGTATAACGCCTTTTGGGGCGACTAACGGAGCGAGCGAGAGGGTGGGCCTTGCACGTGCGAAATTGCGAGGGGGTACCTCCAACTGACTTGTGCACGGCACCCTACTAACCGGTCTCTAGCGATGTGCCAAATTTGGGCACAATCGGCCCAGCCGTTCTCGAGATCTGGAAGCGGCACCCTGCACGTGCGCACGTGCAAAATGGGTCCCGACTGACTTGTGCACGGCACCCTACTAACCGGTCCCTAACTGTGTACCAAATTTGAGCGCAATCGGTCCAGCCGTTCCCGAGATCTGGAAACGACCCCTGCACGTGCGCACGTGCAGAAGCACCCCAACTCTGGCACATGTATATGCAGTGCCTAAAGGGTGCCTACCTACATGCCAACTTTCAGCGCAATCGGCCAAGTAGTTACCGAGATATTGCAACAATTACAAAACTGACACCTCTTCGTTTTGCACGTGGCACGTGCATAAGGGGTCACCCACATGCATCGGGAATAGTTCAATACTTGGTAGAAGGAATGAAGCTACCCTACAAAAATTACCGCGTGTAAATCGGTCAAGTGGTTGCTGAGATATAAGCCTCGCAAAAGCGTGACCACGGCCGGCCGGCCGGCCGGCCGCTCATACTCAGAAATTTCCGTTAATCTAAGGAAAGACTACGCTCGCTTCGCTCGCTCCGTAATAACCCCTTGCCGTTTCGCTCCTGATCGCTAGAGCTTCGCGGAAAAAACGAGCGTGTTGCCCGTGACGAGAGGAAGCCGATGATACCCAATTTTAAGGTCCTAGGTTATCGGTTGACCTTCCAGGTCAGGTCAATGACCCAAAAGGCGGGAAAATTGGGACCTGTTACAACGTCGTAGTGTGGCTGCTATGGGTTTTTTCGGGGTGCTGATCACGAATATCATGCTAGTTTTGATCACAGATGATGTCTTCATTCATTTAGGCCAGGTCGGGTCAGGTCAGGTCAGGTCAACCAGTAGAGGTCCTGCCGGGTATTTGTAGTAGGCGTCAACCGCCTCTGACAGCCTCGTAACATGTTACGAAGGCACCAAAACTACTTTGTATACGTTTATGTGGTTGCTAAATTCGAATTCAGCTCGAAAAACTGGCCTAGAAACATGTCAAACTCGAAAAAGTGAACCGAGGTCACCAAAGGTCAATGACCTGACCTGACCTTCAGGTGACCTTGACACCAACCCTCATGCATGGGGGCAACATCATATCACATGTTTGAACGCTTGAAACTACGAAAAGACTGCAAATGCGCTGCTAATGCGAGCCGACATACGCTGAATCGCGGTTCCGGCCAAACATGGTCTCGAAAAGTAGGTCACAGGTCAAAGGTTATTTGCGTCAGGGTCATGAAATTTTCAGGGTAGGTGTAAAATTGATGAACGCGAGGGTACTAAAAGTTGCGTCGTGATCGGCCGCTTTTTACGCGAGTTATTCGCGAAAAACCGAGGGGAGCCCGTTCGACCCCCCCCCCCCTAAAGGGCGAGTCCGAACTCCGAACAAGTTCGGTCTTGTTTGTGAATTTGTCGGAGCATCACCTACTAGTAGAGATGATGGAGGGAAACTATGCTTTTAAGGAGGGAAGGGAGTCGGTGACGGTCAGGGACACTACAAGCGTCAAGCAGAGTGCAGTCATAAGCTGGTGACAGGGCTGACATACCATGTTTTGATAGCATGACTGAAACAGACTTTTTGGGTAGCCAGGAAATCGCATGCGAGAGCCTATTGAAATTCTTACATCGGCCTTTATATGCACCAGTCGTATACAGGTGCGCAGGGGCGTCGTTTTGTATAGGCCTGGGAGTGCCCGAGCACTACCAATGTTCAGCTGTGGTTCAGCTGAGCACTACCAATGTGTTGTTGAGCACTACCAACATTTTTCTTCACTTATTGAGAAAATGGCATTCAAACATGTCATACAAATAAAATGAATGAGGTTCTTATGTATAAAATCAACATGATAGCAAGTAACTTCAATGGTAAGTGGTAACTATTGATGAAAATCTATAGACTTACTCCACAAGTAGATTGAATTTGAATTGGTTGACCAATTCAATCTTCTTGTAGCGTACCTAAGTCCATAAATTTCCATCAATACCTATTACCTAGGTATCATTTTCACTTTCCACATCATGTCATTACGTCAACTGGTGCGGGATTTGGCATACGATTTCCAGACAATTGAAAGACTGTTTGGAGCCAACGAAGGAAGGAATGAGTGAGTACTAAGTTGAAAGCGTAATGACATGATGTGGAGATGGAATTAAATTGATGAAATACTAGGACTTACTCCACAAGGAGATCGAATGGGTCGGAGCGCTTTCAATATGTATTATACATATCGTCGTCAGCGAATCAATAACGGGTCGAATCGAGTCGGGTATCGAAGAGGTTCGGGAGCTGCGCGGCAGAGCGATCACATACTATTCGAATTATGCATTAAAGAGAATAAAAAACACGTGAGAACAATCATGATACACTAGCTGCTAAAATGAATTAAAATGGGGTGCTAAAATGCATAAATGGCACGTATAAAAATACAATAAAGGGGGGGGGGGAAACAGGATACCTATGGTGATAAAGACTGAGTAGAAAAGACTATACAAAAATGAGTGCAAAAACTGTAAAAGGACGAGTACAAATATAAATACATACAAAGGCCGAACTAGACGTAAACACTACTGACAAAAACGGCGGATTATCGGCAGCCAGCGGTCATGCAGCAGGGCACCCGAGTTCCTGTTCACGTTTGCGTCATTCGGCGACACCAGGACGGCTTCACGCCGACCAACAGTCCGAATATAGGCCGATTCCAGGAGAAGTCGCATCTGGTGATGACTGGCTCGATTCAAGATCTTGATGGCATCGAAAGCAGGTGAGCAGTCTCTATGGGTACTGAAGGCCGATGTATTGGCTCTCGAGCGGACTGCTCCAGTCCAGCTCTCCCGGTGTTCTCGGAGTCTCGTGCCCAGCTCACGATCTGTCTCGCCGATATAGACCATTGGGTCACCGTCCACTTGGCAGGAGCACTCGATCCGATAGATGACGTTGCTCTGTTGTAGCTTAGGCAGATGGTGCTTAGCCTTGCTGCAGAGCAGCGAGCCGATGGTGACTGAAGGCTTGGAGACGAGCTGGATCCCGATCTTGCTGGCCTCCCGTTTGAGTTGGTAGAACAGGGGGCCGGCAAACGGAACAGAGACTCGGACAGGCGCCGGGTGTGAGTTCGCGCTAGGTGGCGCTGGTAGGGCCCTTGCCTTCAGTCTGAGATCGGTCCGAGTCTTCTGAATGGCCGAGTCGATGAATGATCGTGGGTAGCCATGATGATGAAACTAGCCATGATGATGAAAAGAGAGACCGCCAGCAGGAGCTTGACTTCATCCGCCAGAAGTTTCATCATCATGGCTACCCACGATCATTCATCGACTCGGCCATTCAGAAGACTCGGACCGATCTCAGACTGAAGGCAAGGGCCCTACCAGCGCCACCTAGCGCGAACTCACACCCGGCGCCTGTCCGAGTCTCTGTTCCGTTTGCCGGCCCCCTGTTCTACCAACTCAAACGGGAGGCCAGCAAGATCGGGATCCAGCTCGTCTCCAAGCCTTCAGTCACCATCGGCTCGCTGCTCTGCAGCAAGGCTAAGCACCATCTGCCTAAGCTACAACAGAGCAACGTCATCTATCGGATCGAGTGCTCCTGCCAAGTGGACGGTGACCCAATGGTCTATATCGGCGAGACAGATCGTGAGCTGGGCACGAGACTCCGAGAACACCGGGAGAGCTGGACTGGAGCAGTCCGCTCGAGAGCCAATACATCGGCCTTCAGTACCCATAGAGACTGCTCACCTGCTTTCGATGCCATCAAGATCTTGAATCGAGCCAGTCATCACCAGATGCGACTTCTCCTGGAATCGGCCTATATTCGGACTGTTGGTCGGCGTGAAGCCGTCCTGGTGTCGCCGAATGACGCAAACGTGAACAGGAACTCGGGTGCCCTGCTGCATGACCGCTGGCTGCCGATAATCCGCCGTTTTTGTCAGTAGTGTTTACGTCTAGTTCGGCCTTTGTATGTATTTATATTTGTACTCGTCCTTTTACAGTTTTTGCACTCATTTTTGTATAGTCTTTTCTACTCAGTCTTTATCACCATAGGTATCCTGTTTCCCCCCCCCCTTTATTGTATTTTTATACGTGCCATTTATGCATTTTAGCACCCCATTTTAATTCATTTTAGCAGCTAGTGTATCATGATTGTTCTCACGTGTTTTTTATTCTCTTTAATGCATAATTCGAATAGTATGTGATCGCTCTGCCGCGCAGCTCCCGAACCTCTTCGATACCCGACTCGATTCGACCCGTTATTGATTCGCTGACGACGATATGTATAATACATATTGAAAGCGCTCCGACCCATTCGATCTCCTTGTGGAGTAAGTCCTAGTATTTCATCAATTTAAGTTGAAAGCATTAATTTGGTTCAAAATGATGATGCAGATAACTTAGTTATTTAGATCTAAATATCTTATGACGAGAGCGATTGGCATTTTTGGTATGCAGTGTTATTCATTGAAAACAGGTTGGAGCGTTTAAGTCTTTAATTTAGTGGTCGCCGCTTACTAATCATGCGGCATACACGCCGCACATAACCGCCAATGCCGCAACACAGCTTAGATTTCGAAGTAAGCATTTAGTCTCACCCTACACTTTCATCTCTTCTCTAATTATACATAATTGGCGCAGGCAAGGCCATCTATGGCGCAGTTCTCTATACAGGGTAGTTTCTATTCTATATATCAAATAAACCTACCCAAGGTATATACTGCCTTGCTACCCACTAGAGGTATCTTGATTCTTGACTATACCCAGTAAATACCCACAGTGTATATCTATACCCAATCTATACCGTACCGTGCATACCGTGCATATCAAGGCCATATCAATATATAGTGCTTATCGTGTATGGCGCATGGCCACGCTGTGTGACGTGTGTAGCTCCGCACTAGAGGTATCTATTAATTTTGTATATTATGCCATTTTACGAGTTCATATCCATCAACTACCGTTGATGGATATGAACTATGCTATGGATAGCTATGAGTTTATATCAATAAACTCAAAGCAATGGTTCGTATCTAAAAGGTCGCTTTGCTCAGTGCTGCCCTGCCGCATTTTGCAGTCTGACAAGACCGTCCAAGACCAGACTGACTGCAAAATGTGACTGACTGTATTATGGGTTCCTTCACAGAATTCTCAGAAGATAACATATGAGGTGTTTAATGCTCTGGTCTTTTAAGCAGCTTCCTTTTGCCAACAATGTTCAAGTTTGGTTTTTGTGATGAAGAGAAAGGAGACTTGCCAGGTCAAGGTAGGTATGAGTTGGACCACAATAGTTATTTAATTTTTGGAATTACGGATAGATCCATTGATAGGTACAAAGATAGGTTTGTACGGTAGTCGGTGTCACACTTGTTTTTTGCAAGCAAGGAGAGTTGCTATACCCAGGGATGCTTTCTAATCAAACCAAACCAAACCTAACCTAACCTTACCTACAATTTAAAGCCTACAACCTTCAACCTAAAACCTACCACCTACAACCTAACCTACATCAACTCTCCTTGGTTGCAAAAAAGCAAGTGTGATGCCTGCTCAGTGTTTCATTTTTCAGCCTTTTTGGTGGCAAATCACACCTAATGGGGAAAATATTTTCATCTCTAAAATATGAATGACCAACTTTACTTCATCTCTGAAAAGAGTTTCATGTATTCCCAACAGCCAGTTCACTTGTCACTTGACAGTTGATGCACCCACATCCTTTTGTTCCACACCCTGTCAAGATCCTGACATGAAATCCTGGTTTATCAGTTAGCGTAAAAATTGGCATTACACCATTTTACAAAAATACTGCAGTTATTTACTCTCTTTTTTTTCATCCTAAGATTTTTTTCTTCATCGGCACACCCAACCAATATCCAATTTTAGAACACTGTGCCTGCTTTATTACTACCGGTTTGTGCTGCGTTCTAAAATCCACTAACCCCGCATTTGCAGTCTCCCAGACGAAAAAAATTCTATGTCGTCCGGCCGATAGTGTTCGATAACCTTGGCCCAGCCCCCGCCGACCTCGGAAAGGGATTGGCCGGACGGCGTATAGGTAATCTTTGTTGTCCGGCCTCCAGGAGACTGGGAACGCGAGGTAAATGTTTATATGGTGATGCAGTTGCTTCAACCCAACATATTAGTCTCATAAGCTCAGGTGATGGTATCAATTTGGATAATTCAACAGCTGATGTTTTCCAGATATTGACAATGCATCTGGAACCTGCGGACCCAACAGGCCTGCTCTGCAAGAACATGCCATACTTGGGCCACCAGTGTCCACACAAGAGGTGAGAAGTGTTGTTTTCCTGACATGTATAATGTATTGAAAGCAGGGATGCGGAGCCGGAGCCGGAGCCGGAGCCGCCGGAGCCGGCATATTTTGCCCGGAGCCGGAGCCGGAGCCGGAGCCGGAGCCGTGAAACAATATAGCCCGGAGCCGGAGCCGGAGCCGGAGCCGTCAAAAAAGGGGACGTCTCCGGCTCCTTTTTTTTTGAAGAGGAAAAATTATTTACCTAGTTCGGTTTGACAGTACAAGGCGTAAAACAATGTGGTAGGTATTCAAAATAGCCTTGTTATACAAATACAGAAGCAACGTGTACCAATCCCATCGCCTTTTTTCTTCCACCCGTATTTAAAGGTAGTGTGCCACCTTTGAAAGATTTCCCATTTTATTTTTCCTAGGATAAGAAGCTTCTGTTTTTACCTAATATCGCAAAAAAAAAATCAAAAATGGGCCTGGAATAGTGCCTTTTTCGCCTAAAACTTTATCGGTTTTTCGATATGTATAACAACTGTAGTGGGCTGACCTGCAAACAGGCGTCGGCAACAATCGCGAATGGGGCGCGGCACAGCAAAGGTCATTATAGAGTTACGACGTACGGGAATGAGTTATCAGCTGTCTAATCGTAGACAACACAATGTCGAGCCTTAAACTGTAAGCCTGTATTGGTATTGTTTCTTTTATTTGGCTGTCAAACATTATTTATGGTTTGAAATATGATTTTATGTAAAATAATTGATATGAAAAAGCCGTCTCTTAAGTTATGACCCCATTTCACCACACGCAAGTGGCAGAAATGACAATGATCAGCTGACGCATTTGTCTTGGCCGAAGTCAGAGCGCGCGGCCCGACGCACCACCACCGCACCAGAATCAGAATCAGAATATATTTCATAACGAATCCATCGAATATGGTTTTTCATCGTCACACGTCAAAGGTTGAAAACATACGAGGTAAAATACATTCAGGCCAATACAATACACCGCGATACTTGATCAGGTCAGCCATACAGTTCTCTGTGTAGGTAGCGTCTCAGGGTTGATTTGAAGTGGCGAGTGTTTGTGTCGAATGGCAGCTGGTTGTACTGCTGGACAGCACCGTAGCTGAGACGCCTGCGACCCGACTCAGAGTGTATCCTCGGTAGCGTGCGCTGAGAGGAGCCTCTCGTCTGATACACGTGGTCTCTACTGGGGCCGATGCACATAGCGATGCATTCGGGACTACCGGTCGTGATGGCAGCATGGGTGAGACACAGTCGGTGATACGTGACAAGGCCACGCGCGTCTAACCAGTTCAGGTCACGGAGAACGTCCGCTACATGGTCGTGCTTACGCCGGCCGCTAACCACTCTGGCACCAAAGTTTAAGAGCTTCTGTACTCTATGTAGCTGCGTTGCATTACATGTACCGTAAACCGAGATGCAGTATCTAATGATTGATGTCACAAGAGCCTGCACGATCGTCACGACAGCACTTTTCGGAACTACATGTTTGGCATGCATCATACCAAGAAGAATGCCCGTGCACTTTGATGTTACATGGTCCACATGCGACTGGAAGCTCAGATAATTGTCCATGATGACACCCAAGTTCTTCACTACTCTAGAGTCGGGTATGGTGGTTCCTAGGAAGTCTAGTGCCACTGGCGGTAAACCTCTCAGCATAGCAGGTGTACCGAGCACAAGTGCCTGGGTTTTGGACGCGTTTAGTTTCATCCCGTTTGAACAAAACCAGTCGTACACACTGACAAGGGCCTGCTCCATGCGGACAATTAAAGCAGGTAGCTCACTTTTCTTGCCGCTGACAAGCAACTGTGTGTCGTCCGCGTATTGTACCACTCGGACCCCGTCGGGCACAAACAAACTGAGCTCGTTCGTGAAGATGGTGTACAAGACACAGCTGAGCGAGCCGCCCTGGAAGACCCCGATGGAGTTGGGCTTAGCAGCGGAACACATGGGAGTGCCGTCACCACCGATCACTTGCACTTGCTGAGTGTGGCCGCGCAAATAGTCTCCGAACCACTCTGTGTCTACGCCATACAGCGCCAGCTTATCGAGTAGTCTGGCGTGCGGTACCACATCGAAGCACTTCGATAGGTCTAGTAGCACGAGCACAGATATCTCGCGACAGTCCATAGCGCAGAGGACGTGTTCGGTGATGACGCTGAGAGCGGTCTCCGTGCTGTGACCCTTCCGATATCCGTGCTGGGCGCTGGAGAGCAGCTTGTTGGTCTCCAGATACTGAGTGAGCTGGAGCTGCACTACTCTCTCAGTAATCTTCATCACTCCCGGCAGAATCGAGATTGGGCGGGTGTTGGCTGGAGCTGAAGGTCCTTTCCCCTTCGGGATTGGCGTGACAAGCGCGTGTTTCCACGCCGCCGGCACCTGACAGGTCACCAAGCTCGTGTTGATCATGTCGAGCAGAATCTGTCCAGTACCCCAGAAGTATCTCCTGAACATGTCGACACTGATCCCGTCAAGTCCGGTTGCTCTAGACGGCTTCATGGACCACAGGACCAGACACAGCGTGTCAAGATCGATGGGCTGTGGCCGGAACCCACTTGTCGTCACTCGTGGCAGGCGGACGGGCACCGGTGCAGCAGGTCTATGTATGAGCAGAGTATGAGCAGAAGCCGCGCCCAAAGCCAGGGCCCCGGTAACGTGAGGTAGCCGAGTCGGGGCAGCGTGCGCTGACCCAAGCCGGGGCCGCAGCTTTGGGCGCGGTCTACCGCATCCCCGCGGGCAGCCCCGGGCTATCACATGACACCTGGAGGACGCGCGGCCCCGGCTTGGGTCAGCGCACGCTGCCCCGACTTGGCTACCTCACGTTACCGGGGCCCTGGCTTTGGGCGCGGTCTACCGCACCACCTAACAGGCGTGTTCGAAACCGCAGGAGATGATGATGAACGGGTTTATCGAAACTTGATTGGATGAGCATATCGGTAATAGCGATTTCAGTGTGTGCATTTATTGTTCATAGTGGTGTGAAATGTGGTTGGGGTACGACCGACAACCCGTCGGGGCGAATTTCGCACTGGGGTACTCAAAATTTGAAGAATTTAAGACGTTTCCATGAGTTTTGAAGGTATGGATAAGTTCTAAAAATCCGGTTCTCCTTATCTGGGCCATTAACTCCATACGGTCCAGGAAAGCTGGCACACTACCTTTAACCCTCGCGGGCCCGGGGAGCGTTTTTCGCCCTCCCCCCCCCCCCCGGCGAATATTTGCGATAGCTCCCGAACGCTTAGGGATTGGAAAGCGAAACTTTCAGTAGCTTTTCTCCCATCAATTTGACATCTTCTGAAGTAAAAAATTTGGACCTAGCCCCCTTGATGACGTCACAGACTCGATTTTTCTGGACCCCTGCACGGCAAACTTCGGCGTCACAGACGCAAACTTCAAATAGCTGCTAAAAATAGTTTTAGAAATAAAGACAAATTACGAGCACGGTTGTGTAGCGTTTGACCTAGAAAAAAAAAAAAATAGAAAATTAGTTTTGGTGACCTGCGGTCAGAGGTCAGGTCAACGACCCCGAAATGTGGTTTTAGTTTTTCGCAAATAACTTCGACAAAAAATGGTCCTAGAGCTACGGCAGTGGTATCATCGCATTCGCCTTGCCAAGCCGCGTCGAATGATATATATTTTGTTTGGAAAAGGTCAAGTTTTATGTTGACCTCATGTGACCTCGAATGACCTTTGGTTGACCTTAATAATGTGAAATAGCCTCTAGAATCAGTGAATCAGTGAAATAGCCTCTAGCAAGGATACTCTTCTGTGACCTTGACCTTTTAGCAGCCTTGTATCGTAAGATGAACCACAAATAGGGACCTGATAAGCCTCAAAACATTTCAAAACATCTTGGAAGTTAGCACGCAAGATGTACGAAAAAGTGCAAAGTTTGAGGCCAATTTTGAGCATGACCTTGACGTTGACCTTTGATTTTGAGCACATTTTCGGAATCCTCAGATTCTCTTCTTTCGTTTGACACCCAATTTTGCCGGTTTTATGCATCCTGCCGTCCTCTAGAACGCTTACTTTGATATCACTACACGTGCCGGTTTTTGCCTTTGACCTTAACCTCTGACCTTGAAAATTGACCTGAGGTCAAAAATTTTAGGTGCGTTAGAATCGTCTCGTAAGTTGTAAGGACCTTTCGTTTGGTATCGCTTTTGTTTCCGTAGCTCCCTTATTTACGGAGTTAGACAGGGGGGCGAAAAACGCCCCCCGGGCTTCGGTGGTTGGGACGCCCCCCGGGCTACGGTGGTTGGGATTAACCCCCCCCCCCCGGGCCCGGCCGGGTTAATTGATCGCATAGGGGATGTACTGAGTAGGAGCCGGAGCCGGAGCCGCCGGAGCCGGAGCCGCCGGAGCCGGACCATTTTACTCGGAGCCGGAGCCGGAGCCGGAGCCGCCATGACATTTCACCCGGAGCCGGAGCCGGAGCCGGAGCCGATTTTTTCTCCGGAGCCGGAGCCGGAGCCGGAGCCGTCTGAAATTTTCACGGCTCCGCATCCCTGATTGAAAGTGTTTACTGTTTCAAGTGATGAGCACCGGAGCTCTCCATTCAGTTTGTGAATGGTGGGACTGAGTGGTCGGCCTCATTGATGACTCTGCATTGTGGACTTTTTCCAGGGCTGAGATTGGACATACCATCACTAGTTGTTCTGACGAGTATTGGCAGATTGCTCGGAGGCATTATTACAATGCTTCAACTTACAACTTACTATGTTTCAACTTATTCATATGTACCTTTTGGCAAAGGTAATTGAATGTTGTGTATGTGTGAACTAGAAATGGTTAGAGCTTGAAGTCTTGTGTGGATAGTTTATAGTTTCAATTAGACGAATCTGCATGGTCAATATGCATGTCGAACAGGATCCCCTTCGGCAAAATAGTGACAAACAAAATCTTGATTTGATTGTGACCGTGATTAGCGTCTTGCGTACGTGTTGTCAGCCTCCGAGGCGCGGAGGCTGACAAGTGTGCGCGTGCGTGGTGTGACGCATGTGATTGTATTTGGCAGAGCGAGTTGGTACCTCTCTCGCTGTGCGGCCAGAAGATGCTGTTTCTGAATGGTGACCTGGTGATGCTGCGGCTGCAGAGGCAGGGGATGGCCGGCGACCTGGGCCGCGCCTCGGAGGCACACACCGATCTCATCCCCGACGTGTACGAGGGTGAGGCCAGGAAACAGTGTGGACATAACAAGACATTTTTTTCGTGATTTTTCATTCAAAGTTAAGAAGCCCAGAAAACTTTATTATGAACAGGCTTGGGTCGCTCACAAAGCAGAAGTTCTCTCAAAATCGGTGCTCGATCACCCAGTGAGCATTGGGGCACGGTGAATAATGGGCGCTCAAAGGCTGGCGAGCCGCGCTAGGTGTCGCAGAAACAGCCACTGTCGACTCATAATACTACAAAATACTGCCAAAAACTCCCCTGGCGCCTGCACACCATCACTCTGCGCGCCCCCGTGTCACGCTCGTGCCGCGTCCCTGCCGCAGGCGGCATGAAGCTGTGGGAGTGCTCGCGGGACCTGGTAACCTTTCTCAGCGCCGGCGAGCCGCTCGAGGGCCGCCACGTGCTGGAGCTGGGCTGCGGCGCCGCGCTGCCGGCCGTGTTCTGTCTGCTGCGCGGCGCCGCGTCCGTCACCGTTCAGGACTATGTGAGTCGGGGCCCGGCCGGGAGGGGGACGGAGGGGCTCCGACCGGCCGGGAGGGTGACGGAGGGGCTCCGACCGGCCGGGAGGGCGACGGAGGGGCTCCGACCGGCCGGGAGGGTGACTGAGGGGCTCCGACCGGCCGGGAGGGCGACGGAGGGACACCGACCGGCCGGGCGGGGGCGTTCTTCCGCCAGTCTGGTCGTGCCTGCCCTAAATAACAGTCATCTTAAACCCCTGCTCTGTTTTTTTTTCTTTTCGCGACGACAGCGCACATCGTGCTTGTTGTTTATTTACGGTAGGTTTATGTGCAAAGTAAATACAACATTTCCAAGAGGTGGCGGATGTTCAATATCAGCTCCATTGGTAATGCGAATCGACTGGCTCGCGTAACTATGGCGATTTGGGTGTAATGACATTACATGCTGATGTCTATGTGGGGGATTGCGTATCGTCAATGTTCCAATAGCGAAAAAGGATTCGCTGGACATTGGCAGCGCTGAATGATTGGTGATCAGTGAGGATGGGGCACTGAGCGCCGCCCTCAGACTGATCCGGCCCCTGCTCTGACGTCCGCCGCCGGCCACCGACAGAACCGAGAGGTCATCGACCACCTGACGGTGCCCAACCTGCGCCTGAACGTGCCCGAGAGCCGGCTGGCCGGCTGCCGCGCGCTGTCGGGCGACTGGGCGGCGCTGGCGGACCGACTGCGCGCCGAGCCGGGCCGGCCGCGCGCCCACCTCGTGCTCACCTCGGAGACCATCTACCGGCGCGCCAGCTGGCCGCGCCTGCTGGACGCCGTGGACGCCGGCCTGGCCGACGGCGGCACCGCGTATCCTCGGACGCCGGACGGGCGCTCACTGGGAGCGGTAGACGGGCGCTCACTGGGACTGCGGTAGACGGGCGCTCCCTGGGACTGCGGTAGACGGGCGCTCACTGGGACTGCAGTAGACGGGCGCTCCCTGGGAGCGGTAGACGGGCGCTCACTGGGACTGCGGTAGACGGGCGCTCCCTGGGAGCGGTAGACGGGCGCTCACTGGGACTGCGGTAGACGGGCGCTCCCTGGGAGCGGTAGACGGGCGCTCACTGGGAGCGGTAGACGGGCGCTCCCTGGGAGCGGTAGACGGGCGCTCACTGGGACTGCAGTAGGCGGGCGCTCACTGGGAGCGGTAGACGGGCGCTCACTGGGACTGCAGTAGACGGGCGCTCCCTGGGACTGCGGTAGACGGGCGCTCACTGGGACTGCGGTAGACGGGCGCTCACTGGGACTGCGGTAGACGGGCGCTACCTGGGAGCGGTAGACGGGCGCTCCCTGGGAGCGGTAGACGGGCGCTCACTGGGACTGCGGTAGACGGGCGCTCCCTGGGAGCGGTAGACGGGCGCTCACTGGGACTGCGGTAGACGGGCGCTCCCTGGGACTGCGGTAGACGGGCGCTCACTGGGACTGCAGTAGACGGGCGCTCCCTGGGAGCGGTAGACGGGCGCTCACTGGGACTGCGGTAGACGGGCGCTCCCTGGGAGCGGTAGACGGGCGCTCACTGGGAGCGGTAGACGGGCGCTCACTGGGAGCGGTAGACGGGCGCTCCCTGGGAGCGGTAGACGGGCGCTCACTGGGACTGCAGTAGGCGGGCGCTCACTGGGAGCGGTAGACGGGCGCTCCCTGGGAGCGGTAGACGGGCGCTCCCTGGGAGCGGTAGACGGGCGCTCACTGGGAGCGGTAGACGGGCGCTCACTGGGACTGCGGTAGACGGGCGCTCCCTGGGAGCGGTAGATGGGCGCCTCACTGGGAGCGGTGGGGCGCTCCCTGGGAGCGGTAGACGGGCGCTCACTGGGAGCGGTGGGGCGCTCACTGGGACTGCAGTAGACGGGCGCTCCCTGGGAGCGGTAGACGGGCGCTCACTGGGACTGCAGTAGACGGGCGCTCACTGGGACTGCGGTAGACGGGCGCTCCCTGGGAGCGGTAGACGGGCGCTCCCTGGGAGCGGTAGACGGGCGCTCCCTGGGAGCGGTAGACGGGCGCTCACTGGGAGCGGTAGACGGGCGCTCACTGGGAGCGGTAGACGGGCGCTCACTGGGACTGCAGTAGGCGGGCGCTCCCTGGGAGCGGTAGACGGGCGCTCACTGGGAGCGGTAGACGGGCGCTCACTGGGACTGCGGTAGACGGGCGCTCCCTGGGAGCGGTAGATGGGCGCCTCACTGGGAGCGGTGGGGCGCTCCCTGGGAGCGGTAGACGGGCGCTCACTGGGACTGCAGTAGACGGGCGCTCCCTGGGAGCGGTAGACGGGCGCTCACTGGGACTGCGGTAGATGGGCGCTCACTGGGAGCGGTGGGGCGCTCACTGGGATAGGTGGGGCGATCACTGGGATAGGTGGGGCGCTCACTGGGATAGGTGGGGCGATCACTGGGATAGGTGGGGCGGTTATTGGGAGCGGTGGGGGGCTCTTTGGGAGGGTGGGACGGTCACTGGGAGCGGTACTGTTACATCAGGCCCCTCGCCCTCTGCGTGACCCTTTTCCATCCGCGCGTGTATACGATCTCGTGCAGCCCTAATGTCGTGTCGCCACTCTTGTGACCCCTCTCGTCATATTCTGGTGTGCTCCTGTCGTTCTCGCTCTAACGATTGGCCTCGAACGACCTTAACCCGGCTGGGCGCGCAGTCTGGTGGCCGCCAAGACGTTCTACTTCGGCGTGGGCGGCGGAACGCGCGCCTTCGAGCAGGCCGTGCTCGAGGACGGCAGGTTCTCCTCGGAGGTCGTGTTCAGCACCAAACAAGGTGGGCGGCGGGCGGGGATTGGGGCTTTGCTCGCCGCTGGGGTGGCCGCTACCTATAGTCTCCTTCGGTACTCGCTGTGGTTCCTATCTAGTATTTGTAGTCGCTCTGGCTCCTGCCTGAAGTCGCAGTGGTCCTCGTCTATTGTCGCTGTAGTCCCCTGTCTGTAGTCGCTGTGGTCCCCTTCTATAGTCGTTGTGGTCCCTGTCTGTAGTCGCTGTGGTCCACACGACTTTGCTTGCATGTTGTGTGGTCTGATCCGGTCTGGTCAGATAATTGGAGATCTCGAGTCGAGTCGCACTGCTTGCTGTTTGACCCGGCCGTCCATTAGGCAGCACACTGCTGGTCCCTATAGATGGTGGACCGGACGCCATGTATCATGTGACATGATATGAGTACCCTTTTTACTCGTACAGGCTGCATCTCCCGTGTTTTGTTCCGCGGTACACTGATGTCTGCCTGTTTTCAGGGCTGCATCGCGAGATTTTACGATTAGTGAGGACGACATGAGGCGCCTGCTGTTCTACCGTGGGGCGGTAGGTTCGTCCCGAGGGCCGGCGCTGTGGGCTCCTCAGGACTGGTGTCGTCTGCTCGCGTCGACCGCTGTCCGTTCACCGCGCTGGCTGTTGATGAGTTTGATGATAGGAGCGGCTACCGCCGCACCATCGGTCTCCGCGGCAACCGTCCCCGAGACTATCCATGTAACAAAAACAACAGAGGCGTTGGGGTGGCACATGATCGGCGTTATCCAACGCACGAGGAGAGTATGTTTTGGAGGTGAGCTAACTATCGAAAATGACCAATTTCGACATAAAACGTTAACCGGTGGAGCGAGCATCCGCACACATTGTAACGCGCGGCAGGTCCTGGGGTCGCTCGGCTGGTCGAGGTTATCGCGGCACTTTTGTCTCTTTTAGCGCAGACCCGCTATTTGGGTCTGCTGGGTTTATTTCCATCTGTTTTTGCTTAGGCTCGGACCACTTGTCTGGTTAGATAGGGTTTGCTTCCCGCCATTCTTCATTAGAGCTCTATGGGGATCATTTTTATACGAATCTTGCAGTGTCAATGTATCACGAACTGACAGATTGAGAAGCGTGTGTGACCGAAGGCCCGATCTGGCTAGCTGGCCATCTTAATTTCCCTTCTCTGATTTCAAAGTGTCGTTGGTTTTCCTCTCGCTGTCGCCCCTCTCCGTTTCCTTCTCTCGTCTGCTGTTTCAGTCACTCGACTCTGTGGCATCGGGAGCACAGGGACGCCCTCTAACTCTCTGAGGGAGCCTGCCGAGGGACCAGTGTTCGCTGGGGTCGAATGGCACGTGACGGTCAGACCCAATTAGGGCTTTCATAGATTGTGTTCTCAGTGTGGTGTTCCAAAGTCGTACATCGATTGTGAATACATGTATCCAATAAGGACGTCGATTCTCAGTCCCCTTGTGTTTCTCGGCTCAGATTGTGTACTGTGCGGTGGAATAATTTCTCATTGTCTGGATGTCTACTAGCTACTTCCCCAGTCGTCTTGCCATCGTGGTGGATTTTGCGTCAGCCCTCAGCAGATAACGCCCACTTATCTGGCCAGTCGCGGGCGACCTCCGTGGTTCGGAGATGTCGATTTGGCGCGGGCAGTGGCCTCCTCTCTCCCCGTGGGAGCCTCCCCCTCCCCCTCCCCGTCTCCGCCCGCACCCGCCCACGGGCCGTCCCGATCCGGAAAACACCGGGACGGGATCTGCCCTCACCATTATTAGACTCTCCGTATGGAATTTACGTCTGCTCGGCTATGAGCCACAATTTTACGTCATGTCCAAGTTGGTTTGTGATTTTCACTTTCGTACAGCGTTATTGACAACTCACGGCCGGTCACCTCATACCCTGGGTCACCTCGGCCCCGTATGTGCTCGTGTCTCTGTGGTGTTTAGCAGGCGTCCCGACTATTTTTACCGCGCCTCACTCGCCACCACCGGTCCGCGATGGACGTTATCGCGCCGTGTATCGATCGCTGAGAGAGGCCGTCTCACGGACGGCCGAGAGCGCCATATGGGAACTGGCCCCAAGCGCCCGCCTTTCGGCAGAACATCGGAGATAGCTGTTAGGCCGCTCATACGTCTAATTCGACCGCGAATGGCAGTCGAAACAGAGGAATCCTTATGTCTGGAAGTGAGGCACGGAAGGTCAGGGTAATTATGGCAGAGTCAAGTTGCGACTGTCTCGTGACCCCGGGGCGTTGGCGGTGCGTGCCGGCCCTGCGATCCGGGCGGTGACCTCCCTGCAACCGTTGCCCCCTCGAGCTGTGGGCCGCCGCCGACTCGTCATCGGGGCCGAGCAAGGCGGCCCGGGCCGGCGCGGCGCGCCGACTCTGTCTGGCTCAGAAACCAGTCCTCGGATATCAGCGCGAATGCCAGCAGATGAGCATGTAGGACTGGTGTTACTGAGTCGGAAATCGTTCGATTGTCTTCGTGCCCGCTGTTTCCTTACGGTTAGTTACAGCGCCTACGCAGCCGGGTTACGGCTGTACTAATCCAACTACGCTGTAACGTGACACGCGTCATTCGAAACCTCGCTCCCGTCAGCGTCATTCGTCATCCCCCTCAGCCTCCCCCCCCGCGCCCGCCGCCCCCGCACCGCTCCGCTACCAACCAGAACTCGTGACGTCAACACACGCGGTCACTGGCACCAGCTGCAGCACAACACCCGACGCATGCGCAGAGCGGACCTTCGCTCAGAAACAATCACCCTGCGCATGCGCAGAGTGGCAGTCACCGGACTTGGGATTCCGTCGGGGCCCGGCGTCAGCTGCCTTTCCGTTCTGGGACTTAGCCGCGCGCGGTCGTCAGTGTTCAGCGTGGAATTTTCCGGAAATTACTGGATAGTTTGAGGTAAGTGTGTAAAGAAAGTTGCTCGATATCACTCCCTGTTTCATTTCCATTAGTAAGGCTATGGCAATATGTGCATATTTACTTGAAGGAGGATGTGATCTCGTTGGTTGGTCGGTCGAAAATTTTCTAAGTGCCAACATGGCGTCTGCGGCTATCTTTCGCAATGGCGCCGGCCGGCGTGGGCCTGAGATTTGTGGGGTTGGTGCGCCAGGGAAGCTGCGGGGTCAGCTCAAAATTACTTGTCGGCAGCATGCCTCATGCGCCATTACATTGCATTGCTTTTCATACAGACATTTTTTCCAGATGGAGAACGGCAGCGGTGATGTCCCTGTCAACGGAACGGGAGGTAAGTCAATCTGTTAAAAATCGTCACCCTATTCATTGGCTGGTTGTAAGGCTGATCAGCCCCTGCTTTTGTTATCGGTACCCACTAAATTTGCCGGGATCTCGGGCTCGCGAAATTAGGTAGAAATGCCGTGACCGGGCCCGTCCTTTGTTCCGGCTCTTATTCGCGGTACGATCCGATCATTCGAAAATCCCCGCATCTCCACTACATTACTGGTATGATTCGTACCTGGTGATGTGCATATTCGATATTACTTCTCATCTCAACCAAGCTGAGTTTCTCAAAAGTCTGTGGAGCCTGCAGCCGGCCCATTTAAATGGCGCCCGGCGTCAACAGCTGATGTCGCAATCGGCGTGCGGCGGTCGGTGTCGGGCCTCGGGACCCGTTCCGGTCTATCCGTCCCGCTCGCGACTCGGGTCAGCATAAGGTGACCGGGGAGCATGCAGGCGAGGAAAGCCGGCATGTGTATTCTGTGCGGCACTGCTACAGTAGCATCGGGCAGCGAAAACTGCAACATTGTTGCTAACTCTGGACTGCGAAACACATTAGTTTCCCACAGTTCATCGTCATTGATTTAAATCATTGCTAATGCTTACCACCGTTTTCGTGAATTGCATATGAACGAAAAGGGAAACAAACCAAATGTCACTAAAACGTGCAATTTTGATCAGAGTGTAGCTGTAGCAATTGTTTTTTTTTGCACCAAATGTTGATTTAAATAGTTTTATTGAATCATGCAATTCAGTTGAAGATAAGGATGTATTACGGAAAGAGCAGAAAGGGCAGACAGGACGGAAAATGTGCCGGCCTGTCCGTACGTCCACTGCCTAACCATTAAGGCCGATACCTTGCGTACCATGTGCTGGCGTGGTGTCTACAGTATAGTCCGTATAAACGACATCTGTTATTCGATAATCCGTAGTCCCTAGGATTAAAACATTTTTAGGCTCCAGTGCCGTGAAATGTGAATTCATTTACGCAGAGGTGGAGATCTCGGGGGGGGGGGGGGGTTCGGGGGGTCAGGACCCCCCCCCCGGAAAACGAATTACTGCTATGTAAGTCAATGGTACTGCATCCAGCCCGCCTCCATCTGCCCAGCCTGGACCCCCCCCCCCTGAAATTTTGACAGATCTCCACCCCTGCATTTACGGTAGTATGAGAAATGGTCGCATTTTATTCGTCACGTCAGCCGTAGCCACCCTTTTACCGTCCATTGGCTTCATGGTGCCCCGAACGAAGCTACACGAGCTCATGACCATTTAATCGCTCTTATTAATACACATCAGCGGTTCGCCTAATTTTTAGCCCGGAATTGCATTAAGCCTTCAGCTGAAAGAAAAATACTCTGTCGCTGGTTCCTCTTACACTTCGCCCGCGATGGCCGCGCTGTACCAGTGCGTGTTTAAAGTCTGTCAAGAGACGGCGCTGCTTCGTGCCGTAGGTGGCGCTGCCTTCGCATTATCGCGGCTGGCTGCTACGCCACGTGAACGGGCCAGAATCTGACAGCCGTCTGGCCGCGCAGGCTGTGGGCTTTGGCGCGATAGCTGGCCGAAAACCAGGTCCGGTATCCCTGGGCCCCGCCTGGGCCAATAGGCACCGGACCGTCAGTGTCTCAGATGGAATCGGACGCATCTCAATTGCTCGTTTTTACCCGGCATCCCCGCTCCGTCGTCATGTCATCCGGATATCAGCTGTTTTGGCCCATATGGTACCGTATAGTTGCCAGCTTCACTTCTCGTACTGTCAAACTCGTCAGCTGAAGTATTTATTCACCATTAGTTAATGGTGCCATTGATATTGATATTCAAAATTGTTCTGTTCTCACTTCTCACTAAACCCTCGTGGGTCGTGTAGCCCATGAAGCTCAACTCGTGAAATACACTGAGTATGAGTACCTATGTATGACACAGAGTTGGCCTGTTTGAAATTTTAGCCTCAGTTGCATCGCGCTGCAACGCCGGACAGAGTTTCGCATTGTTTCATTGGGACTAGCTCGCAGCGCGATTTATATGGGGCGTCTCCGTAGCGGTGGCACATATGTGCCAAAGCGGTAACGTGGGCGTGCTATGTCCCTCTTCAGAGCTGAGCACCGTGAACGGGGAGTCGAAGGAGCACAAGTCGGAGCACCGCTCCAAGGAGCACAAGTCCAAGCACAAGAACAAGCACAAGGACAAGGATAAGGACCGGGAGCGCAGCCGCGACCACAAGTCGTCACAGTGAGTGCCGGCGGCGCGCCCGGGGCGCCCAAATCGTCACCGTGCCCCGTACTTGGAGCGGAGCTGGATTTATTATGTGACGAAGGCTAGTTATTTTTCAATGCATACCGTTGCCCATTAAGCTGTCGCTAGTCTCTTCGAATATGATGCATCTCTGACACCGTTAACCCTCGCCCGGTCGAACGGACCCCCCTCGGTTTTCCGCGAATAACGCGTAAGAAGCGGCCGATCGCGACGAAACTTTCAGTACCCTCGCGTGCATTAATTTTACACGAACTCTGAGCATTTCATGACCCTTACCCAAATGACCTTTGACCTGTGGCCTACTTTTCGGGACCATGTTTGGCCGGAATCGCGATTCCAGTAGGTGGAACTATGGTCATGAGTACCCAAATATAGGAACGTTCCCATTTTTGGGTACGGAGTTCCCAAATATGGGAACGGGCGTTCCCATTTATGAGAACGCAAGGTAATTTTTCGGCCGTTCGCCCACTAAAACTCATTAGTGCACCACCTCTCAAAAAAGTGCACGCTAATTTAAGTATCTACTAAGTCTCTATAAAATTATCTTTAATCTGACCGTTGAACAAGGAAATTGACCGTGGAATGATATTTTTAATGATTTTTTGAAATGACGGAATGGTGAAAACATGGGTTATACTACATTTAACATGCAATGTTAAGGAAAATGAAGCGTTTTTTACATATTGAGGTCAAGTATAATAATTTTCGCCTGGTTACGAAGTTCAATACTAGCGACACCCGATGCTGACATATGCAAGCGAACACGCGGACAGTCCCGAGGTAATATTGTTGACTTTTGGTGTCGGGGCGCACGACCGCGTAGAACGTCAGTGATTTTACCGAACTACTGTTGTAAACTCAGTTTCAGTGGTTGAAAATCATTCAGCTGTATTTCATCAGCCCGGAAGACATATTTTATTTCGATGCTAGCTGTTTAGCGTTGTTCTATAAGGAGCGTCATGAGTGTGGTTTTTGTCTTCCGTGTTTCTAAGCATGATCGTTTTGGGGGAAGTTCTCTTGTATAGGTCGCTCTGTGTGGCTTATTTATAATTTTTATGCTGATTTCGATCATTCCTCGTGCCCATCCTACCAGGCTTTTTGCCGCTTACACTCATTAAGTATAAGGAGCGTCATGAGTGTGGTTTTTGTCTTCCGTGTTTCTAAGCATGATCGTTTTGGGGGAAGTTCTCTTGTATAGGTCGCTCTGTGTGGCTTATTTATAATTTTTATGCTGATTTCGATCATTCCTCGTGCCCATCCTACCAGGCTTTTTGCCGCTTACACTCATTAAGAAAGGAAAAAAACTAGATTTTCATTGGGACTATGTGTTTTGAGGGTGTAACATATTCAGCGTTCCCATTTTTGGATACTTCCTTGTGCTCGTCAACTATCGGTGATAAACAGACAATTGCTTGACATGTCTCCACCCTCGGCGCGGACGGTGGATATAGGTATGGAAGACCTTGTTGAACATCGCTGAGCGTTGTGAATTACGTAATCCTGCAGAGGGGGCGTGCCCGCTGCGAGATCGACGGGAATAAAAGCGCAGAAGACCGGGCGAAACATGCGACGGTCTTGCCGGAAAGGTCATCTGATGATTGTTGCGTTAACAATAATTTGCGGCGTTGGACGTGATGCTTGTTAATGAAAAGAGCCCCTGAAAGGCGTCGGTGAAATCGTTCCCAATTTTGGGTACGCCGTTCCCATAATAAGGAACGCTTGCAGCGCCAGTGTACGAGAGCGTTCCCAAATTTGGGCTCGCGGCCCGGATGATGGATTGCTTTAGAAATAGGGGAACGATTAGAAACTACGATGGGCCTTACAATATCAAACTCTTTCCCAACAATATTGAGACAAATATCAGGCGGCTCACGATCGTTTTATATTTTTTGGACGTCATTTAACGGTTCTTTTTCTTGTTTTAAATAATGCCTACATGGCGTTCCCATATTTGGGTTTATCGTTCCCAAACATGGGAACGAAAATGCGTTCCCGAAAATGGGTACGCTTGACCATAGTTCCGCCTACTGATTCGGCGTATGTCGGCTCGCATTAGCCGCGCGTTTGCAGTCTTTTCGTGGTTTCAAGCGTTCAAACATGTGGTATGATGTTACTTTCCATAGGCGTAGGAACGTTTTCGAAAGTGGGGGGGCCAAGGTCCCAGAGGTCCAAAACCTAACCTACCCCCAAAATCCGATTTCTCCTCGGATTTCGGCCACTTTGTTTTCGCAAACATGATCAGAGATAAAAAATCGAGACAAAAACAAAAACAAAATTGGTTAAAATTTCAGGGAGACTCCCGTCCATAAACTCAAACTGATGGACGCGTTCCCCTGTCCTCCGCAGCCGTTGGCACCCATGCAAATTCCAGAGGCATCCAGCAACTTTTTCATTACGAGCAAGCGTGAAACGTGCAAAGCGAGTCTTTTCAATATACCTATAAAAATCAGCATGAACGGCCCAGCTAGGCTCAGCCAGACCTATAACGTTTTTAAGAGGTTTTATATCAGCGACCACTGCAACTGGGCTGATTGACTATCAGAGGCCGGTGTGGGACTTTTAGAGGTCGGTCTGGGCCATCAGAGGCCAGTTTAACCCTCGCCGGACCGGACCTATAGGTTTTCTGGGGCGGGGGGCGGGTACGACCTTCCTCACCGTTGCGCCCCAGGTTGAGCTAGCGCGTCGCGGAAAAACGAGCGTGTGCGCTGTTACAAGACGCAGAGATCGATACCCGATTTTAAGGTTCTAGGTCAACCGGTGACCTCTGAGGTCAGGTCAAGTGCCTCAAGGCACGGTTCCGTTTTTGGTGAATAACTTCGCAAAAAACGGCCGCAGAGCCGCGATTTTGCCAGCATCGTGTTCGCCTCTCTCAGGCGCGTCGAATGATGTACTTTTTGTTTGGGTGAGGTAAACTGAGGGTGTTGACCACGGGTCACGGTCAGGTCAGCGCCCCCAGGTCACAAAATTGGTCGAAGGAGGTCATGTCGCATATCATTCGATTCGGCAGGTCTTCCTGAGTCCATTGATGGCTTCCCCGACTCGCTAGCTCAATTTGATCGGTAGTTCTTGACGACAAACTTATATGACCCTTATAACTTCATAAATGACGTCGCGCAAGGTCAACATTGCAAAAGTGACGCATCGAACCTTGCAAGGAGTGCATGAAAGATTCAGTGTGCTTGAGATAGTTGAAGATAGTTTACGGCGCCAGAAAAAGTTTTCAGTTTATCCCCATTGACTTATACCTAATGGTGAGGTCACGAAAATGACCTTAGGAAAAATCCGAGATGTACAAGTTGTGAGACTCCTAATGGATACTAGGTCCTCCAAGGTTCATTTCCCTGTGAAATCTCCTCTGGCAGTGAGGGCGTTGCGAAGTTGCGACATCTGAAGACCGTGCAGAGGTTCACTTATGACGTCATAGGTCAGTGACCTGACCTGACCCAAAAATGTGGTTGGTGTCAAAAGATCCGGCTTGGATCAAAGGTCAGGTATGCCAAGTTTCAGCTCTCTATCGCTAGCGTGTTCGGAGCTATCGCGAAAAAAAACCCTATGGGAGGGGCGGCACCCGCCCCCCCCCCCATCGGCCGGTGAGGGTTGAGGCCCTCAGAAACCAGTACAGGGCCTGCAAAGGGCAGGATGAGACATTTAGATGCCGACTTGGGCCATCAGAGGCTAATGTGGGCCCTTACAGGCCAGCATGGGCCCTCAGAGGTCAGTGTGGGACCCTAAAATGCCGGCATGGGCCGTTGTTGGACCCCAGAGGCCAGCAGAAGGCCCTCAAAAACCAAGATGGGCCTCAGAGGCCAGCATCGGGTCTTCAGAATCCAGTGCAAGGCCCTCAGAGGCTAATGCGGGTCCTTACAGGCCAGCATGGGCCCTTAGAGGTCAGTGTGGGGCCGTAACAGACCGGCATGGGCGGGACCTGGAACCTAGAGACCAGCGGAAGGCCCTCATAGGCCAAGGTGGGCCCTCAGAGGCCGATGCGGACCCTTAGAGACCGGCATAGGATCTTCAGAATCCAGTGCGGGGCCCTTAGAGGTCAATGTGGGACCCTAAAATACCAGCATGGGCCGGTGTTGGACCCCAGAGACCAGCAGAAGACCCTCAAAAACAAAGATGGGCCTCAGAGGCCGGCATCAGGTCTTCAGAATCCCGTACAATGCCCTCATAGGCTAATGACGGGTCCGTACAGGCCAGCATGGGCCCTTAGAGGTCAGTGTGGGGCCCTAAAAGACCGGCATGGGCCGGCGTTGGACCTCTAAGGCCAAGACGGACCCTCAGAGGCCGATGCAGACCTTAGAGGACGGCATCGGGTCTTCAGAAATCAGAATTCAGTGCAGGACCCTCAGAGGCATCTAAAGGTTAGTCTTGGGACCCCAGAGACAGAAATGAGGCCACCAGAGGCCGGTGTGAGGCCCTCAGACGCCGACTGGGCCCTTGAGGCCGGTTTAGGGGCCCTCAAATGAGGTTAATGTGGGTTCTCAGCGGTCAATGTCGGCGCTTGACCGCCACTGAAGTGCCCTCCAAGATCAGTGTAGGACCCTCAAAGACTGGCTTGGGAGCTGTTAATAGCTAGCGTGGGATTCTTGAGCCTCGTGACAATCGAATAAGGGCCAGAGCCCCATACGCCCATGGGGGCCCATTGGTTGTTTGGGGGGGGGGGGGCAAATGATATGATGGCCCCCTGATTAGCCTTTGGAGGGGGGAAGGGCATGGCCCTGACCCCCTCTCTGCGACCGCCACTGCACTGAAAGTGGAAGGGAAGGGGCAGATACAGACATTGCTGGCCCCCAGCCTGTTTGAGCCGAGGCGGGGGCATGGTCACCCTGGCCCCCAGCTAGTACGCCTTTGACGAACTATGCCGACCCCAAGCAGATCCGGTCAAGCGTTGGTCGTTTGTATACGCATTCTCATGCACCGTGCTAGTATTGTCTTATGCCTTTTCAGTGCTCGCTGTCCCGTGCCTCGTATTCAACAAAATGCTGTCACCAGGACCCACAGTCTTGTCTCTGATATGGTTTCCTTCATTGAGTGAAGGAAATTGCGGTCAATAACGCTGTAGAAACAAAAGGGAATCTTCTATAAAGGGCAAGCTGAATTGTTGTCAAGTTACCGGGTGGTAGCACTGGTACCTAGGTACAGACAGACACTTAAGTCAGCAAAAAGTGGGGGGGCCAGTTAACATTGCTGGCCCCCCCACCTCCGAGAGTGGGGGGGCCATGGCCCCCCCGGCCCCCCCCTGTTCCTACGCCTATGTTACTTTCATGCATTAGGGTGGGTGTCAAGATCACCTGAAGGTCAGGTCAGGTCATTTACCTTGATGACCTCGGTCCACTTTCTCGAGTTTTGCATGTTTCATGTAGTTTTTGGAGCTGAATTCGAATTTAGCAGCCATTTGAACATTTACGAAGTAGTTTTGGCGCCTTCGTAACATGTTACGAAGCTCAAAGGCAGTTGACATCTACGAATACCCGGCAGGACCCCTACTGGATGACCTGACCTGACCTGACCCGACCTGGCCTAAATGCATGAAGACATCAGCTGTTATCAATCATGATATTCGTGGTCAGCACCCCGAAAAACCCCGATAGCAGCCGCACTTAACGACGTTCTAACAGGTCTTGATTTTCCCGACTTTTTGGTCATTGACCTGACCTGGAAGGTCAACCAATGACCTAGTGGGTATCATCGGCTTCCCCTCGTCACGGGCAAACGTTTTTTTTCCGCGAAGCTCTAGCTCGATCAGGGGCGAAACGGCAAGGGGGTCCAGCGGACGCTCCCCCCCCCCCTCCCCTTATACATTCGCGGCTGGCAAAACACCAGTACGGGCGAGGGTTAAGTCACATGAAGTTATGTTATGTAAATTTGTAACGGTTTTATGTTCTGCTTTGAAACTATTTATTGGCTTGCATACTTTTTTCAGCAAAGATAAACACCGAAGCAAAGACCACAAGTCTCACAAGTCGAGCTCGAAGGACAAAGACCGTCACAGCAGCTCCAGTAAAAGTGACAGAGACAAGGACAAGGATCGACACCGGGACAAGGACAGGGATAAGGACAGACACCGGGACAAGGACAGGGACAAGGACAAGGACAAGCACCGGGACAAGGACAAGCACAGGGACAAGGACAAACACGGCGATGGCAAACACAGGGACAAACATCGGGAGGACAAGGACAAGCCCAGGCCGGTCGAGCCCAAGGAAGAGCCAAAGGAGGAGCCGATGGATGATTTCAAGATCAACACTGATTCAGCTGATGATTTCAAGATCAAGTCAGAGCTTGATGAGGAGCCCATGGTGAGTAAACATGTCTGCACTGCTGGAGTGTTGACAACTGCCTTTTGCACACTTTGTGGTGCGAATGCCACGAGTCAATGCAGTGTTTAGGAAAATCGTTTAAATAATGCTACATAAAAGCCACAATAGAAGATACTGCAAAATCCAACTTGCTTTTTTCAATAATTGAATCTGAATTTACGGTTATCTCACAATGTGGCGACATTTTACAGTCGCATCAGCTTGCGTCCTTTTACCTCGACACTCGTGCTATTCAGCTGTGCTCGTGGTCCCTCCTGGCTTGTTCCTGTGCACCAATGCGTGCGCCGCGCCCTCCGCTGTGCCCGGCCGGCTGTCTCCCCTGTAACACGTCCCACCACTGACGCTCTCCCCCGGCCGGCCGCGCAGGACACGGCTGAGTCGTCCCCGGCGGCCTCTGCCGACCAGTCGGCCGCCGACGACTCGCAGGACTTCACCGACGGCGACGACGAGCCGCGGCCGCTGGTGATCAAGGAGGACCCAGAGAGCGAGGATGACGCGCCCCTGGTGAGTGCCCCGCGGGCGCAGCACACTCGGCCACCAACCGGCCGGGCTCCCTGGCCGTCGACTGGTGGTGTGCTGGTACACTGCCCCATTTCCGCCGCCTGGCGCCCGCTCTCCCGTCGGCGCACACAGCCGTACGGTCAGAGTGCGCCATACTTGCACACGGTGGGACGTACGGCGTACGGCCCGAGTGCGCCATACTAGCACACGGTGGGAGCTGAAACTCGTCAACTCCAAAGCATCTCTGGACTCGGGGTCACCGCAGGTATCTGGGACTCGGAGTTCGGTACCAACTATCAAATTACTGCGCTAAACATAGTGCTAAATGTGTGGAGTTCTTAGGATGGATGTGATCCGGGGCCCCTGCTGGCCCCCTCTCCCGCCCAGGTCGCCCGCTCCCCCCTGACGCCTGCCCTCTCCACGACAGTCGGCTCGTGTGAAGCCGAAGCCGTCCAAGGCGGACTACGAGAGCGAAGAGGACGTGCCGCTCTCGGCCCGCATCAAGCCCAAGCCCAAGGCGAAGCGGAAGGCGGCTGATACTGACGACGAGTACGACGCCAAGCCGGTACGTGGCCGAGTGGGGCGCGACACTGGCCAGGGACCGAGTAAGGGGGATGGGCGCTAGGGTCTTCAGGCAGGCCAAGACTAGATGTATAGAACATCGTCTAGACCCTTCCTCGAAATGCTCTTGATAATTCAACGATACTCCTATTTTCTTTCCTGTCTTCCCATTCTTACGCCGCTATCGATATTTAATGCTGAAACGTTTTTTATCACTGGCAGACCAAGAAAGTAAAGAAGGAATCAGTGAAACGTACCCCGGCAAAAACCGAGACGCTCAGTCCGACCAAGAAGAAGAAAAAGGAGGAAGAGGAGAGGGAAGTCTGGAAGTGGTAAGCAACGCCCTAATCCTCTGTATTCACCGACTGAATGTTCATGTTCGTTTGATTGTAATGTTCAAATGGCATCCCTTAATCCTTTGCATATGCATTTCCTCTACCAGTATCCTTGTCCCACCACGCCTGCACCAGAAGTCATGCTGGTGGAATGGAATGCGCGTTCTTCGTGACCAGGAAGTACAGTATCTTTTTAGCAAAGGATCCTATGCAAATAAATCATGTTTTATCTTCAGATTTCAAGTGACCTCTACGCTGAGTTTTGTCCACGTGTAGAAATCGCTAGCTTTTTTATTACAATTCCTGTTACGTTTCTATTTTATTTTCGTTTTTTTTTTTCATTTGCGCGCATTTTCTTTGTGCAGTCATTCCGTGTAGCAGCGGAGGTTTCCCTATCGGATGCATGGTACATCTGTTCGGCACTGGAATGAGGACGAGAAGCAGTGTGTCGCTGTTCGCCGCGCCCCCGCCGCAATATGCGCCACCACCGCGAGCCGCCCCGTGTCCGTCGAGCGCGCGATTGTGCCGGCGAGGCCGCGGCGGCGTTTCCGTAGAAATGTCCCGGGACCTAGCCGGGGCCGTCCCCGGCGGGCGGGACGCGACGCCGGCGCGGTCGCAGTCGTGCCGGCGCAGTCGCAGCTCCATTTCGGTTGGCCTGCACCGAGAGTCGTCCACCGCGCGAGGGAGAGACGCGACGCCGTCAAAAAGCTGCACCTTCCAGCGCGACCGGGAGCCGTTCAAGGTTCCGGCCGCGAGCCGCAGGTCGCCGCCAAGGCCACGGAAGTGCAAGAGTCATCAATGTGTTGTGAATGGCGCTGGTAGCGGCTTTGCCGCTCCCCCAGCAAGACAGTTGCCGCCTCGTAGAATCTGTCCATCTAGGAGAGGCAAAAAGCGGAAGTTTAATTGGTAATTTCAATAAGGTGTCCCTGGAGTATGTCCAGGATATCTTCTGGTATATTGATCTCTTTTATCTTCATCTTGTATCTGTTTTTTTTTGCGCAATCACTTTGCATAGTCCCTAGCAGTTTTTTTCTGGACGTCGGACCGTACCTCTCCTCATGGAGTTCCCCCCACCTATTATCGGTTGTTTGCCCGGCATTTTCCACACACCCCTGTCTATTATGCTGGCACACCCTGTCACCTCTTCACTGCTTCATCGTATGGGACTCATCTATGTGCTTGTTCTTTTTCTCCGATTCCAAGTGTCCATGCAGTACATTTTCGTCCCTTTGTTTGGCCATTTTCCGTTGTGCGGTGAGGTGTCTCAGTCTGGTATCTCCGCCGTACTCTAGGTGGCGTCATCATTTCCTGTCGGTGCCCATCGTTCCTCGTCCGTTCGCTCCCTGACCGTCGGGCGGCCTCTCCCCAGGTGGGAGGAGGAAAAGGTGAACGATGGCGTCAAGTGGCGCACGCTGGAGCACAAGGGCGTGCTGCTGGCGCCGCCCTACGAGCCGCTGCCCGGACACGTCAAGTTCTACTACGACGGCAAGGAGATGCGCCTCTCGGAGGAGGCCGAGGAAATCGCCACGTTCTACGCCAAAATGCTCGACCACGACTACACCACCAAGGAGGTGTTCAACAAGAACTTCTTCCACGACTGGCGCAAGGCCATGACCGAGAAGGAGCGCGAGAAAATCACCCACCTGAAGAAGTGCGACTTCACCAAGATGGCCGCCTGGTTCAAGGTGGGTGGGCGGTCGCTGGCGCCGGCCGGGCTCGGCCAGTGTTGGCCATGGAGTGGGGTGGGGGAGCGAGGCTGTTAAAGAGATCACGGAGCTCGGGATTGAACCCGTTAACACCAGACTAACGGACCAGCAGTATGTGTTATGGCTTTCTTTCAGTTTTGCTCTATCTATAGATGTCCTGTCCTGGCCCATTTCCCCCGCGTTGTCTGCTTGGCTGCGATTGCTGGTACGGCTATCCCACTGACCGGAATGTTTTCCGTCCGCAGGAGAAGACCGAAGAACGCAAAAACATGAGTAAGGAGGAGAAGAAGGCGCTGAAAGAGAAGAACGAGGAGATCACCAAAGAGTACGGCTTCTGCATGCTGGACGGTCACAAGGAGAAGATCGGCAACTTCCGCGCCGAGCCGCCCGGTCTGTTCCGGGGCCGCGGAGAGCACCCCAAACAGGTACGGTGAACGGGGGGCCGGCGGAGAGCACCCCAAACAGGTACGGTGAACGGGGGGCCGGCGGAGAGCACCCCAAACAGGTACGGTGAACGGGGTCCGGCGGAGAGCACCCCAAACAGGTACAGTGAACGGGGGCCGGCGGAAAGCACCCCAAACAGGTACGGTGAACGGGATCCGGGCCCGGCGGAGAGCACCCCAAACAGGTACGGTGAACGGGGGGCCGGCGGAGAGCACCCCAAACAGGTACGGTGAACGGGGTCCGGGCCCGGCGGACGGCCCGCCGCCGACGGCGCGATACCAGCTCCGGCTCTGTGTGTTAGGTAGGCGGTGTGTGGAGTGGGTGGTATGGGAGCCGCGCCCTGAGGTGACCGGCCCCGCTCCGCCCGGCCCGCAGGGGAAGGTGAAGCGGCGCATCCAACCGGAGGACATCATCATCAACATCGGCAAGGAGGCCAAGGTGCCGGAGCCGCCGGCCGGCCACAAGTGGAAGGAGGTGCGCCACGATAACAGCGTCACCTGGCTGGCCTCGTGGACGGAGAACATCCAGGGACAGATCAAGTGAGTGGCGCGCACTCAGGGTGGGGGCGGGGCATGGGTGCTGCCGGCCGACAGTTACATCATGTCAAGGAGGATTTATAGTTTGGCTGCTAAGTTACTCCACCGTGCTGTTACATTTATAAATTGTGAGCACGAAGCTGCCTGCCAGCTGTGGTGTGAGGACGTCTCCCTCCCTCCCTCCCTTCCTCTCACCTCTGCCGTGCTCTCTCCTCAGGTACGTGATGTTGAACGCCGCCTCCCGGCTCAAGGGCGAGAAGGACTGGCAAAAGTACGAGACCGCCCGCCGGCTCAACAAGAGCGTCGACAAGATCCGAGAGTCCTACCGGGACGACTTCAAGAGCAAGGAGATGCGGATACGACAGCGCGCCGTGGCCATGTACTTCATTGACAAGGTGCGCGGCCGAGGGGGCGGAACTAGAGTCGGGCGCGGCGGCTTTGTTCTGAATTTAAGTAGGAACAGCGAGGTGTTGATTTTTGTTCGCCTTTCTGATGCGATGATTGATTAGGTACTCCTGTGATTAGCCATGGTGGCGACATCTCAAACTGTATGTTGATGTGCCGACATCTCGGCCTGGTCCTGCCATTCGTCAGCGTGCCATTCATTGCTCGCTTACCATGATGAGTCAATCCCTTTTGCTCTCATAGCTCTGAGCTGCTGAGACCTCTCTTTGTCTGACCGTCGCCGGGCCGCCCCTCCCGGTGACCTGTGCCGTCGCGCGCTGACCGCCCGCTGCCGTGCAGCTGGCGCTCCGAGCCGGTAACGAGAAGGACGAGGACCAGGCGGACACGGTGGGCTGCTGCTCGCTGCGCGTCGAGCACATCACGCTGCAGGAGGAGCTCAACGGCAAACAGTACGTGGTGGTGTTCGACTTCCTGGGAAAGGACTCGATCCGCTACTACAACGAGGTGGCCGTCGAGAAGCGCGTCTTCAAGAACCTGCAGCTGTTCATGGAGAACAAGAGCCCCGGCGACGACCTGTTCGACCGTCTCAACACGGGCATCCTGAACAAACACCTCAACGAGCAGATGGAGGGCCTGACGGCCAAGGTGTTCCGCACGTTCAACGCGTCGCGGACGCTGCAGGAGCAGCTGGACCTGCTGACCGAGGAGGACATGACCGTCAACGAAAAGGTGGGCGCGCCGGCCGGCCGGCTGCTGGGGCCGGCCGCCGGTGGTCGGCGCCAGCGACGGCGGACCCGTCTCCGGCATTGACGCTGGTTCCGCCATATTTGGGGTTTCGGGGGTGCTGTCTTTGAACTGCCTTCTTCGTGGCAGTTGTCTAATTGACGATTTTCGGGACTGCCTGCATCTGATGGTGAATTTGGAATTAAAGTATCGAGATGATTGTATTTTGCGTGGTCGGTGTATTTGTATCATTATTTTCCTTTGTTTTTAGCTGTTTAATTGTGATTAATGTTCTAAAGTTACACAAACTGCCAAAGATGTCAAGCTCACTTTTGCGTTTGCGGGGACTGTCGGCGTTTTTGTGTGCAGAAGCAAGCCTGCTGCTGACGTGTTTTCCCCGTTGTGTGCAGATTTTAGCCTACAACCGGGCGAACCGAGCGGTGGCAATTCTGTGTAACCATCAGCGCGCGGTGCCCAAGACCTTCGACAAGTCGATGGAGAACTTAATGAAGAAGATCGCCGACAAGAAGGAAGCGTTAGAGGAAGCTGAGAAGGCGTACAAAGTGGGTTTTATCCGCAATGATTCTCAAACGCTAAAATAAGTATTCGATAGATAATTGCTCATTGAAAGACTATGTTTAATTTTGGTGTAGGCCAGCAGTCGTGTTGTGGGGAGCCGCTGCGCGCGGCAGTGCGGCCGTTTCGCCGGCGGCCCAGTGGTGACGCGCCGCTGACCGCTGACTACTGACCGCTTACCGTGCTGACCGCTGACTACTGACCGTGTTTCCGCTGACTGCTAGTGCTGACCGTGTTGCCGCTGACCGCTGACCGTGCCGCCGCTGCTACAGGCGGCCAAGCGGGCGTCCAAGAACGGCGGCAGCGTCAAGGAGCGCACCGTGGCCGAGCAGAAGCGCAAGGCGGTGGAGCGGACTCGCGATCAGCTCAACAAGCTGGAGCTGTCGGCCACCGACAAGGAGGAGAACAAGGAGATCGCGCTGGGCACCTCCAAGCTCAACTACCTCGACCCGCGCATCTCGGTGGCCTGGTGAGTCACTGGGCGTCCGCCTGGGGACGGGTGGGCTGAGAGGGCCCGTCGGGCGGGCAGTGGCCGGCTGACGGGTTGGCGCCGTGTTTATCAGCATTACTGGCCTGCCTTGGTGACCTATCGGGGGATTCGACTTGCCAGCTGGTGCTGAATCGTATCCGGCTGAACCCCGCGTGCACCCTTAAACTCTCCCGTTCGTCACGTTCTGTCCCCGACCGACTGCCCGCCGTCGACAGGTGCAAAAAGTGGGACGTGCCCATCGAGAAGGTCTACAACAAGACGCAGCGCGACAAGTTCCGCTGGGCCATCGACATGGCCGGGCCCGACTTTGTGTTCTGAGCGCGGCTCGCCGGCCCGCCGGCAGTGCATGTGGCGGCGACTGGTGAGCTCACCGGGCCGGGACGGGCGGGAGACCGCGGGCTGGGACAGGCGGGACTACGGGCCGGGATAGGTGGGAGACCGCGGGCCGGGACGGGCTGTACAGCGGGCCGGGACAGGTGGGAGACCGCGGGCCGGGACAGGTGGGAGACCGCGGGCCGGGACAGGTGGGAGACCGCAGGCCGGGACAGGTGGGAGACCGCGGGCCGGGACAGGTGGGACAGCGGGCCGGGACAGGTGGGAGACCGCGGGCCGGGACAGGTGGGAGACCGCGGGCCGGGACAGGTGGGACAGCGGGCCGGGACGCGACGGGCGGGACCGGGGTTCGGCGTCTCACGGGGTTCAACTGGGATGTAATATGCGGCGGGTTGTCCTTAAAAGTCAGTCATGAATTGTAACGATCTTGGACTTTGGCTCTGCATGAAATTGATTCGGAATATATCTCAATATGTTTTCCCCATTGATTCACATAATTCCTAGTGAATCCCAGAACTCCAGAATTAAAATATGTTTTGCAATTGTCCATCTCTAGGAACTGTGCCTTTTGGGATAAGTGATAAATATTGGTATTCATCCTAAGATTGCTTTTGTGATAAGCAATCTTAGGATAACTCTCGATAACCCTGTTTAATGTTACTTTCCGCATCTATAAAAAAACCCTCCGCCCTCAAACTAAAGGCGGCCCGCAGTCTCATCCGGTCAGTCTCATCAGTTCTAAACCGGCTGTACTGGTGTGTGTCGGCAGGCAAGCCTAGGAGAGAATGAATTTGAGAGGATGAAGAGCGCCGACCGGCCGCTGGGAGTGACGGTGCGGTGACGGACGCGGGCGGGACGTGCGCTCTGCTGACGGCGCTCGCTCGGCCGTGCTCTCGGCCGTGCTGGCGGCGGTTTGTGATACTTGTTTTCCTGGAGCGGACCGGCCGGTGTGGGTGGCAGCGGCGGGTCTGCGGGACCGCCGCCGCCCAGTGTCGTGAGATGTGAAGTGTCTGGCGTGGGCCGCGGGGAGGGGGAGGGACGGAGGGAGGGACAGTGCCCGCGCCGGGAGTGGGCCGCCGCGCCCCGTGTAACCGGCAGCGCCTAGGTTAAGTTCGATTCTGCGTCACTCCAAAATGCCGTCTTGTTGCCGAATCCGCCATCAGTTTTAGACCTGCGATTTTCCTGGTTGTTGTGTTTGACAGACATGAATGTAGTCTTGCCAGTTTCAGGTAGTGCAAATTTAAGACATTATTTACCACCGCGTTTTATAGAATTTGAGTGAGCGGGCGGAGGCCAAGGCAGTGGCATGATCAGTTTCGGCTTTTAGATTATTTGGAGTGGTCTTTCAGAGCCCAAAGTTGGTCGTTGACTGAAAGGATAACGCGAGCCTGGCTAGGTAGGACGGGCGGCGCTCGGCGGGCGCGGCGGTGGCGCCCGCCGCCCCACGGCCGAGGCGCCTCAGCTAACCTCATCGTATGCATAAAGCCACCAGATCTGTATGTGCATCAACTCACCGAAATCACCACTAAGTAGCATGTGTCATCGTTCGCCGGTCGCGGTGCCGTCAATATACGATGAGCTCATAGTGCTGTGTTGGGAGTCCGCCGGGGGCTGGGAGGTGGCCGGCTCTGCCGCCGCAGAGGCCCAGACGACTGCCGAGCTGGCATGCTACCACGCACTAGGTGAGTTGACCTTTGTGGATAGATGGCTTTTGTTTTGTGTACCTACATCATGTCTGACATCGTGTTCTTGTCGACTGGATTATGGATATTCAGTATGTTCTGTCCTGTCGATGTTGCCCCATCGACCCAAACAGTGGTAGCGTTTGTTTGTTTCCCGCCCCTCCGGCCCCGTTTCGTGTATCATACCTCTGTCGGATGATTCTGATCGTTTCAGCAAGCTCCTGTTGATACCTTGAAGCTGGTGGTCCCGGCTCAGTCCGTCTCGAAGGGACCTCAATCGGTGAGTTTCTGACGGTGCTGGTATCTGTGCCAGTTACCCCGGTATTTATCTCACAAAGTGATGAGTTAATCCCTTTTGCTCTCGTACGTCTGCTGCCGAGACTGTTCGTGTCTGACGCCGGTCTCCTGTGCTGTCCCATTTTCAGCTGCGCGGGGTGCCTGTAACCGATCTGCGCTCTGGCCCGCAGGTACTGACGGGGCGGGCCGCGCGCCGGCTCCGGCCGACTGCCGAACGTGCAGCCTACGGACGGCCGCCACCCGCCTCCGGGCCGGTCGGCGTGCGGCACATCTTGTGAGTGATGGGGTCGGGCTGTCGGTGCCAGCAGTCCAGGAAGTGTTGTGTGACAAATGATGATTTTGGATTGAGCTCTCAGAACAAGTTTGATGATACTGATCCTCCTGAGGTATATCGGATGTACCGGTGCTCTGAGCGTTGAATTCCGTGGCTGACCGACCGGTGACCTCGCCCCCAGGCCCAGGGAGCGTCCGGCAGGTGGTCTGCTGAGCCGGCGCCGAAACTGCCCGGTCGTCCTCTGTCGCCAGGAGGTAAGCCGTGCACAGCTAGCGTGTTGAGATTGTCAGTAGACTGTTTTTGATGTCATCGTGCATTTGTTATTGACAATGATGAGTGAATCCCTTTTGCTCTCGTACGTTCGCTGCCGATACCTATGTTTTTCGTCTGACGCTGGTCTTTCATTGTCTGATTTGACCGTTTCGTCTGATCATTTCTAACCATGCCTTCCCTCCCGTTTGAACAGTTTCTGTGATGGCCTGTGGAGGGGCTGGAACTCTGTTGAACTTCTACGGCTCAAACACAGGTCAGTGTCTTTATCTTCATATGAATGCCTCCGAATTGTAGTCTATGTAAAACGACTCCTGGCTAGGGTCTGTGGACGTTTCTTCCAATGATGAGTATGGATTGAGCTCTCATAACCGATTTGATGACAGCGATCCTCCTGAGCTGCTGATTGCGCCATGTCCTGTACGAATGTGCCGACTTCCCGCGGCTGATCGTTGTCCCAACATGTCCGCAGGCTCTAACACACGGATGCATTGCTCCACTTCGAAGCCGAGATCGGGATTCGTCCAGAGCCCGCCCTTAGCTGCAGGTATGCAATTCTAGCTAACATTGCATGTGTTCCCACTTCCTGTCAAAGTGTACGTAAATAACAATAATGATGAGTTAATCCCTTTTGCTCTCAGACGCCTGCTGCTGAGACTTTGACGCCCTGATCGATTCTGTTTGCTGGCGTCTGGGGGTTTGCGGGCCGGGTTGTCTTACTGACCGGTCGGGGTCCGTGTTTCAGGACCACGCCGCTGGCCGTCAGTGCGCCAACCAGTGGGCGGCAGAGGGCGCCTCAGCCCGAGTCTCATCCGATCCCCAACGCCAGGTGGGTTTGGACAGGGGTGACCACAGGCTGGGCCTGTCGCCCGGCAGATATCACGCGGCCGACTGCCGTGGCGCTCACTATACTCTTGAGTGTTTTCTGATGCTCTTTTATGATGAATCTACTGCTGGGATGTGCCGGCTGATAATGGTCTGTGGTGATGCTTCTCGGAAAGGCGATGTGAATTTTCGAGAAACTAAGCACAGCAGCCTGCACTCGTCCGACAGGCGTGTTTTGCGGCTCTCCCTCCCCCGCGTGCTGATGACTTTGGATTGAGCTCTCATACCGGCTGTGATGATACCGATCCTCCTGAACATGCGCCGGTCACTGCTCCGTACGGCGCGCTCCTGGTCCGCCGGCTGACACCGGCTGCCTGCGTCCACAGCCAACTCCGGGCGGAGACTTCGACTGGACATCGCCGCCACCTGGGCGACCGCGCGCTGCCGGACTGGAGTATCCCGGCATGGACTATCGCGCTCCCCAACTGGACTCTCCGGGTCGGACTGCGCGCTGCCGAATTGAACTGTACCGGGCCGGACGCGCGCAGTCCGGCCCGGTACAGTTCCGGACTGGACTGTCCCGCGCTAGACCGACCGAACTCCGTGGTGAGTTAATAGATGCTCCGCGATAGCCCCCGCTGCGACGGCACTGTTCTGTGATGTGTCTGGATTGAGCTCTCATAGGCCGCGTGCTGACAGTGATCCGTCTGAGCCGCCCGGCGCCCGCAGAGTCCGCCCCGCCGAGTGACCGTCTGTGACAGCCTGCTGTACCCCTCCCCAGACGGTCCGAGTGGCCGTGTCGCCGGAGCTCTGGGGACCCGGCCGGCGGCTGCGCGACCGGTCAGGACTCGCGGGGAGTCCGCTCCGTCCGCCGGTCGGTACATCCCGCCATCGGTACCCGGTGGTCGGTGCCAGGAACGTCGCCGTGTGGTGACATGCAAGGGCTGCCAAGTGCGGCTTGAGCGTCTGGACCTGTTGATATGACCGGCCGTTGGTTTAAAAAATATATTTTAAGTACAGCAAACAAGCCTATGTTTCTGAACTTGCTCTGAGCCTGTTTCCGTTGTCCGGCGTCACCCCACCATGGCGCCAGTCTTTTTATGGGGGTGTGGGGAAGGGGTTTCGCCTCCGAACAGCTCCAAACAATACGCCGGCACTTCAGCCACAAAAACAGCGCACAAGCAAGTACATATATTGTCAGAACGGACGTCTCCGCCAGGATCGCTATAACGCTGCACCCGGAACGCAAAGCACATATACAATGCCCGTAAATGCCACCGGCATCGCACACACGGCGCCTCGTTGCTCAACTCGCAGTGTTATCAATAGCCTAACGACTGTTTGATCGTGCGAATATCACGCTGATATTTCTGACCGTTTACAAGAATCACCGAAGATTGGTAGTAGCGGATATTCTATCACTACACACCGGGGAGGATAAAACTAAAATTGCACGATTGGAGCAATACAAAATCACCATCATTCATATTCATGGACAACAAACAGGCACAGCAATGCACCAGTGAAACCGGCGCGCGGGACATTTGTGATTCACTTCAAATTAGCACTCATTTCTGACGAGCTCAGAACAACACAATGCACAGGAAAACGAAACGTGTTCGGCTTGTCTTGGGCTAGTTCAACGGGTCTCGCCTGGTCCCGCCTCACCATAAAACTGGCGACACTGGCCAAAATTGAAAACAAATAGACAAATGCAAAGAAAACAGACCCAAGCACCACGCCGGAGCGCAGAATCAGCACGACAGCAGCACTGCAAACGCTGCCAGTCGGCGGACCGTCGCCACCCGTCCCGGCAGCACCACCGCGGCCGGTGGGCGACGGGCCGCCGCCACAGCACAGCACGGCGGCCGCTCTACGCTGAGCGGACTTCACAGCAGATCGGCCGGCTCCGTCTGGGCCGGCCGGCGGGCCACCGTGACCCGGCCCGGCGGGCCACCGTGACCCAGGTCGGCACGGCCGGCCCCCGTGCGTCCGCTCGGAACCGTCCCGTCTGCGGCGAATAAGCCACGCACTTGAGTAGGCCACAAGCCACCACTCTAGGAGGGAGCCGCCTTTACAGGGCGGCCCGGGAGTGTGACGCGGCAGGCACGGCGTGTGTCGGTGAGACCTGGGAGCCCCCTGGCAGCGCGGCGTGGCGCTCACGAGATGGCCGACGTCTGGTTCAGCAGGCTGGCGTGGTCCACCTGGTCAAAGTTGAGTCCGCTCCACGTGTCCCGGATGACGCTGCGCACCACCGCCGTGAAGAAGCTCGAGTACCGGGGGCTCTCTGCGTAGCGCTCGTACTGGTCGAGGCTCTCCTGCAGTTTGAGCGTCAGCGACTCGTAGTTGCTGCGCACCACGTCCAGCACCTGGTCCTCGGTCAGGCTGGTCTGGTTGTTGGCCTGCGACCACGCCTCGATCTTGGGCGAGAAGTGGTTGCAGATGGCGCGGATGTTGACCAGGTTGTTGGTGAGCCGCATGGCCGCCTCGCGGTGCTCGCCCTCGTTCGAGTAGCGCAGCGACATCGAGTACAGGTTGGAGAACACCTGGTGCATACGGATCAGCTCGTAGTAGAGCTCGTCGTAGCTGGTCGGCGTCGGCAGGAACGTGTCGCCGTACGTGATGAACAGGTTGAAGATGTTCACCACCAGGATGGCCAGCTCGAAGATGTTGTTGCGCTTCACCACGGCGTTCTCGTTGGAGACGATGAACTTGAGCAGCGACATCAGCGCCGACCAGAGCTCGCGCCAGTGGTAGCCGAGCCGCACGCGGCACCGTTTCTGGTAGCAGAGCACGCGGTGCACGATACCGACGCACTGCAGATACAGGTCCAGCGGGAAGCGCTTCATCAGGTGGGACATGATGAACTCGACGGTGAGGTCGAGCAGCGCGGTGGCCAGCGGCTGCGGGTGCGCCGGCCGGTCGGTGGCCTTGCGGTGGCGCATCGGCAGCCGGTGCAGCCGCACCACGAACACCAGGTTCGGGTCGTGCATCAGCGAGTTGCAATACTGGTCCTCGGACACGCACGTCAGCACGATGAAGCACTGGCGCACGTTGTTGGTGGCCGCGTCCGATTTTGTGTCCTGCATGACGATGGAGCAGTACTGCAGGAAGGCCACCAGCAGGTTGACGGGCGCGCCGAGCGGGTCCGGCTGGCCGGCCGCCGGCGGCGCCGGCGCCTGCTCGCGGTCCAGCGTGCTCTGCGGCGACGGCGGCTGGCTGCTGGCGTCCGTCGACGCCTGCGTCAGCGTAGCGATGAAGTTGCGGTTCAGGTGGACGGCCTCGTACAGAGCCACCAGCACGCCGTGGTTGGCCTTGATGCTCTCGGAGCGGGTGGCCAGCTCGTCGGCCACGAACATGTTTCCCACCATGCTGGTGAGGCTGGAGAGCCAGCCCTGCGACTGGGAGTCGCACGTCTGCGCCGCGTACTTCCAGTTGAACTCGCTCAGCGCAGCCGTGATCACCTGGCTGTAGCCGTTCAGCGCCAGCTCGTCGTCCAGGATGGACAGCTTCACCACGTACGGGTTGGCCGGCTCGCTCTTGCGGTAGTTGACCAGCAGCGTCAGCAGTAGCACGCACTTGTGGCCGTGCACGGAGCGGGTGGCGCCGTGCGACAGCAGCTGGATCACCGGCTCGAACAGCGAGCTGTTGATCATCAGGTACTCGAGCAGGCCATTGCGGTTGATGTCCTCCGAGGCGGCGGCCACGGCCAGCAGCGCGTCCAGCACCAGCGAGCGCAGCGTCTCCGGGTAGAGGCCGGCCAACAGCTCGGCGCACCGGCCGCACAGCCGGCCCATCTCGCGCTCGGCGGCGTCCAGCCCCACCAGCAGGTCGACGGCGTCCGTCTGGGGGCCGGGCCGCGGCTGGCGGCACACGCCCGCCACCAGCCCAGAGAGGGTCTGCAGCGCGTGCGCCGCGCGTAGCAGGTGCTCCTCGCGCACCACGTCCACGCAGCGCGCGAACAGCTGGTTCAGCGGCACCTTGAGCGCGCTCAGCTGCTCGGAGGAGAGGCGCGTCAGCTCGGACTCGAGCACTGAGACGCGTGGCCGCAGCAGAAACAGCTCGTCCCAGAAATTGGCGTTCCCCGCTGCGACATCCTCACCCTTGAAGAATGACTCATAGATCTGGACAATCTTCTCCTTTATCTGTTTCTTCTGTGAGCCTGGCCGCAGCCGAGACGCCATGGCGGACCACCGTGATGGGGCTCAGCTGCAGGCTTCAGACGCAGCCACAGGCACCTGCAGTCACAGCAGCAAATAGTGAAGGTTGCAACTTGTATATTGGCATTTTAAGAAGATGCCCATCTTCAGAGTTTAACTAATAGTTCATAACTGTTTTTTCTACTACCAGCATCAATATTCAACATTAAAACCATTTTGAAAACTCAAGAGCCAGAAAGCATGAAAACTTTTGTTTCATATGAAAATGCCCCAGACTCATAAAAATGTGGATATCAAAATATATTTTAAGATTGTATGGATATCACTTTTCACAAATATGCATGGATAATCAAAATATATTTTAAGATTGTATGGATATCACTTTCCACAAATATGCATCAGGAAAAGAAGTAGGTAGGTACCTAACTTTCTAGGGGATTACCAATTAGCCAATTATCACACAAGAGCTCTGTTCATCCCCATTTATTTATCAGCAGTCTGCGAGCATGCTGCTACTTCTTGCCTCCTCATTGGTCGAATTCAAGTGGTCTATTCATTAGACCAATGAGAGGCCAAGAAGCGCCACCAATAACTTCCTAATATGGGGAAAACCGGCAGCAGGATGATATAAAAACAGCGACCGAACAGAGCTAAGGTGTGTGCAGTCCACCGCAGAAGTAATGCGCACTTTCATTTGTGGTTATGCTTTGCTTCTGTATCTTAGGAACGATTTGCCAGACTTAAATGAAACTTGGAATGTAGCTTACATGCGTCATAATCCTTGCATCTGCAAGTTAATAGTTTACTGTCTGCTCCTGGATCAATCTGTAGGTATTTAAAAATAATCAGTCCAGTCAAAGCCATCCACAGTGATTGGTAAAACCGGATTGAAGCTCATTTATACGATGTTTGACGCTCATTGCATTGCAATAATTACCTACACTTAAGTTCAATTCAAAGTTCGAGCAGCCAGGTCTTGGTCTCGAGTTACAAAAGCGAAAAGCCTCCTGGGCACTGCCTTGCCCCTTTAAAATAAGCAAAAAAGAAAAAAACGAAAGCAGAAACTTACCGTTAGTTCGAATATATCATAAACAATTATTGCTACCAGTATATTTCAATGTAAGGTATCTGAAAGTATGAATCTATCAGGTTAGTATCTAGAAATAGAAATCGCACCTCAATTTTCTGTGTTTGGGTGAAAGTGTTCGACAACACAGTCCGCTCATGCGCGCAGCCTATTCGTATGCAGAATAGACGAATCAGAATATCAACTGCTCCCAAAACGGCTTCGTCGACATAAGTAAATTTTATTTTTGAACATTTTTCTACTCGGTGGCATGTAGAAGGAAAGATGATCGGAAAGATCGAAAGTGGGGGAGAAACGGGGAACGGGGAAGAGTCGGCGGTGAGAGGGTGAGTAGAGAATTTCATTGTTCATATCTTGAGCACATCCTGAGTCCCGGCCGCAAATGCTCGTCTCCACTCGAGCATGGTGCGTGGCTTTGTGGCTTCCCAATCGCTGCTAATCAATTTTCAAAACGAGTTAAATTTATGAATTTCTTTCTCCCCATGCCACTTCCATATTCATCCCGTCCTTTTACTCCGCTCTTGGTTGAGTATTTGGCTGCTATGTCAAGTAGTCTACTCTGTTTTTTTTATTACAAAGCTCGTTTCCACGTACCTATTACGAAAGACGTGGACGCAATTATCCTGTACAAGACGTGGATGCGGATGCAATAAAGAAAGGTGCTCCTTGTTGCAGGATGGCTCCGGCGGGCGCCCGTCTGCGCCAATTGGCGGCGGTCGCCGTTGACGCCGTCTCTCCGGACCAGCTGGTGCAGCGGACGCTGCGGCGGACCGGCGACCGACTCACCGTGACCGGACGCCAGTACGAGCTCAACCACAACGTCTACCTGGTGGGCGCCGGCAAGGCGGTGCTGGCCATGGCTCGTGCCGCCGAGGAGGCGCTGCGCCCGCACCTGGTGCGCGGCGTGCTGAGCGTGCCGGCCGGCGGGCCGCCGCCGCCGCCGCCGCCGGCTCTGGTCGAGGTCCACCGGGGCGCCGTGGACAACCTGCCGGACGCGGCCGCCGAGCGCGCAGCCGGCCGGATCGCCGAGCTGGCGGCCGGCCTGCGCGAGTCGGACCTGCTGCTCGTGCTGGTCTCCGGCGGCGGCTCGGCGCTGCTGCCGGCGCCCCGGCCGCCGCTCACCCTGGCCGACAAGGCGCGGCTGACGCGCGAGCTGGCTGCGCGCGGCGCCTCCATCCAGGAGCTGAACGCCGTGCGGCGCGCGCTCTCGCTGCTCAAGGGCGGCGGCCTGGCGCGCCTGGCGGCGCCGGCCAGTTGTCTGGCGCTGATCCTCTCTGACGTCATCGGCGACCCGCTGGAGCTGATCGCCAGCGGTCCGACGGTGGCCGGCAGCGGCGCGGAGCCGGCGTCCGCCGCCGCCGCCGCTGCCGTGCTCGGCCGCCACCGGCTGCTGGACGAGCCCGGCGTGCGAGAGGCGCTGGCCGCAGCCGCCGCCGACTGGGAGCGGCCGCCCGCCGCCGCCGACGGCCGCGTCCACAACGTGCTGGTCGGCTCCAACCGGCTGGCGCTGGAGGCGATGCGCGCGGCTGCGGCCGCCGACCACCGCGCCGAGCTGCTGTCGGCCGAGGTGCGCGGCGATTGCGGCGCGGTGGCCGGCCTGCTGGCCCGGCTGGCGGCGCGGCTGGCCTCGGGCCGGCCAGTGCAGCTGCCGGCGGACCTGGCAGCCGACCTGGCCGCGGCCGGGATCCCGCCGGAGGCCGTGTCCGCCCTGCGGCCGCCGCAGCCCGGCCGGCCGCTCTGCCTGCTGCTCGGCGGCGAGACGACGGTGACAGTGACGGGCGCCGGCCGCGGCGGCAGGAACCAGCAGCTGGCGCTGGCGTTCGCCGCGGAGCTGGAGCGGCTGTGGACGGCGCAGGCGCCCGGCCGGCCGCCGGCGCCCGTGGCGCTGCTCTGTTTCGGCACGGACGGCGCTGACGGGCCGACGGACGCGGCCGGCGCCGTGGTGGACGGCGCCACGGCGGCCGCCGCGCGCGCCCAGCAACTCGAGCCGCAGCACTACCTGGCCGATAACGACTCGTACGGGTTCTTCGCGCGGTTCGACGGCGGCTCGCACCACGTGCTGACCGGGCCGACGGGCACCAACGTGATGGACGTGATGGCGCTGGTGGTGGAGGCCCAGGGACCCGGCCCGGCCAGCAGCCTCTGAGGTGGCGCTGGCCGGGACGCGGCACACGCCGGCGTGAGAACCGCTGGCTGGCGATCAGCTACTGGCTAGAATAAGAAATGGTTAACTAGTACGACTGGTAGTGATTCTGAATCGAATTCATTGCGTGAATTTTACGGGACAGTGATATGAAGTGCAATCAGGTGCAGGGTATCAGTTTCTACGATATTTTTGTTTTGGGCATTCCAAGATTTGTTTAAGGCTTCGTCTTGCGTTATAACTGTAGAAGAGCTGATAAGGTATTGGAAGCTTTATCACACAATGCGCCGGGAAAACGAGGTAATATTGATGCATATGTAGGGGAATAAGGTAGATGGCGGGCAATACACATAAGCTGCAATGCTCTGTGATTTGATGTATTGATAGCTGCGCATCGCTATAATAAAATGTTTCGAACTTCGTTTAGCGATAAGATCTATTCAGTTCCGTCTAGAGTCTAAGCTAATTTCTCTGTTCCACGAAGAGAGTAAATTAATTACTGACGCGCCAAACGTTAGCATTTTACTATCGAACGAACACAATAACTTCGGCATCCGTTTATGTATCCAGGCTTCACGGCTACGCTCACGTATATGTTGAGATATGACTGTTGCGCAACACTCAGAGCACTACCCTCCTTACAAATAGGCGGGCTGGAGTACGTGATTAAATCGTCACACATCAGCCCATTACAGTCTCGATCTCCGCGTCGGGGGAGACCGGGCGCCGCGGGCCGCCCTCCCCGCCGCCACAGCGACGTAGGCTACCGGGTGTTAGACAGAGCACAGGGAAGCGCGCGCGCCGCAGACACAGAGTCTGCGAGTGGGCCATGAACAGCGCGCGGCACGAGCAGCCGGTGAAAGCGCGGCCCCCACCGTCCCGGCCGGAGGGCCGCCGGCCGCGCATGCGACACGCCTGTGCGCGGGAGAGACACCAATTATCTGCCACATTCACTCTATCCAAGCGCTAAGGACGTCATATTCGGTGCGGCTCACATCCGATCTGATAATTGCTGCTCGCGGGGCGCCGTCCGTCCGTCCGTCCGTCCGTCCGTCCTCACACGACCCGCAGGCAGTGACGCGCTGGCCGGCAGCCGGCGGCGGGAGGCACCGCGCGCCGCCGCTCTATTGCCTACTCCACCCTGGGACACCCGCCGGCGGCGGCGGCAATTGGTTATCTAGGCGAGCCGGAGCGTTACAAGCTCTCGTCGCTCTCCATGGCCTGTATCGGCTGGAAGGGCTCGGCGGCCTCCGGCGTGGCGGTCATGTCGGCCGGCAGGAAGGACGAGTCGCCCAGCACGCCGGCCTCGCCCGCTGCCGGTCACACGGGGGGGGGGGGGGCGGGGTCAGAGGGCGGCTCCACCGGCCGGGACCTGCGTGTCAGCGCGGCACTGAGGAGGGGGCACACTCGAACGTAACTGTCCGACCGGGCCCAAAAGGCACCTAAGATGGTGGGAACGAAAACAGACGCGGACCACAAAACCGCCGGAAAGAGGGGTCAGACACAGCGACAGGAAAGCCGCTTCGAAATAGCATCCTGGAGCTGCCCGAACCGACGTCGTCAAATGATGACATACGAGACTTGAAGATAAGCGTAAACAACATACAGTACATACGCTGAATGAAAAGACGGCTGATTGTTCTATAACCCAATCATAGTGATTGTGATCTCATGCAGCTTTTGCAAAATTGTCAGGGAACTCAGATGTTTTTCAATATTAAACCACAATTCTAACGAATAGTGTTTAAATTATTGACAACAGACCTTCGTTTACGGGTCAACTGCAGCTACTGATGTTATTTTATTGCACGCAAGAGCAGGATGCTCTATTTGGATCTTAAAACGAGTAAAACTAACAGCCGTATCAATACGAACCCAACACTCGACACGCCCGCCCATTCCACGCGAGCCTCCGCCGTCACCCGGGCCCGTCACGGCCGGCCGCTGACCTGTTTTGTCGTCGTCGGCCGGCCCCCGGCTGATGGCCGGCTCGATGGCCTCCTTCAGCTGATTGTTGGCGCCCTTCGGGTCGAGGTCCATCGCCCACGAGAAGTGCATGCGTGCCAGGTGCGCGTGGCCCATCTTCTCGTGCACCTGACGGCCACGCGGGGTGGTGACGAACGGATGAACATTCATCGGGGAGCCTACTGCACACGCACACTCGACTTGGAACTGAGACGTGCCAAAACCGGCAGAAATGCCAGCCATCTTAGATTTTGAAACGTTTATGTGATGCTGAAACAATTAAAGTGAGTTTTCGGAAGTTCTTCAGTCTTTCGTTCCACTTGTGCTGCTTAAGAACCATATAAAATGCGTAATCAATTACATATGCCACCGCGAACACCCCACGAATGAGTGCTGGCAAGCGTGACATATCTGCCGCGAGTTCGGCCAGCCACCGGACCGGTCAGTCACCGCCCCATCCCGGCCGGCCGGGCCCGAGACACACCTACCGCCCTGTCCCAGCCGGCCGGCCGGCCGGGTCCGAGACACACCTTTCCGAGCAGGAAGAAGACGAGGCTCTCGTTGGGCACCATCTGTTTGAGCTGGAGCAGCTCGTCGAGCGCCTCCTGCAGCCGCTCCGAGCTGAGGAACACCGACGCGCGGTGGAACTTGCACAGCGGGTTGGCCGGGTCGAGCGCGATCGCTCTGTTGAGCGTCAGCAGCGCCGCGTCCGTCTTCTGCAGGTTGTGCTGCACCTGAGGGGACGGGGGAAGGGGGTGAGGTTGGACCCCGCCCACAGCGGTCCAGCTGGCGCCGAGAGCCGGGAATGGTATTACGTCACGATATAGACGCATAGCTTCCAAGCGAAACCAAGGATGGCGGGATCCCCGGCCATGCATACATTAAAACACAGAGGGCGGGAACTCAGAAAGGACCAATTAAGCCGTCCACAATGAGCGCATTTTAGTTACATGAGAACACGCGAGGCTGCTACGATAGACGGGAAGGAGTCGAGCTCCATCCTGTGTCTGAGCAGACTGCGGGACTCACCACGCCGACATGGCACATGAGCACGGAGCTCTGCGGGTTAATGTCCAGCGCGTTCTTGAAGTACATCTCGGCCATCGTGTAGCGCTCCTGCTTGTAGAAGATCATGCCGATGCCGTACCTGGCAACAAAGTGGCAGCGGTGAGGAAAAACGGCACCCATCGAATGTCAGCGAAAGTACGGTTACCCGATCAATGAACCATGATTCTGACAAGACGAGATACGGTCCACCACCATGACACGATAAAAGTTGGGCGGGTTTGTGTTTGTAAGTGGGTGTGTTTCCTTCACTCACCGGGCGTTGAAGTGTGTTTCCTTCACTCACCAGGCGTTGTAGTGCCGCGGGTCGATGCTGACCGCCCTGCGGAAGCAGGTGAGCGCCTTCTCCAGCTCCTCGGTCATCACGTACTCGTGGCCCAGCAGTGTGTGCCCGTAGGCGAACTGGGGCGTCACCTGCGCGCGCGCCCACCGGCGTCAGTGTGTGACAGCCACGGCCCAGACCACAGGAGCCGGGACCGTCTCAGGACGGAAGGTAAAGGCTACTAGCGTTTGACCTCATCATTGAGAATACCGAGTGAAGATTTAAACAGTATTGTGCGGACAAAGGTAGGGCTGTCAAGCAGGTTCCCGTCGATGTCTATGCTAAAGTGAGGCCATAGTCATAAGCTATGTCGAGTAAAATAATTTGATATGGAAAACGTGAATTTTCAGCAAAAATGTACAAATAGACAGACCGATGATTTAAGACACGCCGGATACACGGCCAGCCGATGAACGTGTCTGGAGGACGGGTGGCGTACCTGCACGGCGCGGGTGAAGAACCGAATGGCCGTCTCGTGCTCCTTCTGTAGCGAGAAGCAGTTGCCGGCGGCGCACCAGACCTCGGCAGAGTGTCGGCCGTGGTCCAGCAGGTCCTGACGTCACACACACCGGTCAGACAGAGCAGAGACGGAGACACACCGTCCGTCAGTTAACCATCACAGACACCGAATATGACGGAAAATGATCACTACTCCCTCCCCACCCCCGCGGCGGTCAGTGTCTCCGGCAGCGTCCCTGACAGTGTCCCAGTCAGTCCGTGGTCAGTCCCCAGTACCCCCGGCAGCCCGTGGTCAGTCCCCAGTACCCCAGTCAGTACCCCGCGGGGAGCGGGTGTGGGTTGGAGGTGGCAAAATGTGGACCCGAGGACCCGGTCCAAAGAACCAGTATGGACCCATATGGGTCCAGACCGGTTCCTGGAAATTTTCTGACGGGTCCAACCCGGTCCTTCCATAAACTATACATCTTGCACTAAACAAGTTATTGCAAAATATGAAGTGAATGAAGTGAATGTTTCTTTGCACACAGTAGCTCATGACGACCTATTCCCAGTGGGAAAAAGGCTGTTTTACATGATGCAACTAATGATACCTACAGGTAGGTTGTATTAACTGACTTTTGGGGAACGGGTCCAACTGGTTCCGATTCCAACTTAGACCCGGTCCGACTGGTTCCGGAAATGTCCAGTCGGGTCTGGTTCGAGTCTGGTTCCCAAAATTTTCATCTTTTGCCACCTCTAGACTGTGGGTGGTCAGCCCCCTCCCCCCGGCGTTTCGTGTCCCTGACGCGGCTGGGCGGCGCGGACCGACCTGTGCCAGCGCCGAGAGTTCCACCTCGCGCTGCAGGTGCCACAGCGCCGTGCTGTAGTACTCCATCGTCTCCAGTCGGTACGGCTCGCGCTCACGCACCATCTGGAAGTACCTGCGCAGAGGGGACGCGTACCGCCGGTCAGCAGCGGGGCCACGGACCGCCCGTCAGCAGCGGGGACCGTGTCGGGGGTTCGGAGCATCAGGGGGTCCGTTGGTGGTAGGCGACTATGATTTAGTGAATTTGCGACATTCATACAGGAAAACGAGTAGAATACGGTCAAAACGTCAAAACGCTCGCCGACGGTCTGAATAATTCACAAAAAGTACATAGTGAACTTAGTCGTTAGCAGAACTTTTATATTGTATGCGTCGTGAAAAAAACCAGTCCCTCAAAGCCCAGGCTCAATTTACGCGCCCCACCAAAATTCCAGCATTATCAATGACCAGTTCAGCGCGACTTTCTCTTACCATCTGCCCTCCGCCTCCCGCCCAGTGAGGCGCCACCCGTTCCTACAGCTATGGAGAGTTAGTCACACAGTCAGAGGGCCAGCCACTGCCGGCCGTGCCGCCCACCCAGTCCACCCGTCCGTCCACCCGTCCGTCACCCCGTCCGTTCCGTCGTGGTGCCGGAGGACGACCCTCTTCGCCGCGTCGCGGAGGCCGACCCACCCACCCGACTGCGGTCTACCACCGGCTGGCGACAACTGGGGCGATCGGCGCTGATCGAGGCGGGCGCCGAGGGAGTGACGGTGGAGCCGCGCCTCGAGGTTCCCCTCCTCCCGTGGACAACCTGCCGCCCGATCGCCTTCAATCTGGACGTGGGACCCGGCGGTCGTCGAGCTTCTTCCAACGAGACGCGACGAGAGGCCGCGCGGCAGCACCTGGCGGCGCTCCCAGCCCAGGCCACGTGGATTTGGTCCGACGGCTCTGCGGACGCTGGGGTCAGGCGAGGAGGAGGCGGCGCTGTCATCTTCACCGCGTCGGGGGAGACTCTCGAGGTGGAGGTGGCGGCGGGAGGCCTCTGCTCCAGCACCCGTGCGGAGCTGTTCGCCCTGAGGGCGGCGCTGGAGCGAGTCCGGGATGAGCCGTCCCCCGCCCCGCTGGTGGCGTGCTCTGACTCACGAGCCGCCCTGAGCCTCCTCAGCGCGGGAGCGGCCGCCCAGACCACCACTATCGGCGCGGCGATCTGGAGGACGCTGCTGGACATTGCCGAGCGCCGGCAGGTGACCCTGCAGTGGGTCCCTGCTCACTGCGGGCTGGCGGAGAACGAGCGCGCTGACGCCCTGGCCAAACAAGCGGCCACCCTGCCCCAGGGCGCCGTGCCCTCGGACGCTCGGTCCCTGACACGGGCAGTTCATCGGACGGCCACACGTCAGTGGCGCGAAAACTGGCCCGACTCCTTTTTCAAGACTATTTTCGGGAGCACCCTGCCGCTCCCCATCCCCGGAGAGGACCGAGAGGCCGCCATCTCGGTGCACCAGTTGAGGGCGGGCCACTGGGGCCGCTCGCTCCAATACCTGCACCGGATCGGCCGCCACCCCTCCGTGGCATGCCTGCAGTGCCCCGATAAGCGGTGCCCCGCGGCGCTCTGCGCCGTGTGCCGGGAGGAGGCGGACGTGCCGGAGCACGTCTTACTCCGCTGCCCGGCCCTCGCTGGCGCCCGCCTGCGGCTAACTGGCAGCATTTACGTCGACCCGTCGCGGCTGCGGGACGCCGACCTGGTGGCTGCCTTGGAGGCCGGCTACCTTCGTCATAGGGAGCCTCTCGGCTATGGTCCTCCGTAAGGAGGTCCCAGGGGGAACAACAACAACAACAACAACAACAACCCGTCCGTCCCCGCCGACCCACCTGACCGCCTGCTTGTAGTCGTTGAGCTCGAAGTGCGCCTTTCCGAGCATGGAGAGCACCCAGCCGGTGTCGAACTGGTGGGCGGGCAGCGCCGAGAGCAGGTCGACGGCGCGCCGGCAGCTGAACTGGCTCAGCTGCTGGTAGGCGGCGCCCACGTCACGCAGCAGGCTCATCAGACCCTCTGCGGGCCACGGGGATGGGGAGGGGACGGTCAGACACTGGATGTGTGTGTGTGTGGGGGGGGGGGGGGGGGCGGCTGGCGGACACTGAGACCTTCTGCGTCACGGAGAGTGTGTGGGGAGGGGGGAGGTCAGACCCTCTGCGGGACGGGGAGTGGAGGGGGCGATCAGACACTGTGATAGGGGGGGGGGACGGCCACTCAGACATTAGTGTCTAGTATGTGTCACAGAAAAGTACGGGGCCTGAGTGAATACCAGCGTTGTACATATTTGGTAAGCCAACTGGTGCTCACCCAAGCATAAACTATAATTGCAGGAGACAAATGCGAGCCCGGTAACAGTGAGAGCCTACCCAACTGAAATGACACATCCTGTTTTTTCGTTCCACCAAAGGGCTTCCACGTTGCCGCGGCTGTCTGATATCTAGCCATTTAGTTATTCCCTGTTACAGCTGGTAGTACCCTCTCGGTCAGTGGCGCTCTGCAGCCCCCGATCCCGTCCCGCCGTGCTCGCTCTCACCGGCCGATCCGCGCTGGATGGTGAGCGCGGCCACCTGCAGCTGCTGGCCCGTCAGCGGCTTGGCGTCGGCCGCGCTGGTGATGGTCTCGCTGCCGGGCCGGCCGCGCGGCTCAGACTTGAGCTGCCTCTCCGACCTGTTCTTCTCGTTCAGCTCGTTGAAGTTGGGCGTGGTCAGCGCCGTCTTGGAGGAGCGCGTCTTGATCTTGCGGGAGGGCGACTTGGGCGTCACCAGCCGGTTGGCCTTGTTGTTCTCCTTCACCGAGCTGCCGCTCAGCCCGAGCATCGCCCGGTCCTTACGGTTCAGCACCTGCGGAGGGTCGGGGTAGTTTGACTCGCGGTCATTGCATCGCCCGGTCCTTACGGTTCAGCACCTGGGGAGGGTCGGGGTAGTTCGACACGCGGTCATTGACGGGTCACAGGACCTGCGAGGAGCCAGTCGCAACGGGCGTCATGGCAGCTGCAATACGTGGCTGACTGCAGACACAGATACAAAGAAAAACAATGAGTCGAGTTCTGAGTCATCAACACGTAGAGCGATAGCATATCAACCAGGGATATCAAGCTCCTCGTTGTGAATCGAAGGGCGTTCCCCGACCGAGCCGCCGTGCACAGTCTGGCCGGCCAGTGTCCGTGGCCCTCTCCACACGGCCCGGCCGCCGTGCACAGGATGGCCGGCCAGTGTCGGTGGCCCTCTGTGCACGGCCCGGCCGCCGTGCACAGGATGGCCGGCCAGTGTCGGTGGCCCTCTGTGCACGGCCCGGCCGCCGTGCACAGGCTGGCCGGCCAGTGTCGGTGGCCCTCTCCACACGGGCCGGCCGTCCCGGCGGCACTCACCCGCCGTCCGAAGCCCGGCTTGGTGTCGTGCGTCTCGGCGTTGTTGGTCAGCGCCGGGGACGAGCTGAGGAGGCCGAGCGGCAGCGACTCTCCGCCGGGACTGGGCGTGTCCAGCGGCAGAAACCCGAAACTGGCGGCACATACCGGCGCGGCGTGACAATACGGCAGGGCGCCGAGACACCGCAAGACGTCAGGGCCTGTGTAGGAATTACAGCAAGGGAATTGGACGGAGCATGTCGCCTGAGAGGGAACGCGCTTAGATCAATCATCGTGCCGATTACACAGACACAACATCAGACATCGATGGTGAGACAAAGTGGACACGACCCAACATAACAAACCGATTCATCCAAGCACAAAAGAAAATAGGTAGTAAATCAAATAGCACTTCTGTAGCTTCATGACATTAAAACATACCAAGAGACGGTTTGTTTGAGAAAAACAACTGGTTTCAGAAAAATACATCACACTGCCAGCTTGCTAACTGCATCTCTATACTAGTTGAGCGTTTTTAGGAGGCTGTCATTTATGAATAACTCGTTTGAGACATTGCTGCCTCCGGAGGTATTCGGTGCACCTATGGAGTCTCCACCCTCCCCGCGCCCCGTCCGTCCGTCCATCGCTCGGTGCTGAAACCAGGGCGAGTACGGCGAGCCCCCCCCCCCCGTCCGTCACCCCTCTCCCACCTAAAGAGAGGGACCGTCACCGCCCTCCCACCTGGGCGAGTAGGGCGAGCCGACCGTCGAGTTGAGCTGCGACCGGAAGAGCGCCTGTTTGCCGCGCACCGCGTCCTTCTCCGAGTCGGGCGTCGCCTTGGAGACGGTGAGTCCGCAGCCGGGCGGCAGCGCGCCGCCGCCCAGCGCGGTCACCGGCGTCTGGTACGGCGTGCTACCGGCAGCGGGAGGCGCGGGGCGGCGTCACATCGGTACAACATTGGACAGCCGCGCGGATGGCTGGTCGGTCAGATCATTTGGCGGTCGTCACTGTACTTTGACTAGCAACGAACACTGAGCCGTCCGCCACTCCTCTCTGCCCCGTCACCGCCCGCCACTCCACTATGTTCCGTCCCCATCTGCCACCCCGCCCCTCTGTACCGTCAGCCCAGCCATCCCGCCCCCGTCCGCCACTCAGCCCCACCTGGTGATGTTGACGTTGGTCACGTGACCGACGCCGTGCGGGGCCGGCGCGTGGTGCTGCTGCGGTGCCGGCTCGGTGCCGGGGCCGCCGCCAGCCGGGCCCTGGCACATGGCGAAGCTGTCCAGGCCGGCGGTGGTGAACACCTTGGCACTGTCCACGCTCTCGCCCAGGTTACACAGGTCCACGAACGCGCTCCACAGGAACGGGTTCAGCTTGAGCGACTTCTTGCAGGCCTCGGCGGCCTTGGCCTTGCGCTCGGTGCGGATGTAGATGCGCGCCAGCAGCCGCAGCGCCAGGCTGGCCGAGTCGCCGAACTCGCCGCTCACGTCGTCGTGGCCCTTGGGCTTGAGGATGCTGCCGCCGCTGAGGATCGACTCGGCCTCGGCCAGCCGGTCCAGCTCGAAGCAGCAGAGCGCCAGCAGGTAGCGGGCGGCCGGCAGCCGCGGCTGGCGCGAGTGGAGCAGTGTGTGCGCCTGGCCCGGCCGGCCGGAGCGGTAGTAGCAGGTGGCCAGCAGGTGCACCGACTCATCAGATTGTACTGGCGAGGAGACAGGGGCGGTCAGCCGGCCACGGCGGTCGGCCAGACAGCAGCAGAGGTCTACACATAGGGGTGAGGGACAGAGACACTGCTGGGAAGTTGGGCTTGGCAAGAAAAGAGCAACACAATCCATTGATAAGGAAAACAACTGTAGGCATTTACCAAATATCAAAATACCTAGCAAGGTAGAATAAAAAACTGATTTCAGAGTTAGCTAGCCTAATTGTGGAAATTCTTTTGCACATCTCATAATGTAAACAACAAGAATGACATGGACAAGCTAATTAGAAGACTGAGAAACTCAAGCCAAGAACGAGCAAGACAGGTGTAGAACACCTCATGCAGCTCATATTCTACAGGGTATAAGGTAAACCATGTGTGCTTGGTAGCATTTATAGGCTTATTGTCATGGCAGTCTTAGAGTGGGTATATGGTGCAACAGAATCCAGGGATTAGTGCAAGAGGCCTCTGATGTGGAGGGAGCCATTTTTGTGAATCAATTGAAGGAATTCAATTCAACTTGGTTAGTAAATACATTACCTAGATGGCATAAATGGCCCTGAGCTGTTGCAGGGAGAGAATTAAAACCAACAAGGCACCTATTTATGCAAGTTCATTTCATGAGCTGTGTAAGGACAGGTTGCACTAAGATAGAATATGATGCAGGATGAGAATAAGATGAAATCTTGCTTCAATTATTGCATCTAAATAAGCATTAATCAATAATAAGCCACAATTTTACTCTGGAATATGAACAAAATGGCTATGGTGATGTCATGCCTGCAAAATCCAGGAGAAATCTCACCTTCAGCACACAGCCTTTCTGCCAGGAACGTTGCATCTGAGTATGCATAGTGGTTCAGGCAGTGCCAAATTGCAGCCTGCAACAATGAAATCACAGCTCAGATCAGAACTGAACACTCAAAACACTGAGACAGCATTTAATCAGAATATTGAACCACACAGTTGAAACACTTAAAGGCCTGCAAATAATTAAGCTAGCATTTAACCCGCGCCCTGGTGGGGGGGGGGGCTATTTTTTGCCCCCCCCCTCCAGACTTTTCGATATATCTTCAGAACCGCTGCGCCGATCGTCACCAAACTTTCAGTATCCTCCCGGACATCAATTTTACACATTGTGACCAAAATTTTTTCCAAAGGCTATGATAGGTTGGCCGGAAATGACGTCAGAGTGACGTCATGTTCTGCCGTTTTCGACCCAAAAAAGGGTTTCGCGGGAAGAGCTGTCAGGCCTATAGCTTTGCAAATACAGAAAAACGATAAAGACATAAAAGCTGTAGAATTGACAGGGCTACAAAACTGCTATCTCGGATTTTTGAAATTTTTGGATTTTGACCCCCTAAAATCAAAAAATAGATTTTTTTAATATAATAGCCGAAAAATCCAAAAAGTTTTTTGAATTTCGCAAAAACCGGAATATATGTGATAGTCCTTACCGCCTTCTATCCACATACCAAATTTGAGATTGATACCTCTTTTTTTGGCGAAGTTATAGCGAAAAAAACGGTTCAAAATTGATGACGTCAAATTTTCAAACTAAATTTTTAGCAATTCTAGACCTCGTAGCGCAAAACAAAGACCACCATTAGACTCCCCGTGACGAGCTGCATCGAATCAATACCCATTTTATGCAAAACCATCAACTTTAAAATTTGACCTTTTTTGACCTGACCTTGACCTGACCTTCACCAGAAAGTGACCTAAGCCGTACCTGATAGTCTTATAACCAACACCATTGAGTTGGACATGAAAAATTGGCCATAAAACATGCATCGCACAACCTTAGTACCTAAAGTTAGGTTCATGTGAACCTGTGACCCTTGGTGACCTGACCTGTGACCTGACCTGGTAATGTCAGTGACCTCTTATAACAACATATGTACTAGGCAACTGACGCCATATCGCTGATTCTCGACAAAATGCGTTTTCTTCGGTGTTATAGCGCATTCCCTAGATGACCCATGAACGGTGAAACATTTCATCTTTGACCTGACCTGTGACGTCATCGGTGACCCCGAGGTCAATGAAATTTGGTTTCCCCCGACAAATTTGACAGGCCTTTCGAACGCCGTTTGAATTTCGCGGATCCGTCCAGTAGTTTCGGAGATACGAGGGGGGGGGCAAAAAATAGCCCCCCCCCACCAGGTCGCGTTATAAACAGACCCCACCAGGGCGCGGGTTAATGAAAGCTGTAGCCAGGTGGGTTATTACCAAGTTAGTATATATCCACCAAGCCTAACAAATGAAAAAAAATTGAAGTTTCATAAGAGCTTCACAATTCCCAGGACCACATTCGTACCCATGTTAACAGCTCATGGACAAAAATAGAGCATCTCAAAACCATCACAACTGAAAAAATTGATTCATAGCATTACACAATTACAACATGAGTTACAGCACTTATTAAGTTTACTACATATATTATGCATCCAAGCAAATATGTTGAGCAAATTTTTAATTGCAGCCCTACCTGGTATGGTACCTTCCTAATGTCATCTGTTCATAACACAAATTTACTCAAATAATGCATCCCGAACCCTAAGCCAAGCTTTTAAGGATATCTAAAAATTAAGGAAGCAATGCATGAAATGTTATAAATGTCAGTAGCAATGAAACAAATGGAATAGGAGTCCCCCTTATTCAAATTTAAATTACATTGCGTAATAATTATCAAAAGATGCTTACCTGAACAGGCTCCTGTATTATCATCTTCATGTAAGTTATCTAGCGATGCAACATTCGCAAGAAAACAGTATAATTCATGAAACTTAACCGTAAATATTGACAGACAACCTACAGCTTATTTCTTTGTAAGAGCCGTAAGAGCTACGATTGAGGAGTTTCACGAGATCCTCCACAACTAATCGATTGAAAACAACATTCTACCGTCGTACTAATCCAGTTTTCGGACAAAAGTAGCCTGAAGGCTGGCTCCAACGGATGATGATGCGGGTATTTGTAATCACTAATTGAAATATAAAGTTTTTAACTACCCCAAACAACACCTATCCTCCGCAAACGTCCCCCTCGATAACACCCAACGCAGGCTGCCCGTAGCTCTATTTCTACGGAAGGCTACCGATCCAGATGATTTCAGTAGAACTTCTACCGCGACTCGTCTTCCATGTTGACGTCAGCTGCCGCCGGTGGTCGGCAAAACAGTAGAATCATCCATCATCGGTATAGGAGTACTTATCCTGAGACAGTTGAAATCTGTTACCAAATTTTAAAAGGTCAGCAAGTGCCGTGCCCAAGGCCGCGTTCTCTTATACGGCCCAGTGTATATAAATAATACCAATACGGCCTTGGTCGTGCCCAAGGCCACATAACCGTGCCCAAGGCTATGTCGTGCCCGAAGACCTCTCGGATAGCTCGGATCTCGGCTCGGATCTGCCTTGGCTGATGCTCTGATATAAATATTGGGACTCATGGCATCGGAGAGCCCGATAGTGGCTCAAATCAATTGGACTAGCTACCTGAGCCGACCCTACATCTTTTGAGTTGAGGGCGGAACCCATTTGTTCGCTGACGGCCGTGTTCATCAACACGGGGCAATCTCCGACAAGAACTGATATCCCCCACCCCACCCCAGCATCCGTCCAGGGTGGGGATCCTTCCTGATCGGGGTATAACAATCGATATGCCTGGAAGCATTCGTTCCACACTGCCCATCATCCAGCCCATCATATCATCAACAGCCAATCGATGTTGGGTGCCATTTTATGCTGGATCAATGGATCCAGTGAGCGGATGCCTATTTAAAAAAGGTTCATACGGTGAACTATCGCGACATGTCGTTCCTGCTGAGTGCTGACAATCAGGGGCGAGAACACCGCACTAAGCGGCAAGGCTCGGAGTTTGGAGCACTGCGACGCCGGACACCGCACTTTTGATGCTGCTGCAGGATCGCAAAATGAGGGTTGCCACTGATACGCGGCCGCACATCGACATAATATATAAAATACCCATCAGCCCTCGAAGAAGCAGTTCTCATGTGTTGCTCGCTACTTGCACGCTCGATTTTAGCGGCTGCGCTAGAGCGGGCCGTCCCCCAGCCGGGCCCTCCATTGCACAGATGAACACTCGCATTTCTCACATCCACGACCTGCCACCGGGCATCTGAAGCATCACATCCACGCATAGTCAATAGGTATGTGCTTTATTTCTGAAGGAAACTTCTACCGACCACGCCAGATACGCCCCTGACCAAAAACGCTCAGAGCCGTAACTGTAGCCGGGTCAGCAGCTGGAGACACTGAAGGAATACGGGTTATTTTGCCACTCCCTGCACGAAGCACCGTCCGCCAAACAGCAGCATCACACCGGGCCCGCCAGCGCGGCGCCCGCCCCACCAATATCCTGCGATCCTCTGTTCTCGCCGTAACAGCTGGGCCGTCGGCGGCGCCGGCCGGCCCGCGCACCGCCCCCTCCCCAGGGCGGCGCCGTGCACTCTCGGCTCGGTAAAAGGTCGGCCGGCCGGCGGCCCCGGGCGGCCATCATTGGCTGATGTCCAGCTCGTCCAGCTCCTCCTCCAGCTCGTCCAGGTCGTCAGCGTCGAACAGGTTCTCGTCGATGGGCGCCGCGTCGACGGCGGTCGCGCCGCCCACCGCGCCCCCGCTCTCCCCTGCCGGCCGGCGGGCGGACACGTCAGCGGGGAGCGCAGGGGAACACCACGGCGGGCAGGGGTGCAACAACGGCGGGTAGGGGTACAGCAACGGTGGGCAGGGGACACCACGGCGGGTAGGGGGACACCACGGCGGGCAGGGGTGCAACAACGGCGGGCTGGGGCATCAGCGACTGTCGCTAATGGAACGGACTATGGTGAGCTCTCCAAAATCCGTCAGACGGCAAAGACCGTCATCTGTCATGAGTTTGGTGCATGTAGGAAAAAATCAATTCACGCATGTTAACGAAATAAAGCATTACAGCACACAGAAGTGCATTCATTACAGGTCGACATACGAGCACCCACCTGCTTTTGCGTTGGCCTCCTGCGCCTGTACCGCCTCGGCCTCAGCGATCTGCTCGTTTTCAATACCCTCCAACGTCCACGTCTTATACTGCAACATGGTAAATCGGATTCAGTGGGTAGCAGACGGTACATGGCGTTAACAGATTCCTTCAGTGACGCACCTGAGTGAAAAAAAACTAACACTGCAGTCGCTGCGCTCAAAAGACCATCATCTGAAGCATTGTATAAGCAACTTTACATGTAGTCGTTTTCTGATCTCGACGGCGAAGAGATCGCTTTATGCAGGCAAGGAGTCCCGAAACACGTGCCTATCAGCCAAAGACTAACCGTACTTTCCCATTATCATGTAGCTATGCCTCCCTGCAGCATCCAGCTTTCACTGGTAGCCATAAATAAGTTCTTCATATACCGTCCGCCTCCTTACCACGATGTCCTTTTCGGCCTCCTCGAGCTCCTCGTCCTTGAGGCCGGTGAGGTCCATGCCCTCGTCACCCTCGTCCAGGTCGCCGTCGCCCACACCCATCTCCGGGTTGTACATGAACATGTCCCTGCCGGAGAGCTGACGGAGCGGGCGGGGGCACGCGAGAAGACGGGACGTGTGAATATCCAGCGACAGTCCTGCTCCATGAAATGCGCGATAGGCAGTAGAGCAAATGTGGGCCGTTGTCAATCACTGTTGCGAAAAAAATGCCAACCGTGGCTACGAATAAAATATGTTCTGCCTTCTACGTCACTCTACTTACCCCACCGCTCTTGCCGCTCTTGGCGTCGTTTTTCTTTTTGGCCTGTTTCTTGGACTCTTCCTTTTTCCGTTCGGCCAGTTTGCGCTTCTTCCAGGCGAGGAAGGTGGTGTAGGTGATCTTTGTGAGGTTGGAGCCGAGCGCGGCGCGCTCCTTCTCCACCAGCTCCTCGATCGTGATCTCGTCCTTCTTCTCCGCCTTCTTCATGTCCTGCGAGCGCAGACGGGGCGGCACAGAGCTCAGCCGGGGTGGCACATACATAGTCCGCAGCTGTTCACTGCTGAGGCGGCGACTGTGACACCACAACGACGCGGAAATACATGAATGATACTACGGATGGCTGTTCTATAAGCAGCTGCTATTCGCCAAGCTATACATATCCTGCAGCATCACATCATAAAAAATGACAACAGAAAAGAAGCCAAGCGAACAGTAGCGGCGGCGCCGTTCAAAAAACGAACGACGAGCTGAGGCTAAACACGTCCCGGAGCGTCCCCACAGGTGGCGGTCTGAGAGTACCAGCGGTAGTGCCACTGACCACTCTGGCAGCTACCTTTTTGAGGACGTAGCCCTGCGGCAGCGCGTGCCTGTAGATGCACTTGTCGCCGGACGGGCACTCCCAGAACCAGCCGTACTTGCTGTTTTCCACCGCATCCAGAAAGTACTTGCAGATCTGAGAACGGAGCGCACCGCCACGGATCAGACGGTTCCCATGACAAACGTCATCAAGGCGGGGGAGGGGTGCAGCCTGTGGATATGACGACTATGCCAGATAGAAGGGATAAAACATCAATCACATCACATGGAAACACTACACTGATAAGTTAGGGACATGATTCAATGCAGGGGGTGTCGAAGTCTAGTAGGAAAATCTGGCAAAGTCCCTGCGTGACGTCACGTCGGGGATGACCGACGGCACCTTGCACTGAAAGATACGGCAGAACGGCTATTTTTGAAAAATGATTAAAAATACTTTTGTGCTGTTATGACGCATAAAACGCTTATCAGCATGTTCCTCATCATGTGATAAAGGCATATCCGTGGTCGAAAATAGCTGAGCCGCTCCCAATTTCCTGCCACCGACCTCATAAGCAAAGGATGTAAGCGTAATCCTTAAGGGCGACTTTCCTATACATATCCGTACATATGCGTCCTTATGGAAATCGGTAGTGTGGCGATTGGCGACGCGCGCGAAATCTGTGTGGCGACCAAGTGGCGACTGTGGCGACACCTGGTGGCTGCTTTTCTGCTGTATGTAGGCATTGGGGTTTTGCCAGATGTGGTTCCTACTTCCTACTGCTACACCACTATGTTGACCCAATACTAGAAAAGTTATTTTGCTAGTAAAAGGCAAGCAAATTGAAAGTTGATTTATAAAATTGCTTATAAATGATTACGAGATAATAATAAAGAAATTTTGATTGAATAATTATTTAAATAATCAACCGTGATACTATATTCTGGTAGGTTTAGTAGAAATAAGTCCGTGCAACCTTGTATTTAGGGCCTTGATTCAATGAAAGACTACATTAGGTGGCAACTTTACTGAGTATTACGATTAACGCCCACCCTTCTCACGAGCGTTGTCTTAATCAAGTACCTATGTCTTACGAGCCCTGCCTGCCGCAGCGCACTGCATAGGGCGCTGTCGGCCGTTGTCCGTTCCTGTTACTCACGATGGTGGTTTTGGGCTTGTTTTTCTCGGCCTCGCCGCCCTTGGCGTTTGCCACGTCGTTCAGCTTGTCCGCGTCCCAGGTGGACGAGTCCTCCGTGTCGCGAGAGTCCACGTACATGTTCCTCTTCTCCACCTTACGGCCGATCTGGGCGGCGACGGGCGGGCACACGGTCACGTGAGGCGGCGGCAATACACAGCATAGGGTCACGTGAGGCGGCGGCGCACAGCATAAGGATGCATGGAACGGAGGCCTCGTAGAGCATGAGTTGGGATCTTTCAGTACGACATTGACTCGGGGGGGGGGGGGGGGAGCGTTCAGCAATAGGGCACATAGGGTGGCTGTGTCCCATAGTCCACATAGTGTTGTGTGGTTGGGCCCACTGCTCCCCCAGCGAATCAGGCTTACCTAATGCACAGCATGGTGATTTTTACATTTTTAACTATGTCATCAGTGCTGGACAACTCTGAACAGTTAATTATTGTTGGCAACCACTCATGCAACCATATACTGCACTGTAAACGTTTTATGTTCAGAGGGCATGTAAGAACAGCTGCAACAATCAGGCCTAACAATTAACATACTTACATTCAAGTCATGTGAATACTTGCACTTCAAGCCCTTTGCACAAACAGACTGCTTGAAAAATGGACACAGGACAGACTTGGGGTCCACATCTGGAATCACCACACACAATGTGACATGTAACACAGTGACTTAATATCAATTATTCAATTAAAACAATGTTCTGTGACATAACCTAAAAACTTGAATGTTAGGAGTGTTTCTGCTGCATCTCCAATACCACTTTGAAAGCCTCACAATGATGCCTAGGTACTTTAAAAGATGATCTGCAGGCTAGCTGGGACGTTAATGTGTCCAGCTATCAGCCAAAGACATTTGGCTGAGTACTCAGTCAAGTACAAATGTGAGAAAAAACTTACTTTTATCGACCTTTTCCACCACAGGCTTGAAGAGGCCCTGGAGAATCTCCTTTTCCTTAGCCTCCTGCTCCTTCTTCAACTTTTCCTTCTTTTTCTGCTCCTCAATCTTCTTCTGAATTGGGTCTCCTCCAGACTTGACATTTTTGTTTACTTGCTGGATGAACTTTTGTTGTTTGCCTCCCTTTTTATTCTTCAAGCCAAATGTCTTATCCTGTGGTAAGATAAACCTCTATGTTATTTGGCATTTCTTTTAAGTTGCATCAGCCAGGTTACCTTATGTATATTGCACACATCACATATCCCATTTAACTTCCTGATATTCATACACTCACAAGTCTGCACATTTTTCATGAATCAATAGAAGTACAGAGTTGTGGGAAAGCATTGTCTATAGTTCATTCATAGGTGCCTAGCTCTTGTGCTAGCATTTATATTTTAATAACATGATGAAAATCTTTCATTGAAAAAGGTTCCCTGACAATGAGGACATTAAAAAGTTGCAACACACTTTGTAATGTCCTAAGATCTAATTAGTCTCACAAGATCCAACTTAAATCAAAAGATAGGTAAGCCAGCTCCCAGTTCTCTTGGGAGAACTTGTTCCGAGAAAGCACAAGAAAGCTGTAAGGGGTTAGTCAGCCTACAAGACTGTCAGCCTGCACCCCTCTGTCAGCCTACAAGACTTAAGATGTATATAGCTACAGTAATGCTTACCTCTACAATCTTTGCTTTCTTCTTCTCTTCAGTCTTCTTTGATGGTGCATTAGCCTTCTTGGGAGGCATCTGAAATTAATTTTGAAAGTCATTAGTCAATAACTGAGAATGCAAATGCATTTGTGTGAACTGTGAAGGCCTGTGCACATTATTATATAGATATTCAAAAAGAAAACTGCCTGTGTCCATCATGTCAAATTAGATACTAACCTTTGCTTACAACGTTCCAAGCTGAGTTTTCTTTTCCTTAGCAATTCCGTAAAACGTCTTCTATATTATTGTACCTGAAAGCCAATAAAGTCATCAATTTAAGTTTTACCGTTGTAATGTTTGCTTTTAATTTGCTGTAGACTTCTAAGACAGCATCATTACATGTGCTAGGTAGTGTAATTTTTAATAATTAGTGAATCAATGTACAAAATGCAAATTGAAACACACAACATTTTTTCAGTGTTAAGGGACTTTATCAAAGACTGAAGATTCCAGCTATAAATTCAGATATTAAAACATTCACTGTCAGCATATATGAGGGATTAAATTGCCTAAAACTTAAGAATAATAAAAACCAAAAAAGCCACCATAAAACCCACGCACCGTATGTTTCTCGCGTGTGTCACATATATATTAAAACACAACGAAATTGAGCAAAATGTGTTTGCCTCTTCTGCGCCAGTTAGTCCTATGTATCAATTACAAATGTGTTCTGTTTGATAAATTATTTCTTACTGTTCATTCAACATCTAATATTCCTTTAGAATCTTAGATATTTTTGATAATTTCCTGACAAAATTAATTTAAAGGCACACCTTTTAACGTTTTTTTACGTTTTAGGGCCTTGCTTTTTTACATATCAGGAAATATGTAACATCAAGTGTTTCATAAATCTCTTTTTAGCGTATATATTTATGTTTTTTGTTTTCTTACCAAACATTGCTCAAATTATAAATGAGAATAATATTCGCTGTGTGAAAATCGTTTTCAAACTGCAGCGAGATCTTTATGATCGAGTCTCTTCGTTGCCATGACAACATAAGCAATAAGCGATCACCTGTCTCTCCATGCGCTTTCTGTTTCCGTTTCCTTCAGTTTCCTTCCTGCTTTCCTTGGCGTTTTCAAGAAAGCAGAACACCAGAACTAAGGGCGGGACGGCGGAAACTTTGAAATTGAAATTGACAAAAGCTTTGGAGAAGAAATGAGAAAGGCTTCTTAGTTCTTGAATCGTTTATGAAAAAAGAACCTTGGGTAAAAGGAAAACAAGTCGCCCTGATGTCGAGTAGCCTCGTGTCGAGCCACGATTGAGCCGGCTCATCAGGTGAGACTGGGGCAGATGATTTGATTTATATGATTTGCAAGTCCCACAGTGTGCCACAGTGTATATTTAGGTATAGCAAGTCCAAGGGCATGTCGCATGAAGGTATTTGTCGCGAGTCACTTTGATGGTGACCGAAATATTGATTGCCTCCCTCGCCTACCTTTGTCAACTTACTTGGTAGTGGTACAGTAGAACGGAATAAGTGACATATCCCGTCAATAGATCTGTGACAAACGGTTATCGAGCAGGACGATGGCTGAAGGTGGAGGCGGAGCGATGTCAGGAATGGGAGACGGGCCGCCGCTCTCGGTCAGGACGGAGGTGCGACCACAGCCGGCCATCAAAACCGATATGGTAAGTCTCCTGGGTCACGTCTCATCCATATCGCTCCGTCCCGGTCCCGACTGTCTTGGCGTATCGCTCTTGGCCGCGCAGCTGCTGATCGTTTCCCGCGGTGTCGTATGACCGGTGTCGTATAGCCGTTATCGTCGGTGGCCGCCCTCCCCACCCCTCCCCTCCCGTCCCCCGTCAGATGCGGCCCTCGCAGTACAAGCGCGAGATGTGCATGACCACGGCGGAGCGGCACCGCGCCTACTCGGACAAACGGGAGCTAGACCGGCTCTACGCCGGCCATCGACCCTACAAGGCGTTCACCGTCATACCGCACCGGGTCGTCTTCCAGAAGTTCAGCCGCTGCGACACTCAGGAGCAGCAGGTCATCTTCCGCAACGACGACTGCGTGAGTGGGCCGGCCGGGCGGCGCTGCCGGAGTGGCGCGGGGGCGGGCGAGCACGGTGCTCTTGGGGATAAGCCGAAACACGGGAGAACAGTTTTTTTTATTAGTTATTGTGAGGACTGTTCACCCAAGATAGACATGTTAAAACTGTTTGGCAGCAGCGTACTGGTACGTTTCGATGGCAGGTATGTAAAGAAAATACAGTAGCCTGGTGGCGCAGTTGGCGTCGGCCCGCGGTGCGGGTGGCTCTGGGTTCGATTCCCGGTGTCGCCCTTCCCGCGGGCGTCGTCCCCAGCTGTGTCACCAGGGGTGGGGTGGGCTCCCACGTTAGCCGTAGCTTAGGGGGAGGGGTAAGGAAGAGGAGGAGCAGGAGCCTTCCTGTAAGTGGGCGCATCAGCCTGTTGGAAGGATGACGAAAAAACTAGTTACTGCGATCGATGATAAATTTGACGATTGTGATACTGATTACTGATGTCACTTATGCATAAAATCTGACAATTAATAGCGCTTTATGTACGCCCATACATTGACTTGCCATTGCGACGGTACGTTTCGTCACGATTTAATAGTGCCGCTGTCTATTTGTATGATTATTGTAGTTTTAATCGGTAATGGGTTCTAATATCAATGTGCCCTGGTTCATTTTAAGTTTCCGTGTATCTCCCGTCTCCCGACAGCTCCCTTACCCTTTCCTTCCCGATACCTATTTCACTCAGCTCCTGTGGTGCTGTCCATGTCCCCGTGTTCCGCTCACATCCCGCGCCTGTTCGCCGCCACGGCAGAAATATCCCGCGCCGTATAACCTCTCCGTTATTTCCGCTCACACCGGGCGCCTGTCCGCCCCGCCCCGCCCCGCCGGCAGATCCCGCACCTGCTGCGGGTCATGCCGTCCATGTCGCCCTACATCAGCGTCGCCCTGGTGTCGGCCCAGGGCGGCAAGCTGGCGCCGGGCATGTTCGTCGCCTACCGGGTCACGTTTCGGCCCGAGGAGCAGTGCGACTACTACTACGAGCTGCAGTGCACCAGCGACCAGGTCACCTTCTCCGTGCCCATCATGGGTCAGTGGTCTGTTACTATGTCAGTGGTTTGTGTCAGTGGCCCGTGTGTCAGTGACTTGTGTCAGTGGCCCGTGTGTCAGTGGTTTGTATCAGTGGCCCGTGTGCCAGTGACTTGTGTCAGTGACCCATGTGTCAGTGATTTGTGGTGGTGGCCCGTGTGTCAGCCCCCGGTCAGGGACAGACCGGTACACCGCACTCATGGCTATCAGCCCGTGGTGGAGAGCCGAAACAGTTCTCACAAAAACGGGACGAGAGAGAATTAGAGACAGCACGGCTAGCAAATACGTTTTCCATGCGAGCGTGTGACGTGTTTTGACTCGTCATTTCGTGCTGTTTTTCAGCGATCGGGCCGCGGGCGATCCTGGATTTTCCCGACCGGATCGTCTTTCAGAACCACCCCGTGCACGCCGAGACGTCCAAACTGCTCTCCGTCAAAAACGTCGGTCAAAAGGAGGCCAAGTTCTCCCTGAATGTCACCAAGTAAGCAGGGGATATCCCAATATTTTGATCATTAATTTAATCAGGTACATAATGGTTATGCCTGCGTCAATTCTATAACATTGCATGGTGCTCACTGCACTCACATGCATTTGAATGATTCACTTAGCTCCATAGTTTCAGAGCGCTCAATTTGTCTAGAATGATGAATAAAGGACGAACCATGACGTGAAAATTGTTCAATAGGTCTTGCTCTTCCTTCCGCTCCCGATTGCTGTATTGGCATGCTCCGTTTGCTGTGACGTTTGCTGTGGCGTTTGCTGTGGCGTTCGCTCGCCGGTGCCAGGCCGTTCAGCGTGGAGCCACGGTGTGGCACGCTGCCGGCCGGCGACGTGGCCCAGATCGCCATCCACTTCCTACCCACGGACATCGGACAGCACTGCGAGCACGCGCTGCTCACATACGACAACGGTGAGCGGCGGCCAGGGGCGCGTCACTCACCGGGGTCAGAAGGGGCACGCCAGCTCACCTGTCGGGGACGGGGGACGCCTCCCCCACCGGGGCTGGGGAGGGTACGCCAGCTCACCTGTCGGGGACGGGGGACGCCTCCGGCCTCACTCACCAGTCACCAGGCCCGGCTCACATCGGTCGTAGTAACGTTTTTCGGGAAGGTGCTTTTTAGTGTTTTAAGTCTAGTGTAGCTGAAGCGGAAGTAAATCTGTTCAGCGTTTGTTGATCTTTTAGAGACCGGAATGGAACACTCCAAATAATTCACATTTTGCATTATTTCTGTCCTTAGTTCACCACCCAGCGTCCGCCCAGCGACCACTCAGGGCCGTTCGGTGGTGACGCGTCTCCGTCCCGTTCCCCAGCGGGGCCGCTCGGTAGTGACGCGTCTCCGTTTCGCCAGGCGAGAAGGTGGTGATCGAGGTGCACGGCACCGGCGTGGAGGTGGACGTCGGACTCTCCAGCTACACCATCCGCATGGACACCACCTTCATCGGACTCACTTCCAGAAAGTACGACACAGAATATGCCGAGCGTCTGAAAAAGATGCATATGTTTTTGTTGCTGTCTTCAGTGCTATGCTGATCATGGGGCTCTCTGTCTCCATAGATGAATAGTTTGTTGATCGTTATTGTTTTGTTGCAGGACGTTTCGTCTGTACAACAAGAGCGCCACGCCGGCGACTTTCGTGTGGCGGCGCCGGGAGACGGCGCAACGGCCCCGGCTACACTCCAGGTGGGTGTCAGGGTACACTCCAGGTGGGTGTCAGTGGCACAGATTAGACTCCCGTAAAGGCTGAAACAGACTCTTTCCGCATGCAGGAAATCGCATGCGAGAGCCTATTCAAATACATTATAATTCTGTTCGCATCAGTTGCATGCGGGAGGTGCGTGTGATTGATGCGAGCGTGCTTCCATGTATTTGGATAGGCTCTCGCATATAATTTCATGACTGCGGAAAGGTTCCGTTTCAGGCTTAACACTTCAGTTGGGTGTGAGATGGTCAAACGATTACCGATGCGCCCCCTATGCTGCGTTCACCGTTGTGCGCAGGCCCCCAGTCCCCTGTGTCCGCGCGCTGACCCGGTTTGCCCGGCGGCCCTGCAGCAGCGCGCCGGCCGGCGAGCGGACGGCGCCGGCCGACCCGTCGCTGGTGGCCAGTCTGTCGGCCGGCGCGTCCGTCCAGCTGCCGCCCGGCCGCCAGCCGGCGCAGCCCGGCCACCAGGAGGAGGCCTTCGAGCACCCCATCTTCAGCATCGAGCCGCTGGTGGGTCACTGGCCGTGTGGTATACATAGAGACCTTGATCTCTTTGGTGGTATACACCGTGGCGAGACGGTGTATGCTACGGTATTGTGAGAAGTCATTATGGAGACTCGATTCGTGAAAAGGTGGATCTTACTCGCTGAATGTAGAAATGGACATTACCCGCCACCCGCGGGACTCCGGAGCCACTCCGTTGCGTTGCTTGAAAACAGTAATATTGTCTTTATTTCGCTTTCATAAACATAGAAGTTATTAGTTATCACATCGCAGATAATTCCATCAGTTATGCGCCACTGTTTGGCCCTGAGCGTATGCCGTGAGAAGGGCTGACCTCTGACGTCCGGGGTCCGTTTGTTTCCAGCGGGGCGAGGTGTGGCCGGACTCGGCCGTCGACATCACGGCCATTTTCCAGCCGGACTCGGAGGGCGACACCGACTGCATCGCCTACTGCCAGGTGGGTGCCGGCGTTACCCAGTGTGGTAACTGTGTGGATGAAACGAATTGTACCGCCTCCTGCACGAGCCAACGGGCCAGCGAGTGTCGTGTTTGCGTCGGAATACCTCGCGACTCATAACCCTTCTTATTCGCGATCCAGAGGTGCACGTCCGGCCTTTCCACGCAGAACCGCTCGATATTACTGGCAATTTGGTAGCACCCCCGCCCCGGCGCCCTGTGCTGCCCCCGCCCGGGTATCCGCTGCCACCCCGGCCCGTGTTACCCCCGTTACGCCGTCACCCCGGCTCGTCACGTTACGCAGGTGACGGGCCGCGCGGTGCGCCTGCCGCTGCACGTCTCGGGCCGCGGCCGTGGCGCCGACGTGCAGCTCTCGCTGGACTCACTCGACATCGGCGCCGTCTTCAAAAACTCCGTCTTCAACTACGAGGTGAGGCTTATGGAGAGGACATATACCTGAGGGCGAGCTGATATTTAGGATTGACCTCACATTTCAGGCATTATTTTACTGCACTCACCAAGCTTCCTCAGAATTAAACATCGCACTTTGTCCTTTCCCATCAGTCAGCTCCGTCAGCCTTCCCGTCCCGTCACCAGCCGGTAATAACCCCATCTCCGTCCCCGCCTTACCCCGTCGTCAGGTGGTGGCCGTGAACCGCGGCGACATCCCGGCCACGCTGCAGCCGCTGCCGGCCCGCTCGGCCTGGGCGCGCCACATCACCTTCCGTCCGCAGAGCCTGCAGCTGCACCCCAAGGACCACGGCACGCTGGTGCTGACGCTGGACGCCCAGATCCTGGGGCAGCTGGACGAGCGGTTCAGCGTGCAGGTGTCGGGCGCCGGCCGGCCGCTCTCACTGCACCTCAGGTCCGTACAGGGTGCTCCCCTCCACCTCAGGTCCCTACATACGGGGCGCCGGCCGGCCGCTCTCACTGCACCTCAGGTCCGTACAGGGTGCTCCCCTCCACCTCAGGTCCCTACATACGGGGCGCCGGCCGGCCGCTCTCACTGCACCTCAGGTCAGATACAGGGTGCTCCCCTCCACCTCAGGTCCCTACATACGGGGCGCCGGCCGGCCGCTCTCACTGCACCTCAGGTCTGTATATACGGGACGCCGTCAGGTACAGGGTGCTCCCCTCCACCTCAGGTCCCTACATACGGGGCGCCGGCCGGCCGCTCTCACTGCACCTCAGGTCCGTACAGGGTGCTCCCCTCCACCTCAGGTCCCTCCCTACATACGGGGCGCCGGCCGGCCGCTCTCACTGCACCTCGGGTCCGTACAAGGAGCCGTCAGATACAGGGTGCTCCCCTCCACCTCAGGTCCCTACATACGGGGCGCCGGCCGGCCGCTCTCACTGCACCTCAGGTCCGTAAAAGGCGCCGTCAGATACAGGGTGCTCTCCTCTAGTTGAGGTCCGTGTGGGGCGTCGTCACAGTTATTGGGTGCTACCCTTCCTTTCAGCTCGGCTAGAGTGGAAACGATGCTCTGGAAAATCAGTTACCGCACACGGTTTCTCTAATCAGCTCCGGGACGACAGCCCAGTGTATATAGAGTAGTTTCTTGGTGGTCAAATGTCTACCGAAAGCTGATCGCTCCCCGCAGCTCCCTCACCTGTGACGCTCGTGCAGGGGCCGCGTCATCCCGCCGACGCTCGAGTTCGACTGCGCGCTGCTCGACTTTGGCGCGGTGCCGTTCGGGTTCCGCAAGGTGCTGCGGTGCCGGCTGAAGAACACCTCGCTGGTGCCGGTCGAGTTCAGTCTGAGCGTGCCCGACGACGGCACTGAGCCGGCCATCCGTCAGGAGAAGCTGGCCGCCCACCTCTACCAGGTGGGACACCGGCGCGCCGAGATGGCCAGCGCGGGGTCGGGCGGTTACTGGCAGTACGGAGACGGCGGGTGGGGTGTTCGGAGGCAGGTGATCGTGATGATTTACGCGATGCTTTAGCTGCGCTGCAGTTTGCCCACTGCACTGGTTGGTGTTATATGTAATTCCCAGCGCCCGCTCTCCGGCAGGTGGTGAAGAAGGGACTGAGCAGCACGCCGCGCGAGTTCACCCTGAAGCCCAACAAAGGAGTGCTACAGCCACAGAGCAGCATCAGTATCAAGGTAAGGTCGCCGGCCGCTCAGACCCACCGACCGTCTCACAATTAGCTAGCTCGCCACCGTGAGAATGCTGTCTTCGACCAATAGTCCGTAAGGTAAGGCAGGGTGACGCTGAATCCCTTCCTCCCTCCCTTTTAATGTCAGGTGGAGCTGGTGCCCAACACGGCCCGCCGGATCGCCACCCCGTCCTCACCTGTTCTGACCTGTCCCGTCCTGTAATTCTGACCCTCCCTCTGTATCAGGTGGAGCTGGTGCCCAACACGGCCCGCCGGATCGCCACCCGGCTCCGGGTGGACATTGACGGCGTCAGGGAGGCGCTCTACTCTGTGCCGCTGTGCGCCGACTGTGTGGCCGCCGACGTGCAGCTGCGCGCGCCAGACGTGGTGCTCGGCAGACACTTCAAGGGCCGCTCGGCGGACGGCGCGGTGACGCTGGTGAACCGCTCGCCGATCGCGGCCCGCTACTTCCTGCTGCCGCAGGAGGTGAGCCGAGCGGGGGAGACGGGAGGGAGGGGTCACCTGGGATTCAGTGACATATTGTGGAACCGTACTGGGTAGGAGGCGCCGTCCCCCAGCTTTCACGCCCGTGTCTCCGTGTTCAGACAATGGAGTTTCCGGGCGTGACGTACCGGTGCGCCGAGCCGACGGGCGTCATTGAGCCGCGCTCCACGGCCACCGTGCCGTTCACCGTCAAACTGGAGGCGCTCGGCAACCTGGCAGTGCCCATCAGGTCAGTCGGACATACAGACGGGCCTGGCTGTGCCCATCAGGTCAGTCGGACATACAGACGGACCTGGCAGTGCCCATCAGGTCAGTCGGACATACAGACGGACAGAATGCTTGTCAGACTGACCCGGTGATCTGAACTCTTTCTTGGTGCAGCTCTCTTTCCTTGGTGAGCAAGCTCATGGTGTTTCTCCCATATTTGCCTCTCCCTACGCCTTCTTCCTGGCTACTGACGGTGCTCGTCTCCTGTTTGACTCTTCCCTCTATCATCTGACTGTTGGTGTTTGTCCGGTATCTGACTCAGGCCCTCCCCGCGGTCCCACAGAATGGTGGTGTGTGGCCAGTATCTGACCTGTCTCTCCCCGCGGTGCCGCAGGCTGGTAGTGTTTGGCCGCCCGGAGCCGCTGCAGGTGCTGGCCCGCGTGGTCAGCCAGGGCCCCGTCATCGACCTGCAGCCGCCCAGCCTCGACTGGGGACTGGTGCCGGTGCTGACGCCGCACCACAAGGCGGTCACCATCAGTAACCAGGCGCCCGTGCCGGCCGACGTCACCGCCGTCATGGTGAGCGCGTCAGCTGGGGGACCGGGGCGCAGTGGACGGCCGGGGTGACTCTCAGCTGCCAGCGGCCGTGGTCAGGTTGTTGGGATTAATTCAGGAATTCAGTTCAGATGTTCGTCAGCGTCATCCCTCCAGAATCGGAGACTGCAGGTATCAGGGGATAGCAACGTCTAGTACAGGCAGCTCAGTCAGCGCTTAACTGCTCAGTGTGCCACTGCCCTCCTCTGTTCTCGGCCGATCCCCCGGTCCCCGCTGACTGACCGGCGCCGCCCCGTCCGCAGCGGTCGGGCAGCTACTGGTCGATCGAGCCGGCCCAGGCCACGGTCGGGCCCGAGCAGACGCTCTCGCTGCGCCTGACGGCAGTGCTCGACGACCCGCTGCGCTTCTACGACGTGCTCGTCATCAGCGTCCAGGTGGGAGGGCGGAGGGAGTGGGCCGCCCGGCGACCGATAAGTTTTTCAATGGGACCATCGTGGATCGATCAGTCATTCAATGGGACGACCGGGGGAGAGGTGGTCTGCAACCGACACCGCACCTCTCGTCTGACTCTCTGTCTCGTCTCTCTTCTACTCCCAATCATCCCACCATAATTTAACCGCGGCCTCCGCCGCTTTCCCGTCGTGCACCGGGCTGCTGCCACCCGTCCTAACCGTCCCAGCTCTCCATCGGCAGGACAGCGGCACGTGGGAGATCCCCGTGGCGGCCCAGGGGCGCGGCTCCAGTATCCTCTTCGAGCCTCCGCTCAAAGCCGTCGTCGACCTGGGACCCGTCTTCTGGTGAGTGCAGACCGCAGAGAAAATAGCGGCAGGAGGTGGCGGGTGGTCACTAGCACCTCGGAAAATTAAACTGCTGTCATTCATTGTTTTCGTGTGACGGTGTCTCGATATTATTTCTAATTAACGATATATTTGACATTGCTTTTAAGCTTAACGTTATAATTGAACCCAGATAGACCGAGCTCAAAACATAGGGACACCAGAGTTAACTTTTCCCTACACTCTGGTTGGCTGACCCCCGGCCGCCACTGTCCGACAGCAAGTCTCCGATGACGAAGGTGTTCAGCGCGACCAACAAGGGCCGGCGCTACCACCAACTGGTGTGGAGTAACGACGGCGTGGTGGAGCAGTCGGCCACATCACTGGCCACCCTGGCCGCGCGCGCATCCACCGTCAAGTCAGTGCTGCGGGGACGGGAGAGCAGGGTGCCTCAAAGGGAGCCAGACGGGGAAGGGGGCAGCTGCTGGCCAGCGATTGATATGTTGGAGGATGATGGGAAAAGTGTGTTTGCTGAGTCGGTTGCGGGACAGGGGATGGATGCCTGTAGTGAGTCGGATGGGATGTGTCGCTATATCTCCACCAGACTGGATAAGCAGTATAGCTGCATGCAACCACAGGCTGCTTGAAATGGTCAAGCACTATTCGTTAGAATTGTGATTGTTTTCTATGTATTGTAACCGCCGCTGAGTCTCTATGTGTCCACCAGTCTGGGTAAGCAGTACCAGCTGTCTGCTGCATGTAACCGCCGCCGCTGTGTCGCTTTATGTGTCCGCCAGGCTGGGTAAGCGGATGCCGGGTCAGGTGCCCGTGTTCCGCGTCTCCCCCCGGCGCGTGGACATGTACCCGGGAGAGACGCAGACCTTCACACTGGAGGCCTACTGCGAGAGGTGAGACGAGACCACCGAACCTGCCTACCGGGGCAGCTAGTCGGCACCCAGAGGCAGTTTAGGCACCGTGTGCGACGGTAAACTGTAAGTCTAGACGTGTAAGCTGTCGACTTGGTTACCGATTCATCCCTGCATCCCGACTGGTGCGTCTCGCCACACTCCCTGACCCACTCACCGGGCTGTGTGTCCCGCTGCGCAGTGTGGGCTGGCGCCGCGAGGAGGTGAGCTGCACGGCCATGATCGGCTCCTCCTCCGGCAAGACGGTGCTGAAGCGGCTCGTGGTGGCCGCTGAGTTCATCCGGCCCGTCATCGAGTTCTCGCGCCGAGAGATCAAGTTCGAGCGGAAACGGATCCCGGGCGTGGAGTTCTCCGAACAGATGGCAGGTGAGGCGCCGCCGCCCTGAGACGATGCGGGTGGTGGGCTGAATGGTTATCAGGGCCACTGGGCTTTGGGTTGAGTTTTAAAGTTACTGGCATTGGTGGTCCGTTCCTTTGTTGTTTGCCTGATTCCTGAGCCCGCCGTCCGTGTTTTCAGAGAGTCTGACGCTGACCAACAACTCGCCGCTGGCGCTGACCACACACATCCGCACCCAGTACCCGTTCCTGCTGCGAAACCTGCACGGCGGTCTGTCGGCAGAGATCGACTACGAACTCGGGTGAGCAGACTGCTGACTGCTGCGAGAACATCCGTCAGTCAACGAATACATACAGAGACGAGGAGCGATCTCTCCCCCTCTCTCTCTCTCTCTCCCTCCCTCTCTCCGTGTCCAGCTCAATTTCGCTATTGTACTTACCTATGTTGTGTGGTTGATACCTCCCTCCGTTTTCCGGTGTGTGCAGCGTGCACCTGTCCGTCACGCTGGAGGTGCTGTTTGATCCCGACTACGAGACCGGCCTGACGAGCCGCTACGTGCGAGACAAGCTGGTCATCACCTACGAGGAGCACCCACACTGCGTGAGTGACCCGTGCGCGGCGTATCAGGGGAGGGGAGGGGAGGGGCATCCGCTTACTGCGTGAGTGGCCCCGCGCGCGGCCAGTCAGGGGAGGGGAGCGGGAGAGGCACCAATCAGAGCCGGGAGGGCAGGGGAGGGAGGGGCACTTATCGGGACCGGGGAGGACAGGCGACCAATCAGGGGCCGGGGAAGGACGGTGGGAGGGGCATCAGTTTAAGGCTGGGGGAGGGGGGAGGGATGAGCCGCCAATCGGGAGCCGCGTCAGGCACCCGATGATACCCAGGCGTCGATCTGAGGGCTGTTCACGGGCCCTGTGTGCGGTCGGACCGCACACAGCCCCGAAGCTCCGCCCACTTCGTCCCTACGTCACCCTTCCGTCACCGCACACAGCGATCGCTGTGGCCGGTCGGGACTGGCCACAGCGGACCGTCCACCGCACGCAGCCGTGACGTCAGAACCGCCTACCCATCCCCTACCCCCACGCCAGCTGGACGCACCGCACACACCGCACGCAGCAGTGTGCGGTGCCCGTGAACACCCCTCTGAATAATCACGGGCTACTTAGGATAATGTGAGAAAATGGTGACAAAAATGCTGCTGGGAAAGGGGTTTATGGACAGTCATCGGCTAAGAAGTCACCGTCAAGGAAATTTCGACGTAGCATCGCGATTCGTGTAGTGACGCACAGTCTGCTGCTAGTCGGCGGCCCTCCGGACGGGTGGCGTCACGTCACACCTAAATGCCCGCCGGCCGTCCACAGGACGAGGTGGTCCTTATCGGAACGGTCAGCTTCCCCAATCTGGTGGTCAGCGACAAGACGGTCGACTTCGGCTGCATCCTCAACGACATGGAGAGCTTCCGCAAGATCAAGATCACCAACTGCTCCAAGGTGCCGGTGCAGTACCACTGGTACTTTGTCAACAACGAGACAGAGGTGAGACTGGGGAACGGGAGCGGGTGATCGCCGCGCTGGCTGAGGCAGCTGCTCAGTCACGTAGCTACACCAATAAGGCTGCCTGTTAGGTAAATTCTGGCGTAATTATTCGCAAAAGTTTTGATGGATGGAAATTGGAAGCCGTATGGTAATATATTGAGTTGCGAATATCTCCTTGTCAAGTTATCGTCCAAAACGATCTCGGGACCTCGGGGAGGCTCTCGACTGAATAAAAAAATATCCCGGTCAATATCAATCCCGCACGTCTCTGACCCTCCGTCCTCTGCCGTCCTACCTCGGTCCGTCCGTCCGTCCGTCCTACCCCACCCGTCCTACCTCGGTCCTCCGTCGGTCCGTCAGCTGGACTGGCTGCCGGAGAAGGCCACGGTCGACTCGGCGGCCTCTGAGGCGGAGCGTGCCGAGCCGGCCGCCACGCCGCCGGCCACCGACTGCGTGCTGCACGAGACCCGCGTCGACCGGCTGATCACACAGAACGTGGACTCCATCCCGGTGGAGTGCGCCGTCGGTCAGTGTCCGGCCGGGGGAGGAGAGGGGAAGGTGTTGATCAGTAATGGGTAGTCTGCAGTTGTAAGGCAGTGCCTCATGTCCCGTGTTTCATACCGGGGTGCTGTATAGCATGCAGCATCCCACTATACAGACTACAGAGGACGTATAGTTACACTACACAGTGCATACCGTTGCCATATCCTATAACCCGACCAGTCATCTCTCGCCTTTGACCTCTGTCTGACCTGTGACCTGCGTCTGACCTGTGACCTCTGTTTGTGCCCCAGCCACCAAGGAGGAGCGTCTGCAGTCGCTGCGTCAGCGGCGCCAGTCGCGCTACGTCACGCCGCCGCCGCCCATCGACCGCACCACGGCCGCAGAGAAACTCGAGGCCCAGTGGAAAAAGGAGGCCGCAGTTAATGAGGTGCGTGCCGGACTGAGGCCCCGGTGCATGTGGCTGGGATGCAGTGGAGAGGAGTAACGGCCGCAGCGGCATTGTAACTTTCCTCGTGTTAGTAACCCTGGTGACTGTAATATCGTGTTGGAAGTAGGTATATGTGAAGAACGTCTTTATGACAGAATCCAGCAATTTTAAGTCTGTTTGAGTTAGTAGCATGTCTCGACTCGACTCATCCCTCTCACTCCCCCCCCCATCCTCCCGCTCAGATCCTGGACATCTACCCGCTGCGGGGCAAGCTGCAGCCGGGCGACAACACGTCGGTGGTGTTCAAGTTTTACGGGCACGGCTCGGTGCGGTTCTCGGCGCGCGCCGTGTGCGCGGTGTTGGGCGGCCCGCAGTACCCGGTCACCGTCACCGGCCAGGCGTCCAGCATCCACTACCGGCTGGAGCAGCACCTGGTCGACTGCGGCGGACACGTGAGTGCCGCCGACGGGCCGGGGCCGCCGTCGGAGGGGGGCTCTGAGGGAGGGTGGGCCGGCTGGAGCGGTCTCAGCACGTGCGGCTCCGACCCCGGCACCAGCACGGCCGGCTCCGTGCGCACGCTGCTCTGGGGCGGCGCCGCGCGGCCGGCCGCCGGCTGTCCGTGCTCGCTGTGTCTGTGGGCGCGCCGGGAGGCGGCGCTGCGGTGTCCGGTACGCGTGCACACCGGCCAGCTGCCGCCCGTCGGCGTCCCTCCGTCCCCCCGGCCCGTCGGCGGCGGCCGCGGGTACGGCGGCGGCCGCGCCGACCCGTGGCGCGCGAGCACGGCCGCCCGGCTGGCCCTCATCTACCGGGCGGCGGTGGGCCGGTGCGGAGGAGACTCCACGGACGAGTCGGACGGCGACTCGGACGGCGGTGGCTGGTGACCGAGCGGCGCGGGGCGGGGAGGACCGGCGTGTCACTGCGGGCAGCTGCTCGGAGCGGTGCAGCGGTATCGTGTGGTGCCGACGTTGACAACACTACCGCCGCCTCCAGCTGAATCCCGATCGAACGACGAACTCTCGAAATCAGGCGCTATCGGACTCCCGAAATATCGAAGGAATAAACTACATCGACAAAAAGAGGCATTATCGTCAATGGCATTCATAGGTGGAGAATTGTGACCAGCTGGGGGTGCTCGGGCGCAGCAAATCCGCCGCCGCCTAGCGGTGACCTTGACCCGCGCCGCCCGGCCGCGGCTCCAAAGCCAAGCCGGCGTGGCCGGCGTGGAATTGGGAGAGCTCGAGCACCCCCAGTCCAGCACAATTCTCCACCCGTGATGGCATTTGAATTTAATTTTGCTGAATAATTACGAAAATGCACCGACGTTGTTCTTTAAAAAAAAGCACAACACATTGAACACTTTACAAAGTAGTTTTGAGAAAATATTTCGATTTGCGCGCAAAATAGAACTTTCAGCATCCAATACCTAACTGCTTTGGCATGTTACGATTGTTGAGTATCGTTGGATATATTCTCTAATAAGTTAATTATCGGATTCCAATATTTTTAATGGTCCATATGCTTCGACGTTGTGGGATATTTTTTTTTTTTAATCGACGCAATTGTTTGCTTGCCTCTGAAAAGTGGCATAAGAAGTAACTCAAATCATGTTTTCCCACGTTTATTCGAAGTGACATACCGTAACTAACCGTTACATACAGTCGAGAAGGCGGAGGATTTCAACACATCGAGGAAAGGGCCTTCACACATATCAGAAGATTGAGGAAATAAGAATAAACTGTCGTATCTAGCCGTGGTATCCACTGCTTGCCTTTCCATATCCGCCGCTGGATCCACCGCCGTATCCACGGGATCCACCGTGTCCGCTGGATCCACCACTATATCCACGGGATCCACCACCATACCCGCCGCTTGATCCGCCGCTGTACCTGCTGCTGGATCCACCCTTGTATCCGCCGCTGGATCCACCGCTGTATCCGCCATATCCGCCGCTGGATCCACCGTGTCCACGGGATCCGCCGCTGTACCCTCCACTGGACCCACCGTGTCCGCGGGATCCGCTGCTGTATCCACCGCTTGATCCACCGTGTCCACGGGATCCTCCGCTGTACCCTCCGCTGGATCCACCGTGGCCGCGGGATCCGCCGCTGTATCCACTGGATCCACCGCCGTGTCCGCGACTGTAGCCGGCAGAGGCGGCGGCCACCGAAACGGCAAGCAAAAGAATCTGAAACATACAAGTGAATGCGTAAATAGCTCAAACGGCTGTCGGGCTGGAGTTGGAGATGCCTTTTCCCTGATATTATCTTAGTTTTAAATAAAATCGTATCTATTCTTATTGCTTGTATTACTCGTATGTATGTACGTACTTTGAAACTTAGCTCAGAGCGGTCCCGTAGCTCAGTTGGTACGTTGAGTCGGACCGGTAGCTCAGTTGGTAGAGCGTTGGACTCCGCGTGGTGAGAGCACGCGTTCCCGGTTATAATAGTCCGGGCTCGAAGTGCGACGGGCGCTTGACACTTATGGGCCTCCTGACAGGTATGGTTGCGGTTCGTAGCAGGCCGTAGCCAGGCGAAATCAGTCATGAGGGGACCGGCCGTGCGCGGCTATGTGCGCACGTTAAACTTTGGACTCTAAATTCTGCCATAGAACCGGAATTGCGCGATCGGAGGGTAGAGGGCAGGGTCACTGCAACAAGCTTCGATTAGCGGTGGCTCTGTCCTTGTGAATACTTCCTATTAAAAGGTTCCGACTAAATTTATTAAAAAAAAACTTGTAAAAATTGACGTCAATTCTTACTGGCAGGTTTCTATCTTTTTTAAACGAATTTTGACAAGAACTCAACAGGCGGCTTCTGAAGGCAAATTTCCAAAGGCTCAAGGTAATGTCAATTCGTAGTTAAACACCCTTTGCTGGCGCGGTCTTTTCTCGCTGTTTGACACAAGAGATGTTTGATTTGAACTGGAGTAGCGTTTTAAGCACCATTACCTTTTCGAGCGGCGTCACTCACCACGAGTTTGTTCATGATGCGTCTGGGTCTGGGCTGGGTGGCAGCTGTCGGTGGGTCGGTCGGCTGGCTGTGTGGCCGCTGCCGCCCGCCGGCCGGTTATATACAGACTCGGCGCCCGCCGGCCTTGGTGCGCCCCGCGCCACACCGGCCGGTGACCGCCAACGATGGTGCGGCTGGTGCAGTTTCTGTTAGTGACGTGACTGGACGCACATGACACAGCAGACTGCCGCTGATCATATGTGCACCGGCCGCACTGAGGGGTGACTGCCGGAGCGGGGTTAATGTGGGATACAAGTCTTACAGTGGTGCCAAGTGTTCTCTGGATTTAACGGCGGACTATAAAACAGCTATACCTACCCGAATGTATGTCAAATGTGAATGCATTACCCCAGCAACCATCCTGAGCCAGGGTCCATTGCGCTCATTCTGGATTCGGTCGTTGCAGCCATGTGCCTGACCGGCATCCATTTCGCATCGGTGTTTTAGACAGGGACAGAGAAGACTTGTGAAACGAGAAGGAACAGCAGGTGATATTGCTTGCCTACAGGCTGTAGCGAGATTACAAGCCGAGGCCGCCGCAACAGTGCCAATGGCGTCATACGGCGAAATGTGGACGAATGATCGTGCACTGCGAGCGCACAAACACAATCGCATGTATTCCCGTTAAATGCATGAGCCGGATTTTGAAATATATCTATGAACTGGTAAACACTCGGAGTTTAGCACTTTCCCTCGGCAGAGGAACAGCATTGCAGTGAAAATGGGCCTGGAACGGCATACTTTAGACGAAGACAGTATTAAACGCAGTGGCTGACGCAGGGCGATGGTGTGAAGGACCGAGATATCGGTATAAAAAAGAGAATATTGCTCAAAAGTATCTCGTTCATACACGGACACTGCTTCATTGCCAACAGCACGAACCCAACGGTATGGGGACTGCAACAGTACACACAACAGTAACAGCCGCGGTACAGAGACTGCAACGGTACACATAACAGTAGCACTACGGTATAGAGACTGCAACAGTAGGTACCTATACACAACCGGTAGCATCACGGTATGTGGACTGGAGCGGTACACACAACAGAAACACCGCGGTATGGAGACTGCAACAGCACACACAACAGTAACACCACCATATGGGGAATGCAACAGTGCGCACAACAGCAACACCGCAATATGGAGACTGCTCAACACACAACAGTAGCATCACGGTACCGAGACTGCAATGGCACACACAACAGTAGCACCATGGTATGGAGACTGCAACAATACACACAACAGTAGCACCATGGCATGGAGACTGCAACAGTGCACCTCAGTATGCGTACCTTCTGCCTAAATGTGAACGAACGCTTGGAGGTGTTATACTGTGTGCAATAGCTCCTGGATGCCGAAATGCTTTCATCGAAATTAAAACGCTGTACAGAATTATAGGGACCGGTTCAAAATCAACCGGATACTACAAACTTTGCTGGTCTCGTGCAGTCCGACACCAATACATAGTAACCTACCGGCTAAGCTGTTCAATGATGTATCGGCTATCGACTATCGTCCATAGCCATCCCCCGAAAACTTTGGATCGTGCTAAATCTACCATTTTAGCAAGCTTTTTGGGTTGGCTTTCTGTCATGTCACTCTCGTCTGCCTCTAACAGTTCCTGATCTGACATCATTGTCCCGAGAACCTACTGGCTAATTTTTGGACAGACCGGAATATGCAGTGTAACGCCGCCAAGGCCCCATAATTCGGACAGTGTCGGAAGAGGGGGGAGGGAGGGGCTGGCCGTGCGTCCGGCGGCCTCTGGTGCTCGGAAAGGCCCACTGGTCGGGCCGCTCCCCACGGCGGGGGAGGGCGGCTGTATCTGGGGACGCGCCGCCGACCCGTGACGTGATGCTGCGAGTTGGAGCGTCACTCGGTAACGACTGGCCTCGGGAGAGGGAGACGCGTGACCACCGCGGCAGCCGCTTCCTGGACTGGAGCGGGCGTAATGCGTGGGGATTTCTGGTGAACTATGGAACCGAAGGCAGAAACGTCGCCTTCATGGATGGGGTGATCATGGGTTCGCCCTTTGGTGGTGACTTGCAGATACGACGGCTCGGGTTTGTCTGCTTCTGTGACGCTGGCACGCGTGCCCCTGGTTCCACTGTGGCCAGTGGCCTGCGTCCGACATATGGTCACGACTTCAGCCGCGCCGTCCGCCTCCAGATACTGTAATTGGGTGTTAACTAGGTGCCGACCGTTTGCAGTACACCTCTGCAGCCCCAGTAGCCGGGGCCTCTAGCTTACACATTTAGATAGCTAATGTGATTTGTGTTACAGCAGCAGCTACACTGGACACCGTCCTTGCCCCCCTAACCGCCCGCCTCACCCGGCAGCTGTACTGGACCCTGCCCAGTGTCCGCCTGTTTTCTGACCGCCCACTGTACACCGTCAGCTGTACTGCCAGTTTCTGGAGACGGGCACCACGCTGTTCAACACGGGCCGGGTGGAGTTCCCGTGGCGCCTGCGCTACCAGCCCGAGCAGGGCCGGCTCCAGGTGTCGCCCACCGAGGGCACGCTGCCGGCCGGCGCCGCCCAGCGCATCGCCATCCACTTCCTGCCCATGATCCCCGAGTACTTCGAGCGGCAGATCGAACTGGAGGTGAGCAACGCCGAGAGAGGGAGGGGAGCGGAGGGATAGAGGTCTCAAGTCGGGTGTTGCGTGTGGTGCTTCCTTAACAAGTTGGCCGACATGCGCATAAGCAAAGAACTACTTTCCACTCACAGGTGAATGCCCGCTGTATACCCACTACATACCCGCCGTTGAATACCCACGGTCTATCGGCCCCTAAACATACCACTCTTGTTGTGGTCAGGTGGCGCACTTTCCGCCGGAGGTGATCACGGTGCTGGGCCACGGCGCGTACCCGGCCGTGATGCTGGACCTGCCGCTGCAGTACGAGGACATCTGCGAGCTGACCTTCCTCGAGGCCGTGCAGAACATCGCCGCCGTCATGGAGCAGGAGCGCACCGAGCCCGTCAGTGGCCGCGGGAGGGCAGACAGACGGGGGGGGGGGGTTGTACGGGGAAGGGTTGAGTAGGGGAAGGGATGTGGAATCAGTTAACTATCGGAACATGAAGGCGAGTTGAACGCCGTTAATGGTTTGATACACTTGATTTGTTAAAAATATCGCTTTGAATCGCATCTTTCTCCCGTCTTTCCCCTTCTCTCTTTCTCTCTCTCTCTCTCTCTCTCTCTCTCTCTCTCTCTCTCTCTCTCTCTCTCTCTCTCTCTCTCTCTCTCTCTCTCTCTCTCTCTCTCTCTCTCTCTCTCTCTCTCTCTCTCTCTATCCTCCTCTGTATCCTCTCCCTCCCTCTCCTCCCTCCCATAGAGTGAACAGTCGTCCAGCTCGTCGGAGCGGATGCTGTGCGTCAAGAACGCGGCCGGCTCGGCGGCACCGGAGCACGCCGACGCTCCGACCACGGTTCTGTTCGACCAGCAGCAGTCGCAGCAGCCGGGCCAGGGCCCGCCGCCGGCCGGCGGACAGCAGCCGGCGGCCGACAGGTCGGTCACACTGTCTAGACGCGGCATGTTGGCTTCGAGCTTCATTGGGCTACTTATGTACATTACTGCGTTCATGAAGCGCTTTATCTTCCTGTTTTCACTCACGTGGAAAGATGTTATAGCTATTAGCCACTAAGTAGTCTGTTCATAGATATATTTTCCTTTTCCTCTCGTTCAGGCCGGCGGTGGCGGCCGACCCGTCTGATCAGCCGGCGCCGCCCCAGCCGGGCTCTGTCGCTGCCCTGGATCCGGCCGCCGGTGCAGCCGGGGAGACGGCGCCGCCCGACGCGGCGGCCGCGCCGCCCGAGCTGCCCGCAGCAGACCTGGTGAGCGGGCCTCGGACAGAGAGTAATGGGCGCCGGTCCGTGGCGGACGGCGCCGAGCGCGGGCTGGGTGTGACTTGAATCTGCTGTTGCACGCATATTTCATACATTTAACGATTGGGAAGTTCCGTAATTTGTTGTAGATTTTTCCCTCGCTATATGTTTGTACATCACTCCGCTTAACAGTACTCGACGCTCCTCTGTGTTTTATGTCGGTCAGTCGACGGCGGGCAGTCCGTCCATTTGTTCCTCCCTGACGCTCCTCTGTCCTGTGTTTCTCAGTCGACGGCGGGCAGTCCGCGCTCGGCGATCGCCGGTGAGCCGCTGTCCCCGTTCCCGGCCCCCGCCGACCCGGCGCCGGCCACCGACCCGGCCGAGGAGGCCGCTCTGCCCGAACTGGACCCCGAGGAGCAGGAGGAGGAGGAGCAGGGAGCCGGCGGCGAGGAGCAGGAGGCCGATCAGGAGACCGAGTCGCCCGTCAGCTCCTCCTGGAGCGTCATCACACACGAGGTACGCAGGATGGTGGTGGGACCGGGGGGCTGGGGGCGCGACCAGAGACACTGGTTATAGGAATTGGACGAGCCTTTGAAGAACTTCTGTCTCTTTTCTATCACGATACGGTAAAATGGGCGGATGACCGGCTGTTCTCCCCCGATTTCGGTTGCCGACCGAGCCACTTCTAACAGACCCTGACCTGACCCCTGCCACCCTGCCACTCCGCCATCAGGACCCGGCGATGGTGGACGCGGCGCTCATCGACCTGGAGGTGGAGCGGCTGATGACGGTCAACTTCATCCGGAACCACCCGACCACGGCCTCCTTTCTGCGCGGCGGCACCTCGCGCCGCAACGCCGTCTGTATGGACCTGCTCAAGTACCACCTCGGTCAGTCACTGGCGGACGGGTGGCCCTGACTGTCCGGTGCCCTGGGGTGCCGGGCGGGGGGGGGGGCGGGGGGTAGATGGGGGAGGGGGCGGCCCCTTGCGCCGCCACGCCGTCTGCGTCTGATGGTATGGTAGCGGCTGGACAATATTTATGTAAGCATGTAGTTGTTGAGCATCATGATGGTTTCCTTTTATCGTTACAAGTCCCGCCGCCCGCCATGTCCGACCGTCTGTGTGTGTGTTTGTCGGCCAGATTTCGGTCTGGTGCTGTTGGGCAGCGACCTGCACCGGGCCATCACCGTGACCAACATCTCCCAGCTGCCCGTCTCGCTGAGCCTCATCACCGCCGTGCCGGCCGCACTGGCGTGAGTCGACCGCCGAGGGCTTCTCATCACCGGGGAATTATGTAACGCCGTTTACAGTTTTTTTGCTTGAATGCATTATGCTCAGATTCAGCTGGTTTTACACGCATCAGAGTTGTGTCGTGCAATCGCTATCCTGTTCGCGCATGTCTTATGCGGATGCGTATTTAGATCCATTGTGACATCATGCGTGTCTTTGTCATAATACAGTGGCCTGTGGTCTTGTACTGATTATTGTTACATATCCCGATGTCTTATGAACCTCGAATATCCTCTGATTGCCTTCCTGGAGCCTGTATGCACCAGTGGGTTGCCCGTGCCGATCCGTATGGGACATCCAACCCTCCTGTGACCCACCGCCACCCCCGGCAGCGACGACGAGCTGCGCGTCAGTCTGGAGGACGAGGTGGGCGCGCTGCAGCCGGGCGACTCCACCTTCATCCACCTGCGGCTGCGGCCCAGCTCGCTGGAGGGACCCGTCGAGACCATGCAGCGGATGATCTACCTCGAGGTCAGGCGGGCGCTTCAGCTGGATCTGATTGAAAACGCGTCCGTTTGATGTCAGAGAGCGAAAGTAAATTCGCTAAACGGACCGTCACAACGTGCTTTTTAGCCTGGCTTTGTTCGTATGCTCAGCTTGGTCTGAATTTATTTGACCTAGGCTGTGAATGAATAACAAAATTATTGCAGACACCGTCATGCAGCAACCTGACCACTATTGCTCTCGCTGCGCTGCCGTCAGGTGAAGTTCGGCCTGTTCATCCCGATCCTGCTGAAGGCCACGGTGACGGCGCCGATCGCCGAGCTGGACGAGGGCGAGCTCGGCTTCGGCACCGTCTACGTCGGACAGTGCAAGGTCTGCCAGCTCAAGGTCCACAACAAGTGAGTCATGACGCTGCCGGGGAAATTCGACAAACGATCGGACCGAGACGGCTGGGAATGTATCTGATGACTGGCAGAGTTCGCTGTGTATGATTGAGCTTGGTCTCTCAGTCGCGTGTGTTCGCTCTAACCCCGCGCGTCCGTGGTATCCACAGCGGCATCCTGCCGGCGGCGTGGAGCCTGGTGGCGCGGCCGCCCGACCGGCCTGCGGCGCTTCCGTTCAGCTCTGGCGAGCGGCCGCGCCGCCGGCCGGCCGCCGTCGCCCAGCCGCCCGTGTTCGCGTTCGAGCCGAGCGGCGGCCTGCTGCAGCCCGACCAGTGGGCCGTCATCAACGTCATCTTCGCGCCCGCCAAGAGCGTGAGTGACGACTACCAACGGCGTGACGGATGGCGGTGGGGTGGAGGGGTGGGGTGGGGAGTGGCGAGAGAATCATTTACCTATCTGCTGCAGGGTGCTCGTGCTATATTTTTGTGACAGTCATTCCGACTGACATCTGCGCATAAAAGTAGTCAAATACAGGCGTTCATGATGATGCCGTTTTCTGTCCCCTAATCTGAAGTCTGAACAATGTGTTAATGTTTTCCTCCGTCTGGTCGTCCCAGCAGCTGTCTCAGTTCCCCCTCTGTTTTACGTGACTCGGTGTGTAGGTGTTACAGGCCGTATGAAAACTCAGTCCGTTTGCAAACGGCCTGGCCCGATTCAGGCCGTTTGCAAACGGCCTGGACAGCCCAGTCAGTATGCAAACGGACTGAAAAGTCAGGCCGTTTGAATACGGGCTGAAATTCCAGGCTGTATGCAAACCGCCTGAAATTTCAGGCCGTTTGCAAACCGTCTAGGCCGTATGACAACTTTCCAGACACCAGGCCGTTTGCAAACGGTCTAGGCATTTTGAAAACAATCTGGTCTGCATAAAGTTACAGCTGGACAATGTTGAGTTTGTTGAAGCACGACCGTTTCATGACATTACATGGCACCATGAAATCCTGAGGTGCATTCGGCATCCGGAAAAATATCGTCACTCGGATATTCTCCGTCGGAAAATTATTGTTGAGCGCCTATCTTCAGCATGTCTCGTTATCGCGATACCGTTCGTGATCCCCGATGATTCTCGCTAGTTCCGGAAAATTCTTCCTGATTTTCCCGATGACGAATGCAGGCCTGGTTAGGAAGAGATTAGCAGAACTGAGACCCGGCCCGTAGAGCACCCGGTCGACCCGGGCTTCCCCCGGACTTCAAAGTTTCGCATTCGGCACCGCAATGGTCAAGTATTGCCGGCGTACGCCACCGGCCAGCCGCCGGCGGTCGACCGGGCGCGGTGAGGACTCTAATGTGAACCAGCGGCGCGGGAACTTCTTCGATCCAGACCATGGGGGGGGGGGGGGGCTGAACCATAATAGAGATCAACCTAGGGTACCCCCAAATCTAGTTTTCTCACCGGTTTTAGGCCACTTATTTTTCATGCCTTGGCTTTTCAACAAAAAAAAAACGAAAATATTTGCAAAAAAGTCAGGTATCCCGTCTCAACTTAGTGAAGAAACTACCGTTTTGGCAACCTGGAATAAAGGTTAAAATCTGCCAAATGAGTTGCCGAGCCAGTGAAAGAAGTGGATTTTCACTTACATGCTTTCTTCCTTTGTGACCCACAACCCCTAATTTGGGGAGAAGAGGACAGGCAACCCCAACGGTTCCTGACCTCATGAAAAGTTGTGGGGCACCGCCCCCACGGCCCCAGAGCTGTGGGAGCAAGCTTCCCCCACTGCCCCCTCCCCCGGTTCCTGCGCCTATGTATGAATCTATGAAATTATGTTGGTAGATTTCCGATTTCGATTCCTCCAGCTGGGGGGGGGGGGGGGGCTCAAATACATTACAAGCGCACCCCCTCCCAGCCGAAAAGTTGGAGGGGCTCAGCCCCCGCTAGCCCCCCCCCCCCTCCCGGTTCCCGCGCCACTGATGTGAACTCCGATGTCAATTGCGCGCTCCGGCGTTTTATGCCGCAAAATAATCGGTGAGTCTTGTAGTGATACGTTTCACCAGATCTCACCAGTAGTGGCTTCACCAGGCTCCATCAACTGGATGGCCGTACACAGGCAGACCGTGAACTTGTATAATTAGTAATATTGTCGAAAAACGGCCGGGCCGAGCATCAGCACAGTAAGAAAATGTTCGACGTATGTAGACGAGTCATTCGGCATGGAATGCGCAAGCATTCACATGGATGCAACCTGATCATCGACCAACCTGGATCCATTAAGTTCAATCTTCAGAGGCTGTTGTACTTCGCCAGACCGTTTGAAAACTGACTAGGCCGTTTTCAAACTGTCTAGGCCGTTTCAAACTGCCTAGGCCGTTTTCATACGGCCTGATATTTCAGGCGGTTTGCAAACGGCCGGCTTTTTCAGGCCGTTTTCAAACGGCCTGACTGGGCCAGGCCGTTTGCAAACGGACTGGGTTTTCATACGGTCTGTAACATAGGTACTGCTGTAGGACTGAGCGCCGCTGACCGTTCCCGCAGAAGGTGTACGTCATGGAGGCGGCGCTGTCCGTCCAGGGCTCCTCGCAGACCTGGCTCAAACGCATGACCGGAGAGGGACTCGACAGCTCGGTCAGTACTGTGATTACTAATGTACATGACGACCATAATGGGTCAATAACAACCGAGGGTAACTACTGAGATTAAACCGTTAATTGTGATCACCTAATTTTATTTTTGTTAGTCGGCTGAATATTGTAACAACTCTTGGTGTTTGTGATAATTTAGTGCTTCCTGTACCATGATATTAACTCTCAGTACGTTCGGCGGCGCTCTCTGTGTGCCGGCAGCTGGACTTTTCCACCACGGAGCTGGCGTTCGAGCCCATAGTTCCGTACAACGAGGGAGGCCGCATGGAGGTGACCATCTTCAACAAACACCCCATCCCGCTCGAGATATTCTCCATCGAGTTCGACAGGTAAGCGCGTAATTCCATTCCATGTATACCTTGACAGGTATGGCAGTACCTTAACCTCCTGACCACGTCCCGTCCCTCCACTGCTTTTGCGGACGGTACGCACTAGACCACCTTCCCACACCCACACTCCCCCGCTGTCCTTACAGACCGTACCTGACCCCCGCCCCCCGCCGCCCCCACAGGCAGTACCTGGAGGAGGAGCACGTGCTGCGCACGCTCACCACATACGACGAGTTCGATCAGCTGATCGTGCCGCCGCGCCGTCCCGGCGAGCCGCTGTGGCCTGAGGTGCGCGCCTTCTACACGGAGCTGGTGCACCGGGCGGCGCAGCCGGGCCGGCCGGCCGACGAGTCCGCCGCCGCCTCCTCGCACGGTACGTGACGACGGAGGGAGTCAGGGGAGGGGTGACTGCTGTTTAGGGACTTTGTACTGTGTGATGGGCATACATCATTTGAATGTTTCGTGCACTGATAGCGTGTGGTATTTAGGGTATAAGCTCGCTAGGATTTGTTTTCTAGATTGTTCCGCCGTCTCGCTGTCCTACCCCTCTCCTCCCCTGCAGTGAGTCTGGACGTGGCGCTGCCGGGCGCGGGCCGGTCCCGCTCCCAGCTGGCACTCCGAACCCCGGACCTGCACTCGGCCGGCGGCGGCGGCGGGGGCGGCGGCGGCGGTCCGGCGCCGCCCGTGCCGGCCGCGCCGTCGCTGCTGCCGCTGCCGGCACCGCAGCCGGCCCTGCAGCCCGGTCAGGCACCGGGCCTGCCCGCCATCGCCGTGTCTCCGTCTCCGTCGCGGCAGCTGGCGGGGCCGGGGCCGGAGCCGCCGGTGGGCTGCGGCAGCGGCTCGGACGCGGCGCTGCACAGCTGGCCCGGCTGGGCGGGCGTGCTCGACCAGCCGGCCATGTGGACGCTGCCGGCCCAGGAGCAGTTCATCAGAGGTATGTTCACATGACCGACGGATGGGGGCAGTCACCCGCCGCGCTGTGAGGTCACATTCTGAACCTACGGCAAATGAAACATCCAACTATGAGAGCCTCTTTGGCCGGATCTCGAATTGCTGATAATGCAGCACAGTCTACTCGATACTAATTGATCGTCGCCGATTTTGAGTACCCTGTACTGTGAAGTCATCTGATATTATCCTGGTCCATCGCCAGACTACCACGAGCTGTGTGTGTCGGGCGCCGGCGCGGCCGTGGCCGACCCGATAGCACAGGCGATCGTCAGCTACATCAACAGCGACCAGCCGGCCGACCACTACCTGAACCTCTCCCGCAGGGCGCCGGCCTTCGTCATCATCAGCGCGCCCTACACCGGCGAGTATTCCAGTAGCGCACTGTCTAATGCCGCGTATTCGTGCTGATCTAGTGAATAACCCGCTACTGCTCGTAAGCACTGACTCGGCGAGGTCACGGCAGCCCCTGCCCTGACCGCCCCCCGCCCGGCCGTGCCCCTCAGAGCCGTATCTGCTGGCCGTACTGGTGGCGGAGCGGTACGGCCTCTCGGTGGTCACCGTCGACCAGCTGGTCTGGGAGTGTCTGCTGACACCCTCCTCGGCGGCTGCCCACCGCGCGCGCGACTTCCTCTTCGACTCTGGCAAACAGGGCGGGCGGGGTGCGCCGCCGGCCGCCAAACAGCCCGCCAACAGTGAGTTATAGACACACACAACGACCAGGGGAGGGGAGGGGGTGCCAAACAGCCCGCCAACAGTGAGTCTGATACACTCCGACCAGGGGAAGGGGCGTGGTGGAGCCGCTTAGCGAAATATAGCTGCGATATTTACCTTAATGAGACGAGATATTGTCTAAGCGTAAGAACTAGGCTTCTTTCTCGCGAAGCTCTTAGCCTGCTCGAAGCGCGCTTAATCGGATTACCTTGGAATATCAATATTCAGTGTTCTTCCGCTTCTGCATGGCTTTCATCCCAACGTTCATTCATTTCATCCCATGCGCGCTGTTCCACACTCTAGCTCCTCCATAAGTCCCTCCGGGTCGCCTCACCCGTCCCGTCCGTCCCCGGGCGCAGGTAAGCGCGGCCAGACGACGGCAGCCGGCCAGACGCGCGCCGGCCGAAAGCGCTCCGAGTCGGACTCCTCGGTGCCGGCGCCCGGCCTGCGGGACGTGCTCAAACCGCGCCCGCTGCCGCCCGCCATGCTCGGCGAGCTCATCGCGCTCCGGTGGGTTCGCACAAAGGGAAGGATGGGGGAGGGGGGAGGAAGGCTTGGGTGGGTCACGTCTCATCGCAATTTTATTTCTTGACGAGCTGCTTATGACTCGTCTTTCTCCGTCTGCTGTCGATCGTCCTGCATATTGCCTGAGTCGGACGTCACCCTGACGTACCGTCGTGCCTGACGTCACCCCCTGCTCTGACGTCATCAGGCTGACGGAGCCGGACGTGAGTAGCGGCGTGGTGTTCTGGGACGTGCACAACTGCCAGTTCAGCGCCAACGTCACCCACACCGTCATGGCGCTGCTGCTCGGCCTCGGCAAGCGCAAACACGCCTACTTCATCACCATGAACCGGTCGGCCGCACAGCAGATCGAGCTGCTCCGAAAACAAAGGCCACCGAAGGTGAGACAGTCTC